CGTCTGGTGGTATGTAGAGGAGGCGCTGTGGGGTCCGCTAGCAATAACTCCGCATGCGATCTCCACGTTTCATAATCTGCCTCATTTCCAGGTTTGGGGATTCGGCCTGAAAATGGACGTAATCTCAATGAAGAATACATGTTTGGGGTTAAATCCTCTGTCCGCATGACGTGCTCCACTACTACTCGTTGTACTTCGGCGGGATTCAGGTCCTGCTGACTCAGTGAGAACCTGGGTGCCGCCGGCTGGGACGCCTGTGGATGAGACTCATAACGACTTGATGTATTATGGGCGGAGGCCCCGGGCAGTGTCCCTTGCTGGCCAGACGAGGGAGAAGCCACTGGGTCTACAACAAGCACAGAGTCTAGTTCATCCTGTCCTTCTGTCTCCAAATGTTTCCCAATTTGATCCATAACTTCTTTCAGAATAGTTTCAAAACTTCTACCTGTTTTATTGGCAACTTGTTTTAAGTCTTTGAGATAATCGGTAGAAGGCTCCACTCTCACTGTGTCTGGGATTTGATAGCCGAATTCCCTAACACAAAAAGTACCAACGGTGTGTGGCAGTATTGGTCTCAACAGAGTTAGAGAATCAAAATTTGTAAATTCAACGACCAGGTTTTTATCAAGGTCAGAGTCTGGATCTGCTATATATTTAACAGACTTCAATGGACCATATTGTTTCAAAAACTCAAGTATTTCATCATCTGTGTTGGTGTTAGTAGCACCAGAAATAAACACACTCTTTCTCATATTTACCCCAGACAAAGACATTTTACCTAATGATTTATCCCCAACAACAGAACGGATATTCATACACCAATCAAGCTCCTGGCTAGCTCGCCACTTGTAACCTATGTTATAATCTTGAAATCTCTAATGGGTTAGTTCACAGAAGTCCAAATTCGTTTAGGAGCTTGAGGGTGGTATGAATGACACACAGCAGACAATGAAGTTTAAATGCAAAAGGAAAAAATGTATTAAAGGTTTAGATCAAGGATTATCAATAAGGGAAAAGTAATGAAGTTGAACTCAAAATGTATATTTACCACACATAAAAAAACAAAATAGCAAAAAGTATTCAAAAAAACTAATAACAATACTCAAAATAAATCTTTGATTTTAAAGCTCAATGCTTTCAGTTTTTTATCCGTTTTTAGGAAAGAGTTCAGTTTTTAATCCATTGTTTGGTTTTTAATCCGTGCGAATAGTTTTAATCCATTGTTGAATTCGGGGAAATATTAGGGTTTTAGAGTCTTAATCCATAGTCCAAGGATTTCGGAAAGAGAAAAATATCAAAGTCTATCCTACCAGCTCGCCATCAGTTCACTCAGTTCATGGGATAGTCAGTGAAGAGTCAGTCCAGAGAGGATCAGTCCATGATCCAGGGATGAACAAAAAACCTGGCCTGAAAACGAGGTCATAATCAAATTCAGTTACCGGTAACATATCAAAACACAAAGCAGTACCAAAAAAACGGCACCTAAATCACATCTTTCAAAGTTGTACAGTCAATAGTTCAAAATCAAATAGCTATAGCTCATCAAATTAACAGCTGCGCTAGCATGGGCTTTAACCATGACAATGTGCTGCTAACTCAAAACAAAGTCACTTTAAAACAAAAACTCAAACTCTAAAGTATAATCCGTGCCTACCGAATTCAAGGCAACATATACATATTAATTAATCATAGGTAGTTCAATCAAAAATGGTTCTCATTATGAGGTAATAATAACTACAAAACAAAATCACCCGCTTTTACGGCGGAGTTCCGTACGACGGCAAACCATAGCGGCTAACCACACTACATCTGCATTTTAAACGGTCAAAAGCACAGATTCGAACAGCAAGTTGCACAAATATTATAGAAAACACTTTGGCGAAACTCACCGATGAATCAGAATGTCTAGGAGTGGTCTGATTAGGGAAAACAACGTCAGGTTGTAGCCACTTTGTTTGTAGCCTAGCGCCAGCTGCCACAGCACACAGTGAGAGTGGAGGAGGGGGCGGAGCAGACAGTTACCTGGGCAACCGGGACGTTTAACTTCCTGATGTTGTGCTTAGGGCCAATCAGCAAAAAGGGCTAATATAATACGTACAATAATGATAAAAATATGGATAAATGATGGGGGAATTACATTGTGGGTGTTACAAAAGCACTATAAATGACAAAGACAGCCGCAGCCTCGTCCTTACCCCAAACTCTCCTTGAAACAACAATCCCGATTAGAACAACAATTCAGCTTTACCAGGAAGCTTAAGTGTCAACAATAGATTTTTACTCATATTCAAGGTTATGCACCAAAACTGCTGTGGAGGTTTTGAAGCAGCCACTATGCTCATGCCGTTTCAATATTTCAAAACTTGATATATACAGTATTTTCCAGTGTATAGTTTCCATGGACACTGTTCATTTAAGATATTGAATAAATAGAATGAGTTCACCTGTGGGGACCTTTTAATAATTGATAATGGTAAGAATATAACCATGGATTATATTTATGAGGGAGGCAGCATGAGTATACCCAATAAAAGCGGCAGTATTTCCGATGGATTTTTGTTGAGACGACTGTGGTTTTGACCATGAATTATTTTTATTATTCAAGTCCAGTAAACTCATCACTTATATACTTATATTTATTGAATGTTTTTCTTCACCACTATAAATGGGATCATTAGAGAATCTTGAGAAAAATACAATCTGCTACAAAAAAGTGTATAACAAAAATTATAGCAGTGTACTTTTCCTATCAAATATGTATTTACGTTCCCTCTGTAATGTTCTGTATGTATACTTCATGTCCATGCACTTCTCCAGTCGTCCGTTATAGACAGGGGGTTATAGCTTCACTTGCGCAGGCTGTCTGAGATGAGTAGCTCTTAAGGAAGTCTCAATACCACCCAAAACTGATACTGCACGTTCAAGCCTACTCTTAAGATTTGTTTTTAGTTAATTGATATAGAAATTCCATTCACTGTTGTTATAATAATAATGAATGATAGTAATAATGCAGTGGTTTTACATTGTGGCTGGTGCTCTGTGAATTGGGTGCAGCTCTGACCGCCACCCCTCCGACCCAGAAATGGATTAAGGGGAAGAAAATGGATGGCTGGATGGACGGTTTTATAATGTGCTTTTTCTGGCACTCATGGATGCCCTACACAGTGTTGATAAAATACTACTGTAGCTACAGCTGCCCTGGGCCAATATGTGACCACCAACCATTCCCACACACTTGACTCATTCTGGGCAATGTGGGGGAAGAGTCTTGCCTAAGGACAAAGCGGCAGTTTGGCAAATCACAGCTGCAGCCGCCCCACTGTGGCACCAGACAAAAGCAGGGTATTACATTCGGGAATTTTACAGGGATCACATATATTATATGTCTGAAAGCTGAGTTTAAATAATATGCAGTTTTCAGTTGTGTGCACTTCTGATCGACTCCTCTGCTCATTTCTCAGTGAGATTGTGAATATGGTCTACACACCAGGATGATACTGGTATGAGTGCATGCACCTGGTATCAAGACCAATTCTCGATACTGCTATCTGCGTTCATGCGACATCACCACATTGCAAAGAGTCTATTGTTTAAAATTGTGGATAAGGGCAGCTGAAAAATCTGTCCTGGTAACTGTAAAAACTCATCGTAGTCTATTGCTCAGTATTATCAACTAAGGCTTTATTATAATTGCATAAAGGTAAGTAAGTAATCTAGTAATCTTTTTATTTATATACCGCCTTTTCACTGCACATCGGAGTCTCAAAGCGGTTTACAATTGTTATTTTTTGGGATTGGGGGTGCCAGTACAGGAGGCACATGCCAGACCTATTGTACATATTTTTAGTGGTAGGGGAAACCGGAGCACCCGGAGGAAACCTACGCAGACACGGGGAGAACATGCAAACTCCACTCAGAAAGGCCCTGGTCCAACCGGGATTTGAACCCAGGACCTTCTTGCTGAGAGGCGAGAGTGCTATCCACTCAGCCACCGTGCCGCCCAAGGTGTCCCCAATGAAATATTTCAACAGGTTCAAGGTACAACTTTATTGTCCCCTTTGGGAAATTTGGCTCACAGTGCTGTTGGACACAAACAAACAAGACATCCTCAACATCAGGACAATCGGCACAACATCGCCACAAGCCATATTGTTACACAGTCCCATCAGTGCAAGAATACGAAATAATCCACTAGTAAAAGACCATAAATAAAATCAATATTTACTTACTTACTTATTTATTTTAGTTTTTAGACAATAGAGAGGGCTTTCAGACATGAGACTAACATTGGTGGATTTGTGTATCTACTATAAAATAATGATCAGGGAAACACTTTATTTTTCAACATTTCTTTAACCCATAGAGTACTCTTGGCACACACCCTCCAGCTGTAATAATAAATCTCAAACATGAGCACAACCCATGAACCATGTTGTACTTTTGGTCATTCGAGACTGTATAACAAGAACTACTGAGTCTGTCTCACTGATAATAATTCACTACAGTCACTTTACCTGTTGTTATTGTTACTATTGTTTATTCTGCTCATATTCTCCGCTGCTAAAGTACAATATACACATCTGTACATACTTCTGAACCAAGTGCAATAATCGCTCCAGAGTTTATTTTAGTATTATCTTATCATTTTGTATCATAACTGTCTGTTATCTTAAATGATGGACTCTGACTGCTCTTATTCCCTTCTTTCTCTGCTGTAATGTGCGCAACAATGACAGTGAAATTTCCCCACGGTGGGATTATTCATGCTATAGGCTACCAGTTTATTATAAAAAAAACTCTATTGTAAAAGCTAAATCCAACTAAAGTCCTCACTACTTCTCCACTGAAGACACAAAGCACTTACGCCAGCTCATTTACGCTTAGCACATCCCCAGCTTTATGGAGCATGCAGTCCTCCGAGGGCACCTGATGACCGGCGAGCAATCCTGCAGTTAAAATGTTGTGTATGTCCCGTGGATTTCTTGCTGCGCCGGCTTCAAATGCCACTGATTAGCCATCTACCATCTGCTGGGCCGGGCGTGAGGAGAGCGGCTCATTATGGGTGGCCATCGCTCTCCTCTCTGTCTCGGGCTCTTCTGCTGCTATCAGGCAGCGCGGCGGGGCCCTTTGTACAAGGACTGGCGCTGGCAGCCGGGGGGCGATCTGTTCATGTTTAAGTGGCTGAACGGCTGACATTGGAGTGACAGAGAACGGGCTGCACCACGCTCAGTCTGTGCAGCTACAAGCCAAACTTGTTGCAAAAGTAATGTATTTTTAAACCTAAACTCAACTCGAAGGTCGTCCTGTTTTCTCCTGTTGTCGAGGAATCTTTTTTTTTTTTTGTGTGGAAAGCTTAGACTTAAGCATGCTGAGAAGAGATTTATGACTTTGTGAATCAGCTAAGGACATGTGTTTATAAAGTATTTTTAATTAAACAAGCCAATATAGTGACTTTAAGATTCATGTGAATATACACATGAATATGAACAAAATACAATATCACATGGGCGACAGTAGCTCAATTGGTAGAGCCTTGGGCTGTAGGCCTGAAGGTCGTGGGTTCAATTCCCACCTCAACACTTTCTCCAGCGACTCCCACTGATGTCTGCTGTTGTTGTGTCCTTGGGAAAGACACTTAACCCCACTTTGCCCAAAGCTCCCGCTGAAAGATCAATGCTATGCTCACACTCAGAGAGCAGCCGTCCTCCTGTGGATCTCTATCTCTCTCTATATCTCTATCTATCTATGTGTAGAAAGCCATTGGACAAATGTATAAAAACTCCCACATTCACTGACCTTTTTGGGATCCAAACAATTACTCAATTAGTTTAGTAAATGTCTAAATAATCTTTAACTACAGCCCTTTGAGGAATATACTGGTGAAGTTGAGTAGTTTCAGTTGTATCGAGATGAGACACAACATCCTTTGTTTGGAAAATGCAAAATCAAAGGTGTGACCATGTTTTTTTTTTACTTTTTGTCCTCAAAAATGTTTAAATATGAGATGTGAGTGCTTCAGCTGTTAACTGCTCATCAAAGATCCACAAAAGCAAGTGGAACACATTATTTTGTGTTTATATTATGCAAGTATATTTTTCTATGGTAAAGGTTGAAATAATTCTACAAAACAAGTGACCCTTCATATGTCCTACTGTGGGGACATTAGGAAAGATTTCTTAATTACAAAAATAAAGCAAAAATGTAGAATCCAAAAAGGGCTTTAATATGGGATTGTATTTAACATTAACATATTGGTTCTTATTGTATTAAGCCTTCAATGGAAATAACTCATGATGTATTTCTAGTCTTCTCCACACTATTCGCACCGTCTGGTCCTGATAACTGTGATGTTAAGGCGACATTGCAGCTGATTGTATGCACGTTGTTGTTTTGCAGGACCTGGTGGGAAGTGCGCCGCCCCAGAGGAATTGGAAGGGCATTGCAATAGCTCTGCTGGTCATCCTCATCATCTGCTCACTCATCGTCACCTCCGTCATCCTGCTGACCCCGCGTGAGTATAATCACTGGTCCAATCAGACAAAACGCCGGAAAGACATGTTCAAAGCAGATATAATTTGCTTCAGCCTGTGAGAAGAATAACACAGTTTTAGTACATATTACATCTTTTTTGATATTGTCAAAATGTCCGTTTATTTGAGAAATTCTGACTGTGCAGCATATCACAGAGTTAGGAAAGGAAATGTGTGACTAAAGTAAAACGACGGGAGTGTTGTGTGGGTCAGAGGAGAAAGGGTCAGGAGAGAAAGTGGGGAGAAATGTTGTCACAGGAGTGAGAGAATATAGATTACCAAAACGTACATCCATGGCTCTAAAAGTGTGTAATTGGCAAGGGAAAAGTCAACAGCTATAATCGTATGGTCAAAAGCTGTGAATTTTTTTGTGTGAATTGTATGTCCCCTCACAGTCACTCAGTGCTCAACAAGAAGAAAACATATCTTACATGCTGTGTGTATAGATGAAGACATAATTGAAATGAGAAAATGTCAACATGTGTCTGACCGCAGCTGTGGAGAATAATGAGCTCTTTATTTACATTTCTTTTATACATTATACATAAAAGAGAACTCTTAAGAAACTGCCTTAGCTCATAAATAGGGTCACAATCATGGTGTGGGCATGGTTAATGAATTACATTATTCATTACTGAAATAAACAGCTGCGTTCTCCCTTCAGTCCTTGCAGCCAAACAGCATTATTTCAGTCTCCTATACACGGCTTTTGAAGTCACAGCAGCCTGTTTTGTGTATGTTTTTTCAATGGCTTGGATTCAGGTGTGCACAGAAAACCATTTTCTTTTGTGCCTCAAATGGTCTCGCAAAAGAATATCCCAGCGAGTCGACGCAGCGTGGTATTTGGACTTGCACCGACTGTGGTTCTAGACATAAGGTGACATTTGGGCTTCTGTTGCAGGAGAAGAGAATGAATATTGTTGTTGTCAGGAAATAGATTGTTATTCACTCAGAAAAGTTTCTATTTTCTGTGAGTTGCAAACTTGTGAGGAATATAACTTTTGTCTTTTTTGCTGTAGAAATAACCTGGCCCATAAACATGATAATTATTTAGTTTGACATCTTTTGTTTTAGAATATGAGAATTTCGAACATTTTTGCCGGAAGTCTCATCTCTCTGTAAAGAATGTGCTCATCCCAATTCCTCTCTGCTATACTCTAGATATAGAACTCTAGATGAATTACAAATTTTAAGAATTGTATTAAATTGACCTCCTGGCCTTAAATGTTGATATAAAATAAGTCATTTTTTGAATTCCAATATTACGGGTAAGTCCCGCCTTCCCTTCTCTTAGCTATAGCTCAAAATCCACGATGCCGTCCAGTTTAACCAATCAGGTGATGCTATGGGCTGTCAATCATCGGCGCTCAGGCTCGTAGCTGCACATGCTCAGTTCAAGCCTCCATTAGGCTCTGGAACTACATGAAAACTGAACAAAGAATTCTGAACATCTGCGCTGAGTTACCCATTTATATACTGAACCTATATCCATAATCATTTATATACTGAACCTATATCCATAATCATTTATATACTGAACCTATATCCATAATCATTTATATACTGAACCTATATCCATAATCATTTATATACTGAACCTATATTCATAATCATTTATATACTGAACCTATATCCATAATCATTTATATACTGAACCTATATCCATAATCATTTATATACTGAACCTATATCCATAATCATTTATATACTGAACCTATATCCATAATCATTTATATACTGAACCTATATCCATGATCATTTATATACTGAACCGACATCCATAATCATTTATATACTGAACCTATATCCATAATCAGATCCTCTGCAGATGTGTCCTATAATGTTAGATTATTGATAATAGCTACTTCCGGGTTTACTGAGATCGCTTATTGTGTGCATTAAAACATTAATTTTGTCATAAGAACATTAACAAATAATTCTGAAAACCTCCGTGCATGTGTATTAATAATGTATATGTATAATGTGTTCTCCGATTAACATTTAAATGTGTTGATTGATTGTTACAGTAACATAGGCGTAGACCAATCAGAAAGGAAGGGGGAGGGAGCTTGGGTCGTTTTTTTCAAAAACTGTACCTCTCTCTCTTTTTTCTGACAAAACTCCAGACAATCACTTGAAATAAAAAAGGGGGTACAAATAATAATTAATAGAAACTAAAAAATTGTTTAATCTTATTTACCTACATCTTAGAAAATCAAACAAAACAGACGTCAGTGTTTTCCTCAAGGAGTGAACATTAAAGGGTAACTAATTGATTACGAATTTGTTGTGAACCTGTGACTTAAAGACCTTATGACGGGTTTTTAAAAAAAAAATTGTGGATATCAAAATTGCATGACAATGTCAATTTGAAAGAGATTCCGGCAAAAAAAATCCTATATTTTATAAAAAGAACGTGTTTTTCATGAATTTAAGTTGTCTATGCTCTAACCTGTGTGTGACGTCATAGCGGGTTACGCCCATGCATTGAAAACCATGGATCTATGCCACAGGACTGCCTTTTCTCTCTTCTCTCCACTGATGCCCAACACAATACTGCACTCTACAGGTGACAATTGCTCACTACACATAAATGGCCGTTTTGAGTGTAAAGAAGTGTCCGAGGTGGGATTTGAACCCAAGCATCTGGATTGGCAGTCCCTCAATACAACCACTGGACTATCTCAGTGACAACAAAATGTTACATTCTAGTATTTATCTCATACTCGCTGTACACGGCCTTGTCATCTTGAATATCCGCAAAAAAAGAACGAATACCAAATTGTAAACAACTTACAGCGTTGAAACGTACCCGTTCTGACGTCACCAAGGGCTGTGAAGTTTTTTCGTTTCTAAGGGCGTTGCTATGGGGTTATTTCGATTAGGGGGGATCAGACAAAAAAAACAACAACTGATTTTGAAACCTTTAGTAGTTTTCTTCTAATATAAAATGGTATTAAAACTATATTTCTAAATAAATCAAACCCGTCATAAGGTCTTTAAATTGTTCCAAATTTACATTAATATTATAGAACTGTTGAAAGTGAATGCAACATATGAATAATGTTATGTTAGTATATTATATATTGTAAATGTGTGCTAAAGACAGTTTTGAACAGTGAGCAGAGGCTAATAAGAGGAATGGATTACATTGTGAACCCATTCTCTGCTGGTGAATGTAGATTCTGCTGCGTTGCTTTCCTCCATTTGTCAAACCAGCTCAATATCATGAATTCAATTTTGCTCATAGAGGAAACAAGGCCCCTCCTGTCACACAGCTGCTCGGCTCCAAAGAAAATGTGTCCGATTCTTTTCAAGTCAATAAACACTTGACATGATATTTACACAGCAACGTGAAGGCTGTTAAAGCGTGGTTATGTGTCAGTCAGAGGAGCCACCGCCTGTCAGACAGACGCTGCTCTCTAAAGCTGTCACAACTATGGCCAATCCATAGTATCAATCAATATTATCAATCCTTTTTAAAACAAGTATCAAAACAAGATACTAATTTATGCAAGTATCAATAGTAAAGAAGGTGTATAACCTCGGGGCACCATAAAACACATGATGTATTGCTTTTTTTGGAAATTACTTTTCTATGATGAAAAAACATGGAAGACAAGAGCAAAAGGTTTTCTGTTATGAATCGAATAAGAGGCTACACTGCAAAGCTTGTGCAAAATGTGCAATGTTAAATTTTAAAAGTTTAATTATTAGTATTGTTGAGATACTAAAACGTCTGTATTGTGCAATTTTTATAACATAATACTGGAAATAAAAAATGAAAAATCTTAATTATGGTACTTCTACTACCTACAAGGTATTTTGTCAGTTCATATCCCAGTTATAGAATATATTTTTATCTTACTTCTGATGAATGAAAATGTTGAAAATCTAAAAATCAGTTTTTTAGATTCTGTTTTGGAATTTCTGTGCTGATTTGTAATGATGCTGGTTTTATCTTACCTTTAGTACCACACTATAAAATCACAACAGATGTAACTAGGTGACCAAATTTATCTAACGTTTGGCTTTAAAAACCATGTGGTACCATATAGATCACTAATTTTACTGTTTGTTTGTTTTGGCCTCTTCAAAAAAAAGAGATGACCACTCACACAATCAGCTCTCAGCCCAAAGTGTCAAATAGTGACTCACAAGGATCTCTTTTGAGTATGATCAAATGTCTACTAAAAGGAAAAAAACTAGATATTGTGCTCTGATTGGTTCACAACATTCACTTTTACAAGACTGCTGTGTCAAGTCCAGTATAATCCTTACTCCAGCTTCAATATGTTTTTGATGCAACCCCAATCATGACAACACAAACACACAAACACTACACTTTTACACTTGCCCTATAGTTGCCGCGATGTTTTCTTAAGACACCTGCAGCTGCTTTGAAGCTTGTTTAAAGTTTGAGAAACGGGGGGAGTCTAAAGTCCCACTGTTCAAAACGAAGCTGGCAGATGTGCGCCGATGCTTTCAGATCAATAGAGCAATACCTGGGGCCTTGTGCGTGTTTGTGTCTGGCCCTAAATTGCTTTAGCTAAAGTGAGGGGAGCTGTTGGAGATGGTATCTGAGGAGAACGCATCTGTGACAGGTTATGTGCGAGTTCTGGGCCTCCCCACTGCAGCGATACAGGAAGAACAATCCAAAGTCACTCACTATAACTGCAAACTCAACACAATAATTAATCGTCACATGACTCCATCAGTTTGGGATTATTTCTATTTTATTTGTAAATGATATTTCTAAGGCCACTTTTTTTAAGGAGTGTATTACTGTAATTCAGCTTCATATCGAATCTTCCAAAATGTATGCTATAGACTGTGCCTTTAAATGTAAAAAGTTAATTTTGTCTCATGTTTAAGGCTTAGAAGGTTCTTTTAATGAGACTCTGCCGTTGTTTGTTATCATTTGGATCATTATGGCTCACAGCCCATTTAAAAAAATACTATACTTTTTATTTTACAAGCTTTGAACCTATTATCAACTAAATTAAGGTTTGACGTATCTCACTGCATGAAAAGTGTCTTTCATATTCTGGTTTCATATTTTAAGTTGAATTACATAAATAAATGGACTTTCAACCAATATTCTAATTTTCAGTTCCACCAGTATATATACATACACATAAACACACAGTATTTTACATAGTTTCATCATGTGTCAATATCTACAATTTCAATGCATTATACCATTTATGTAATTATATACTAAACTTTTAAACTGTATCAGCTTGAAATGGAGTGGCAAGAAGAAAAACGCATAGACTCTCACCTCATGATCATTTAAAAATAATAAAAGTATTGATATCGTTATTAAGAATTTAGATGAAGCTAAGGCTACCACAATGACTGTGGTCGCAAAGTGGAACATTTAAGCAAAGACCTAAACAATATTGACCCTTTATTATCGATAGAGCGGTTAATTCAAACTGGAGAAGATAAGTTACGTAAGTCTCTTTATTGAAAAACAAGATGAAGTGGAAGCACTGAAAAAAGGATCATATTAAATACTAGCATCACAAGTTTTCTAAAATTATTCTTACAACGTGTTTTAGGCTAGAGATATTAAAGCACAAGGTCCAATTCAGATTAAGAGCTGCTTTATTTGTCTCACAGCGGGAATACTCAATTCTGCAAGCACTAAAACAACCTAATACAAAGTCTAATAATGCTGTGTTAATGACTTCTTACTGCGAGAAATAGGTGGCCAATGAAAGAACAATTTTGGTGAAAATATAAGGACTTTATAAAACACAGGGAAGTATTTTCAAATGAAGAAAATCTGAAAAACAAGCAGTGTAGTTTCCATAATTGAAATAATACATTTTATACATATTTTTTCCTCTTTCTTTGCTTTTTTTTTTTACTTATTTGTACAAGGACCTGTGTATGTTTTTGTTTTTTGTTTTAATTTGAAAATACATAAAAATTGTAAAAATGTTTGAAAAATCTGCTTTATGCTAAACTGACCTCATATAAAAGTTAAACTACATCACATCTTTCATGATTGTGCTGTTGTACTTCTAAGCTACAATTCCCACTTGCCCAAACAATGCGTGAGTAGATCTTTATAAAAGTATAAAAGTATCCGTCAAAATCCAAAAATGAACGCATGCTAGATGTCTGTTGTAGCAAAATATATATATTCTTTGACAACCATTGGGCCAAGAATACAGTGCCACAATATGCATAACGTAAAGGTTTAGTAGATCACTTGTCTGTTTGTGTTGCTGACAGGTGAAGATGACAGTCTTGCCCTTAAGAAGAAAGTGACAGTGGAAGACGTGTTTGGCCCAGACCTGAGGATCCATGACCCTAAGGCTAAATGGCTGAGCGGTGAGTGCACTGCGCTTTGGCATTTAGCGGCTGTCTCCCCCTAGAGAAAAAAGGCCGTTTTCTGTCATCTTTGAAGACATGTGCCGTCCATAACTCTTGGTAGAAGGAGTTGCTTCAATCAGACATGCTGTGATGGGCAGCCTGTCTAAATCAAAACAGACCATTTTCTCTCCCTGCACTGGCTGTCATAGTTTTGTGTGACTGCTTTTTTGTATTGGATTTGAAGAACATCTGATTGGTTGAAGAGATTTTTTCCTGTTTAACCCGGTGTTCAAAATGAAGAAATGTCCTTGTAATATCAGTAATACCATTTATTTATAATGTGAATCACTACACATGGAATGCACGTGCATTAAAGAATAACTTCCAAAGCCTAACCCAAAAAATCCACATTCTGTATATCAGCAGCCATAATAATTTGCATGATTATTGCTATGATGAATAATGTTTAATACCAATTTTAAAAAGCATGGTCAATCAATTTGAATGAGAATATTTTGTGTGGCTTCTTCCTAAGTCTATGGACAGTGCATTTACTCTGAATGAATCAACTCCTTTAGTTGGAACACAAATAAGGACCTTGTGTTTACTCTGTAATTCCATAGAAATTGTCAATTTCTATGTCAACCTCCATGAATGTCATGGAGGTAGTCGATGAAAGAAGGTTTGAACGATTGCAGTTCGCGCAGCAACCCGCCTCCTCCCTATTACCGCCTCAACAGTAGGACTTTACTCTTTATCTCTATAGGCTCATCACTTCCACCACCAGGGTTTACATGTATGATCCTTCACAATTTCCTCCCGTTTACGTTATGCTGTTTTTCTCCTGGGTCTAAGCATAGAAATAGATCCACATGTTCTTGTAACACTTAAATTCATGTAATTGTGTACCCTACTTTTCTAATCATGCAGTAACCAATATGCTCCATGCGACCTAACCCAATAAATATCATCCTAATAAGTCTAAGTTATTCTAGATTGAACTGATAAGAAAACCTGTTTTTGTTAGTGATTTAAAAAACAATCTACATAATTACCAATCCCTCAGGTTCATTTATAAATCTTGTTAACCCATCTTGACCCTTGAGTGGGAAACTACCGCCCCCAGTACGATCCTTCATCCTCATAGTATCCTTAACTAATCAGCTAATCAGCTTAATAACAACCTATAGAATACTAACATACATAATATGGCCGCATGTCCATTGTTTTTGTCATTACTTCTGCTTAAATCTGCCGCTGATCCAAAAAGGCCAAATGTGGTTTGTAGATGATGATGGAGATGATGTATGAGAGCACATGAGATCAAAGCAATTAAAAATGATAATTTGGCATACTCCCCTTATAACATTTAAGTTGTTTTGGTTAGAAAATAGTTTGAATTGATCAGTAGTTGAAGTTCCTATCGTATGACCTGCAAACACAACAACTAACTGCCATTGTCTATTATCAGAGTAAACTTCAATAGCTGATTTAAACTTGAGTCAACACTTTGTCCTTCTCACTCCTAGTCCATCAGACTCCTCACTGTGATTACTTACATTAGGGTAACGTCTAATTAGCGATCTTCTTCATCTGCTCCTCCTGCGCCCTTCACTTACAATAGTGACGAAATTGTCCTCAGCACCTGACAAGAGCCACGCAATCTATGGGGTGACTTTGCGTGTCATCAGCTGTGTTAATGTAATCAAGTCCCATTCGAAGCTATAATGACCTTCCGATAAGCAGTCCGACGAGATGGCCGGCGCTCCACGCATCAATATTGTGTGTGCTTCATTCACAGTGATGTGTAATTCATCTCTGCTGCTCTTTGATCACCGCTCGTCTCCTTGAACTCACCCTCGGAGTTTCTCACACGCTCACATTCAAAGGGTTTGACCTTCCGGCTGAAAAAAGTCCCACTGACGTCTGGGCATTTCTATGTGGGAGAAATACAGAATTAAAGATGAAATGAAACTTGTGCTTACTTGTGCTTTCTGCTTTTAGTGGGTTCTAGTCCTTGAGGATCTTTCCTGTTTAAATCGTTACATCTTTACCAGTCTGCTTCCTGTGGCTCTTTTGTGTTTGTTATATCATTAGGGAGTTGATCCACTTGCAAGTTGTATAAAGCCTAACACTGCGCTTTTCGCTTTGCATCGTTTCTGATCCGTCTGCTGTCAAGTCTGGTTAGTAGATACAATCTGGATTTTTCTATCTACTCTCAAACAGTTTCACAACAAAAACATTTGTGCCTCGATGGCAGGTGGCAAATAGATTTGGCAGTAGTTTGGATAACTGTTAGTGAGAATTTCACTTTCCCATTTGATCCTTTTGGAAGTGCTTCAAGAAAAAAGGTAGTTTGAGCAGAATATTTGTTTTTGTGTTCCTTGTTTGTCAGTGTGTTCAAGTAGCACAACACAAAGTACTTGCTTAAAAAAAAAAATGCAATGTTTCTACAGTGTTTCTTGGAGCAAGGATGGCATAAGGCTTGATATTTCTTTAATGTGTCTAGTGCTGTGTTTCCGCCGCCTGAAAGATGAGAGAAAAGAGACAACATTTACTGAAAGGGGAATTTTAATGCAGTATTTGGTGTTATCTAAGTCTCTGATGATGTACAAGCCATGTTTCTTTATAAAAACATGAAAAGTGCACCGAGAGTCCGCCTAATGTGCTTGTGCTTTTCCTTTTCCGAGGCAGGCCGTGAAGTGCTGTATCGCACAAGAGATGGGGACGTTGTCAAGCTTCATGTCGACAGCGGAGAGACGACCATTGTGGTGCCCAGTCAGCTGTTTGTGAGTCTCGTCAAATGATTTTTTTTAACGTCGCACTGACGCAAACTGTCACTAATGCAACGTGATTCCTCTGATCAGGACAGATCCAGGGCCGTCAAGTACCAAGTGTCTCCAGACATGCGACATGTCCTGTTTGCATTTGACGTTAAACCTGTGAGCACATCTCTCACCTGTCGTCTCTCATTTTCAAGCGCTTATAGCTCGTCTAAACGCAGCTGATTGGAGCCTGTTGTGTTGCAGATCTACCAGTACTCCTTTCTGGCCAAGTACATCATCTACAGCCTTGACACGCAGTAAGTTGTGTTCTGCTCTTTTCCCCTTGAGGCGTTTGTCTAAATCTTTCGCCCTTAAGCTCGACCGATCGTGGCCACTTTTGTGACTCGAGCGCATTTACCCGCCTTTGCTGCCACTTTGTACAATTGCATTTAGGCCTGTTTTTAGTCCTTTCATCCATCTATGTCTGCTTATATCCCTACTGTTGTGTCGGTGGAGCACACAGAGAAGTCAGCTGATGCTAAAAATGGCCTTGGATGATTGATGAAGCTTACAGTTCAGGAACAAGCCAAAAACATGACATTTATGGCTTGAGTGCATTTGTTTGCTGCTGTGTACTATATTACAGCGCCTAGAAAGACTGTGACATCTTGTGTTGTTCTCCTTCACAGAGAAACTTGGCCCCTGAATCCGTCGGAGGTGCAAGATGCAGTCCTGCAGTACGCTGCATGGGGCCCGCTGGACCAACAGCTGGTAAGAGCTGTGTACCGTGAGATTACACTGACCAGCGCTGGCACAGAGCAGCAACACGTCAGGGCTCCTGGCGTCGCTGGGTAGCTTCAGCTGATTTATTCTTTTTTTTCAGCAAAGTGCATAAATATTGCAGCGATAAGAGGTTTACAACAACAGAACTGGTACGACCTGATAAGTAGCTGTCTTTTCTATGACCTCTATGCCACGACCAGCCAAAAATAATTGTAGTGTGTGAACTTTGTGATAAAATGGAGCTTCAGGGAGCCTCAAAGGCAGATGGCATCTCATGGCCCGAGCTGTGGCCTGGTCAGTGTGAGGCGCCCATGTGTGGCCATGGCGTTCCTCTGTTGGGCTGCGATGCTCCATCACAGCTGTCAACAATGTGCTCTTGGAAACTCTTTGGTCTGTCAGCAGATTTGATCTCACAAGGAGAAACAGTAGATTGTTATTCATTTGAACTTATTTTAAACTTTGTGACGTATAATGATTTTTTCTGTAGTGAATGTGCCAAGGTAAAAGATCTTTCTGCCTAATCATCCACTCTGACCAAGGTTGCCACTGTGTGTTATCTACTTGTTTATTTACTTCTTATAAAGAGCTACACTTAATATCTTTAAGGCAGCACAAACAAGCTGGTTACAATACTTGACAATTTAATTTGATCTAGAAAATGTCTCCCTTTCTGACTTTGCTTTGGAGACAGCAGACATATTTTAACAGCTTACCACAAAGCTTTGACTCCTCACTAATTGTTCCTATTTGCCTACATTGAAGTGAAAACATTTGAAGCGTGCATAGAGACATCGAGTGGGATAAAGGCGTTTCATTTGCATAATGGTAATAGCACAGCCCATTGATCAGTATGCAAGGCTTCTATTGTAAATCCAGTTTGATTGAATGGACACTTTTGGCTCCTAACTCATGATGTTGATTTTTTTGCATATCATTATTTCCCATTAGAAGCAAACCCGTTTATCTTCGGCTGTTTGATCGGCACACGGTACTTTTTCCCGAAGTGCAGTCAAAACGCTGCTTAGCCTTTCTTCATTATTCCACTATCAAACACATTTATGCTTGGGCCAATAAATTACAGAGATAAATTTACAAAACGGAATTAAAACAGCAATATTCCAACAGAATTGGGCAATAATTGATGAAGGAAAACACTGGCGATTAGAATGCAATGGTGCGGTTTGAGCTCCACAGGTATCTTTGAAGCTGCCACTTTCATGTCTCCAGTCTTTCAAAATGATTTTCCAATATTCATTCTTACATTTGTGAGTAAAATATGAATTGCTTTTTAACACTAGGACTCCCAGAATTCTGAAACTACTAGAACTCCCAGAGCAGTCATTTTGTCACCTCCCATTCAAACGACTGGAATCCTGAAAAAATCCCCAAAAAACATCTTCATTTTTTCACTACTATTAAAATGAAGTTATCCTTGCATTTTAAAATCTTTTTAGTACATACTAAAACTGGTGAATACAAATGAAATACAGCAAAACTAAAAGCAGACTGCTGCTGTATTTAAAAAGTGTGTTGTTATGGTAACCAGCACTGGTCCTGGACTGGTTCTGAGAAATCTCAGGTTGGAGACCTGAGATTTCAGAACTAGTCCAGGACCAGTCTAGGATCCAGATAATTTCATAAACATAATGACATAGAAAAAAAACTGCATAAAGAAACGGACAAAGTCAAAGTTTTGAAGACCAAAACATACAACATACACAGAGTAATTACTCTTCCAAAACGAAGATCGATTGATAAATAGATAGATACATAGGAGAAATTCAGGTGGCTAGTAGCAGCAAAAATAAAATGGATCGTTCTAAAAAGCTAATAATAGTATTAATCAGCCACAGACCTTCAGGTCACAGCAGCCATTATGGTGTAGCCTCTGGGTGGAGCAGGACGGCTCACAGAAGCAGAGATGGTGTAGCCGCTGGGTGGAGCAGGACAGGTCACAAGGTGGAGTAGCCACTTGGTATAGACCATTTTCTCTGCTCTAGTCCAACGTAAAATGCTAAATTCTTCCTTAGCATTTTTCTAAAAGTTAGCATTCCTTCTGTAGATTTTCACCTGATCCGATTGGTCTACCATGAATCCTCTCCGCTCTGGTCTGGACCAGTGTAAAACTATGCACACTGAAAAGCAGTTAAATTGACTTTTTCTGGGAATTGCTGTGTAATGGTTGTTTTAGGGCCCATATGAAATTATATCAATTGTGTGTATGTCATATTTTCATATTTTTGGAAGAGTGAAGAGTGATTTAAAGAAGCATTATTTGTTTTACTCTTGTGCTACCCTCGTGTCAAAAGGACCTGCCACAGTAATTCAAAAATAGAAGTAGAAGTAAATTAGGGTCTAAGTGACCCACGGCTGACCAAGTTTCTGAGAATGAATCTTAATTAAATTCTGCAAAAATTAAACATTTATGGTACTTTTTAACCCCTGTGGCGGGTCAATTTGACCAGAGGATAGTTTGAGTATTAGTGTGACAATCTATCCTTGTACAGTACACCAGCTTTGAGACAAGAGCCTTTAGACAGATGGGAGACGTGTTTGTGCCAGAAGCCTCTGATATTAGAACAGTTCTTTTTTTGAAAACACAACAATGTTGTAACATGATTAAAAACTCAAGAAAGAGGATATTTCATAATCTTTTAAGTCAAGTGAAATTTCAAACTTTGATCTTCCATCGCTTCCGTCTGTTTATCCAAGATGTTTAGTTTCTTGCTACAGCTATAGGTGAAAAGCAGCTTGTCTCAGATTCATTCAGACTCACATACAACTGAAGGATTATCCACCACACTTCAAACATGAGAGGTGTTTACACATGTCTGCTGTTCTTTCTATCGCCCAGAACTGTGCCTGCTGTAGAAACATCAATAAGAGAAGGATCCAGTCAGCTTTTTTCAAGTGCTGATCAGATATTAATATTTTGGCTTTAAATAATATCACACATACTGTACCAAATCAGCAGAGACTATAGCAGCATCATTTATAAGACCAGATGAATACCTCTTTTTCATCAATCACACACACAGCACATAGATGAAAATATCCTCTAAAATCGATCTTTTACCCTCTGAGCTGGTTTTGTTTTGAATGTCTTTGTTAATTTTAAGATACAAGTTGCATCCATTTGAGACTATAGGCAATCTGTCCTCAAAAAAAATAATGCATGTTTTTGGTACCTTCTTGTTGTGAGGCAAGAGTGCTAAGATGGGACTTGCAATGTCAAAGCCCATAAGCCCGTCTTGGCTTTTCACAACGAAGAAAACAGGAACATATCAGTGCCAAAAATGTCAAAATATGTCTTCTAAAGTCTCCGTCCGAGTACCCAGGATCAAAAGGAATCACAGTGTATTGGAATAAGTTTATTATACAGATGGAGCAATGTAGAAAACTTACTCTCAGGTAAATTTTAAACAAGAAAAATTTAACTAAAGGAAGAGCAGCGCGAAAAACAGCCACAGAATTGAATATTGTAATTATGGTTCTTTGTGTAACTTGTGTTTAGTTTTACAACCTTATTCACCGGACCCACATGTAAGCAAGAGGCTACAAAAACAGTTTGGTGATTGTAGTCTGAATTCCCACTTTGGTTGGTCGCCATGTACGTGTCTGAACGGGTCAATTGCCAAGTCGTTTTGGCTGGTGTTTTTGGACAAAATTCCGTAGCTTTTTGCCAGTGTGAAAATCCTTGTAATGAACCCAAGCAAAAGACGGCTCTTCCCCTGGGAAACTTGAGTAACACATCTTTAAATGTTCTGCCATCGCTCTTGCAGACACTGAAACATCTCAAAAGAAAGAGAGAGAAAACTATCTACAGATCAGTATTCATGCTGGGCTTGTGCAACTTCAGCATTTTGATCAACATCAGAAAGATTCAGACTTTGGTGACGAAGCCAGCTCTGACTGTAATGAGGCAAAAATGTGCTAATGTAACGCTCAAGGCAAGTGTTGACAGAATCCTTATTAGCTTTTAAGTGTCTTTCAGTGGGAGTCTGGGCTTGTATAAAGATAAAGTGTTGTTGTGACAGAGCTCCACGATGGGAGGATGCAAAATAAGCAGACGGGTGAAACACCACAAAGACGAAATCAGGTGTACGTCAAGAAGCACGTCCAAATCATTCTGTACTTGTGTTCTTTCTCATCAGATCTTCATATTTGAAAACAACATCTACTACAGAGCCAGATTAGACAAGTCCCCCATCCGCCTAGTGTCTACTGGGAAAGAAAGAGAGGTGTTCAATGGACTGGCAGATTGGCTCTATGAAGGTGATGTTCCATCTTTCTCATCTCGCTCTGCTTTCAAAGTTTTAAAGTAGAACTTAACAATAGATTTCTCATTTGTGTTGAATGTCCTTGTAAAAAATGTGGATATCACGTGGCAATGAGGTGGATGTCTGCGTGTTTGAAAAAGGAAGGGCGAGTGCTTTGTTGAATGTGACCTCCCTCTGAGTGCACTCACCTGGGGCCGTATTCCTAAAGATTCTAAGAGTCCTCTCAGAGAGCTCCTATCTTACCCTAAAAACTCCTAGCTAGGAGTCTTAGCTTAAAAGTTATTCCAGAACACTCTTAGAGAACTTTGAGCAAGGAATTGACAACAACTTTTATCTTAGTGAGGAGGCGTGGCCGACCCCGTTGCTAGGTATGAGTCATCATTTCAGACGCTGTGATTGGTTGATCTTAAAAGTTAGTAAAAACATATTTTTGATGATAATGGGCAAAATAAGGGCCCTAAAATGGACAAACTCAATCATGGAATCTAATCTTAGGAATACTGTGTTATTGTAAATAATAACCAAACGCTATAAAGTCAGATATATCAATGGTGCATAAATACTGTGAATAGTAAGATAGACTTTTACACCACATCATCAGAGCTTGCTCAGCACCAATTTCTAACAAATACATATTACGTATATATCATTGAGCACTTATAATTTTATATATATATATATATATATATATATATATATATATATATATATATATATATATATATATATATATTTATGTATATATACATACAATTTAAATATTACTCTATATATAATATACATGAAAAAGAACATTATTATTATAAATATTATATGGATAAATGATGATAGTGATAACGTTAGGATTAGTAAAGGCTGTGATACTGACAGACGTATAAGGCATTAAGGAAACAATATTAATACAAACATATTATACATACAATGTACAAATCAAGTACAAGGGAGTTTAAAAGTCTTAACCTCTCTCACTCCTTTTTGAGCTGGATTGTTGTTAATAAAACAAAACTATGTATTTGTACTTCTATTCTGTTGTTGTTTTGTTTGTTTTTGTCCTTTTTTCTTGTTTGCCATGGCTCAAAATAAAGTATTCATTCATTCGTACTGAATGTGTGAAAATGTAGGCCCACTTGTACAGTATTAACGCAATAATAGTTACATTTACTTGCTTTTATTATTACCATGCTGGTTATTTTCTCTCTTTCAACTTTCACCATTTCTACCTACTTTTGTGTAACAAGGGTAAAATGGATGAGTTGTTATTGCTGACCAGCCTATAAGAAGCTGGTCACATGATTGACTTTTAAATATTACAGAAGCATAATTCCTGCTCGACTCAATCTTTAGCGTTTCACTGATTCACTGTCATCCAGTGTATAGAATATTTCTCCTGTCTCCACCGTCCACCATTTTGAGCTCTTAGGGAACTTTTAAGTCGCTAAAAGTCCACCTCTCAACTCTTAAGGGATCTCCCCTTAGGAGCACTCTTAAGAGCTAGGATTCTTTAGGAATAGCTTTTATCTTAACTAGGAGCTACTCGTCACTTTTAGGGGAAATTCTAAGAGTTGGTCAAGATTCTAAGAAAATTCTTAGAATTTGGCCACTAGGAGCAACTTTTAGCACTAAGAATCTTTAGGAATACGGCCCCTGATTGACAAAGGACTCATTTTTGGTCTACTTGGTCCGTGATAACTTACTTTACAGTACAGTACAGCAGCCAATGGACAAAATGTGCATTCTTTGAAACGTAGAATATGTTTAACTTACAATCATACACTGTTAAGCCAATACAGGTTTTTTATATTTATTTATTTTTCCCATAATGCACATTTGATAACAACAGATTTGTCATACTAGTGAAAAGTCTTAAAATGATCATTTAACCCATTCTTGAATTGTTACAAATTTCCTGTCATTAATGAAACTATTGTATCTAGGGGAATACAACTTTTTGACAAATTTGAGATAATGTTTTTGGCTCTTCTATTCCATGATGTGGCTTTTATCTCCTCATACATGTTCTAAAGACTGGATAAAACGTCTATGGAATAAGTTACCTTACACCTTCAAAGAATTGTTGCTTTAAGAATTATAATAATCATTAAAATGGTCATATAATAAAATTAGCTCCTTAACTAAGCTGCAGGTATGAGAAACATCTTCACCATGAAAATAATGTTATTGAGCAGGAGATCTGTATTTATGTGTTATTACAGTATTATTGGCACAGAGTCTGAATGTTTGTGATAATTGCAGATAAATACAGAGCAGTGAGGAATTGCAAATTGACGGAAAGTATGTTGAGTAGGAAAACGCAAACATCCATCAATAAAACGCCATCATGACAAGTTAAGGTCAAGTTTACATAACAATTCATCTATCTTCATGTAGCGCCTTTCCCAGATCACAAAGATGGGCACATGCCAGACCTAATGTACATGTTTTTAGTTGTAGGGGAAACTGGAGCACCTGGAGGAAACCTACACAGACACAGAGAGAACATGCAAAATCCACACAGAAAGGTCTGGAGTTGAAATCAAACGCAGGATCTTGCCGTGAAGCACAAGCGCTAACCATTGCGCCCACATAACGTCTGTTACCTCCCTCTTACCCCATCTTATATTCAGTTACTGAGGATAACAACAACAGTAATTGTACAGACTTGCATCTCCTGTGCATTGAGCCTTGTGCACACACCAATATAAACAATGGAAAGAACACAAGAAAAGAACAAAAACAAATAGAATCTTTATAAGTGGAAGAAAAAAACTCACTAAGCCTCTCCCTCTCTGCTGTCGTTCTTATAAATGGTCCCCAGCCTTTACATTTGCTGTAGGAATTTCAATGCAATTCAATTAGTACTTTGTATGCTATACTTGCTACGTGATTTCCGAAACACCAAATCTTTGCATAATTGCTCGACAGACAATGTTTGTGCAAAGATACGGCTTGTTCAGCTCATTCCAGAGGACGTCCTGGGCACCATCCAATCCTCAAGTCCATTAGTTCAGGTTGATGTGCGCCGCTACAAGACAACAGCGGTTTACAACACCCTAATGAAGAATTCAACATCAAGCACAATTTCGCTTAATACATCCCAGATCACACACAAAGTATATAGAGACATACACACACCTGAAACATACACACGCCTGAAACGTACACACGCCTGAAACGTACACACGCCTGAAACGTACACACGCCTGAATCGTACACACGCCTGAAACGTACACACGCCTGAATTGTACACACGCCTGAAACGTACACACGCCTGAATCGTACACACGCATGAAACGTACACACGCCTGAAACGTACACACGCCTGAATCGTACACACGCCTGAAACGTACACACGCCTGAAACGTACACACGCCTGAAACGTACACACGCCTGAAACGTACACACGCCTGAAACGTACACACGCCTGAAACATACACACGCCTGAAACATACACACACCTGAATCATACACACACCTGAAACATACACACACCTGAATCATACACACACCTGAATCATACACACACTTGAAACATACACACACGTGAATCATACACACACCTGAAACATACACACACCTGAATCATACACACACCTGAAACATACACACACCTGAATCATACACACACCTGAAACATACACACACCTGAAACATACACACACCTGAATCATACACACACCTGAAACATACACACACCTGAATCATACACACACCTGAAACATACACACACCTGAATCATACACACACCTGAATCATACACACACCTGAATCATACACACACTTGAAACATACACACATGTGAATCATACACACACCTGAAACATACACACACGTGAATCCTACACACACCTGAAACATACACACACGTGAATCATACACACACCTGAAACATACACACACCTGAATCATACACATACCTGAATCATACACACACCTGAAACATACACACACCTGAAACATACACACACCTGAATCATACACACACCTGAAACATACACACACCTGAAACATACACACACCTGAATCATACACACACCTGAAACATACACACACCTGAATCATACACACACCTGAAACATACACACACTTGAATCATACACACACCTGAATCATACACACACCTGAAACATACACACACCTGAATCATACACACACCTGAATCATACACACACCTGAAACATACACACCCCTGAAACATACACACACCTGAAACATACACACACCTGAAATATACACACACCTGATGTCATTGATGCAGTTACAATATTGTGTCGTTTTCATCAGCCATACAGTATATTAGGCTCATGAGGCGTCTATAAGGTGTGTCAAAAAACAGAACTAATTATTGATATATATATTGATTTCTTACCTAGAGATATCATTTGAATTAAAATGTTGAGTGTGTTCACAGTAAAGTGTCAATTAAAGTATCTGGACTTCAAAAGGTTATAACTTAAAAACTAAAATTACTATCATAGATTGGAAAAAAGATTCCAAACACAGACACATTGAAGAGATCGTGTGGATAAAATCAAAAGGAAAGACAAATATATTTTTGGCGACATTTTAAACGACCAAATCATCCTCTGATTGGACCATTCTACTGTGACGGCAGTTACATAGAAAAAAATAAAATGTCCTCAGTTTAAAAAAGCGGCAGATGAAATCCCACATGATTTACATTAACACAACAGAAGTAAATCACTTGATATAAAAAGGAATCGTTAAAAAATAGATATCAATTAATTAATTAAATGACCCTTGAAAAATGTATAAAGGACGTGATGATGACGGTCCTCTTTTCTCTAAAAATTAAACTTGAGAAAAAAAAAATCTGGTCTGGTTTCACAGTTAATTTGTTTACTATATGAAAGTATCACTTTATTTCTACTCTGTGTAAAAAAATAGAATCTCTTAATCAATTGTGGACATCTGAAAATACGTAACAAACATCCACAAAGCCCATTCCGTCAAATCATCACGTCCGTTACATAAAATAAACAGGGCCACTATAGGAAACTTGTATAATGTATAAAACAGTTATGTTCTAGCAACTTCTAATGGAGGTGTTTGGAAACATGAAAAACATAAAATATCTTTGGATTATTAAAATCAAACTTTTGGCCTTTTGTCACACTTTTGTGCCCTTTAGTGTGAACAAGCCATGATGACTTTAAAAACAATTGACCTTCAAAAAATGTAATATTAATGCATCACTGGTGTTGTATTTATGTAATTTTCTCCTGTGTGAGATTGATAAAGTCTATCTTATCTTATCTTAAAAATGTGGCGCCACTCTTAAGACTTTTTTTTCTGAATCCCGTAGTTTAGAAAAATGTTGTATTGAGTCAAAAAGATCCCTGTATATTGCATACTCAGCTCTGATGGCAATGCAAACACTTTTTCACTCATTGTTAGTGGTTGTATGAAACCAATTATTGCCAAATTAACACATTGTCTATTTTCAAATGCTAATAATATGACCCTGCTCAGTAGTTTCCTTCTCCCAGTTCTCAAGAGCGTGTTTATCCCCTCTAACATCCTTTGTGGTAGTTGTGGATGAACTTATTACTCCTCTTTGATGAGAGGGCTGCCCATTCTGTTTGTAAATTCCTGAGCTGCCTTGCACACACTGCACATTTGAGATTGCCAATTGTGTTATTATCCATAATATTATGCTTGGTCGGTAAACATTCAAACACAACTGTAATATAGAAACCAAATGGAAACCGAATGTTATCATAAAATTAATCAATTCAAAAGCAGAAAAGAATGTATAACACCCGGTGAATGCTGACACTTGCTTCAGAGTTTCTTGCAATTTTTTTTTTCATGAATGAGATTATTCTGTGAAGAGGACAGAGAACGCAACATGAAACAAGGAAAGCATTCTACAAAAATTAGTCCTGCTGTGGTTGCTCTTTTGTTCATGGAGGTGATAGGGAACAGCTGCTAACTTTGAAATCCACTTCTATTTCCAGTGGACCCACCACTGTCAGACTGGGACCGCCAAAAAACACACACGCTCAAAGCCTACTCTATAATTACTAATATTTTCAGATGTCAAATCAGGTTTAAAGGGACCTCATGTAATATGCACAATTATTGGTCTAATACAATTACAATTACTATCCAACTTTTATTGCCAAAATCTTCCTGCCTGTCACTCTCATGGAACTCCTAAGTACCGATTACAGATGCAAACCACCTGCTGTAGTTTAGCTAGAAATGGTAAATGCTCTGTGAATTATGTATGGTTACAGTATATTGTTGTACCTGCTTTCATTTAAACAAATATGTGGGGTTGTTTTTTTGTTATGGATATTTGTTATCTTGGGCGGCACGGTGGCTGAGTGGATAGCACTCTCACCTCTCAGCAATAAGGTCCTGGGTTTGAATCCCGGTCGGACCAGGGCCTTTCTGAGTGGAGTTTGCATGTTCTCCCCGTGTCTGCGTAGGTTTCCTCCGGGTACTCCGGTTTCCCCTACCACTAAAAAATATGTACAATAGTTCTGGCATGCGCCTCCTGTACTGGCGACCCTGCTCCCATCTCTGTGTGGAGTGAGAGACAAATGCCCAAAAATAACACTTGTAAACCGCTTTGTGACTCTGGTTTGTGAAAGGCGGTATATAAATAAAGATTACTTACTTACTTACTTGTTATGAAAACAAAACAAAAGATAAGAGCCAAAACTAGCTACATTTCTCCTAACAAACTGGCAACCCAAATGAGAGCCTAATTCTTCTCTCTTATTGGATAATCGGCTTGAAAACTAAACATAAATATGAACATGAATATTCTGTATTTGTAATTAACTCTGGATTTCATGCTTTCTGGGGACACATAGACATATCTTTTATGTATTTTAAGATTGAAATGTTACTGTAATATAATGTGACATATTGTGATATAATTTAAATGAGCCATTCCAAATTCTGGAATGATTTACCTTTTATTCAAACAGGAAAACATGCATTTAAGTTATTTAAGTTGTTTAAACCAGTATTCATGTTGCAATTCTAAATCCCGATTACATGTTGTGTGGACAATTGTTCTGCGGACAATTGTTCTGCGGACAATTGTTCTGCGGACAATTGTTCTGCGGACAATTGTTCTGCAGACAATTGTTGTGTGCAGCGCCTGTGGCTTTGAGTTCCCCGCTTTTTGAAATATGTTGAAATCTTTTTGTGTATGATCCTCCACTCCACTTTCTCACTTGGCTTAGTTTAAATTCACAAACAAAATATGGCCTTGAGTGCTTAAGGGACTTCTTTATCAGAGAGTATTTTTTTCTGTTGAATTTATCGCATGCATTTATGGTTTTCAATAAAGTAGTTTTTTTTATTGTTCCATCCCAAAGATATTAAATGATGATAAGAAAAACAAACACTGAATTCCTCTCAAGAATGTAGCGGTTTGGCTCTTTCTGCTAAAAACAGTATGTGTTGTTTTGGGTGAAGCTCTTCTGCCCCCTGCTGGACAGTTCTCTTACTCTCAGTCTCATGAAAGCGTCATGATTTATTATGATGAAAAATGAATAATTGCACATTGCTTCTACCTGTGCAGTGATTCAGTGGGTACAATTCTATCAATGTCGGAAGATAAAGAAAATGAAAGTGAACAAGATGAGATAAAGTTGTGGTTCCGTGGACCGGAGTAATAGCTGTCATTGACCAATACAAAGCATTCTTATATCTGTGCTCGTTCATCAAGTGGAATACAAACATTGTCAGAGCTTTTTTCTCTTTTGTCCTGGTGCAGAGGAGATCCTGCAGAGTCACGTAGCACACTGGTGGTCTCCTGACGGACTGCGCCTGGCCTACATGACCATCAACGACACGCATGTCCCCAAAATGGAGGTCCCATTTTTTACCGGGACGCCGTACCCCAGCAGCTGGGAGTATCATTATCCCAAGGTAACGTCGCAGTTGTGGATTAGAATAGATTTTGACGGCTGCATATTGACAGTGATGCCCTGGCGGCCTTGGTGGTTCTCTTCAGGCTGGGGAGCAGAACCCACTGGTGCAGCTGTCAGTGGTGAGCCTCAACGGGCCCCTGCACACGGTTCTGATGAAGAAGCCGGATGACCCTCGGATCGGGTGAGTGCTGATGGACAACCCGCTCTAGTGAAGAGCTCAGAAAGAAGACAAGTATAAATCTCACTGTTCTTTTTGTTTGTTATAAAGGCGCGAATACTACATCACCTCAGTTAAGTGGGCCACCAGCACCAAACTCGCCGTCAACTGGTTAAACAGAGGCCAGAATAACTCCATCCTGACTCTGTGTGAGGCCACCACAGGCGTCTGCATCAAGGTACAGAGGATGTAACACTTCATCTGTCCTAACTGTGTATATTCAATGACTATGATTGTCTTTTTATGACTAATTACTAAAAAACTTTCACTTCGTTCAATATTGGACACGATTTTACAAAATGGTAGATAGTGCTCTGGACAAAGAACATTTCATGGCTCACCGCAATCATTAAATTGATCTCAGCCAGAATTAGCTTTTATCATATGGCTGCATCATTCAGAAGCATATTATACAGCATATTTAAGTATAATTGTATTTAAATCTGGCAACTCATACAGTGTAAAATGGAAGTTAACATAATTATGTAATATTGTATGTACTTTTTGTTCCCACCGAGTTAGTGTATTGGCTCAATGCCACTAAATTCAGAAAGGTATATGTACAGAAATAAATGATATACCTTTCTACAAAATGTATTTTCAGACGGTGAGAATAAAATCCGTTATACAGGTTTCCACTTTATGATGTGAAATTGTATAGTATACAAAGCTTAATGAATGTGTTGTTTGCTTCAGAAACATGAGGATGAGAGTGAGAGCTGGCTGCAGAGACAGGTGAGGCTGCTCCGGGACCTGGGAGCACATTCTGGGCCGTATACATACAGACTTTCTCTCTTTGCTCCAGAATGAAGCACCACTTTTTTCCCAAGACGGACACCGGTTCTTCTTCACCAGGGCCATACCTCAGGGCGGCAGAGGGAAGTTTTTCCACATCTCCATGTCCACTTCTATGGTGAGTTATGGCTACACACTTTCTCTATGAGCCCAGAGAGAACTGAGCAGACTTGTGTTACAGCCCAACAGCAGCACAGACATCCTTCAGTCTCTGACCTCTGGGGACTGGGACGTCACCAAAATCCTGGCCTTCAACGACCAGAGGAACCTCATGTAAGATACGGACACCTCATGATTATTTATTTTTGTACCCTATTCACCTATTTAACTTGTAAGTATTTTAGGGATAAAACCACTTAAAACTTAAATGAGCAGAGACAAGAATGCCCAAAAGAACGCCTTGTTATTCCAAAAAAAGGATTAAGTTTAATTCTTTAAATGCAAGAGTCTTAGTTGGTGCTAGCACTAAGAACTTTTTCTAAATAAAAACTAATCAATTGTTCATACTGTATAATCATTAGTTTCAGCCCTGAAGTCTCAAAAAGAAGTAGTTTGTTTTACCCACCACCAAAACTACACATTTTTACACAGAGCCATGCCTCTGTGTAAAAAATATCATTGATCTTTCATGTAAAAAGTTCTCACACAAAGGTCTTTAATACAGTTTTGTTACTTTTTCAGATATTTTCTAAGCACAGAGGATGACCCCAAAACCCGGCACTTATACAGGTACTCCCCCGACTCTGTCCTCAATCATTAGACAAAAGCCAGAGAGATTTGTAAACGTGTGTGCGCGTGTGTGTGTGTGTGTGTGTGTGTGTTCTAGTGCGGACACTATCCCTCCGTTCAACCGATGCTGCTTGTCGTGTGAGTTCAAATGTGGATACGTGGACGTCTCCTTTAGCCACGACATGAGCTACTTCTTACTCAACTGCAAAGGTGAGCGGCCGCACCCCTGGGTTACTGCGGGGTTTGCTAACATATTCAATTATATTTGAGTTTAACAGTAAAAAAAATATTATTTACACTCACATGCACACACACACACACACATACACGTACACACCGATTCCACCTATAGTTGAGGCCTTTCTGTGTGGAGTTTGCATGTTCTTCCCATGTCTGCAGTTTCCTGGTTGCTCCGGTTACCTCTACCCCTAAAAGGTTGTACAATGGGTGAGGTGAATGAGTGTATGTTTGTGACTGTGAGATTAATGATCAGACCTGGTCACTACGGAGTCTCGGATAAATCCATTTTTGGTCCTACTGTGCTATCAGGCTATTCAAACTCTCAAATACTCAAAATACAGTATACTGTATTTGCTGTACTGTCAATATTCAAGACGTTTTGTCCATGCTCTAGATTTCTATTTCAGTTGGAGAGCAAGAAAAAAATAAAATAAAGAAAAGTTGAAAAAGAATTTGTCCAAAATGTTTTTCCAGATGATTATTTGATTATGTTTAGATTCACAAACCCACCGTATTATTCATGTCTGAAAGTCCTTCTCACTGGCCGGAAGAATATTCAATAATTATTGATCTGACTTTTGACACTTACTATCAGTCGAGTTACCGCCAAAAAAAATTCAGCTTCCCTCCACCACAATTTTAAACTAAAAACTCTTTGGAATGTTGTGATGTCACATGAATACAACCTATTTCATGATCCAAAAGAGTGAGGAGTCTTTTCTCGTCGAAATTCATGTCTAATATTAGTCATGCTGTTTCCTGTGCACTTCAACGCCTCCGTTTGTGTCAGTAGTAATTGGTTGCTATAGTTACGCAAGGCAAACATGTCTGAATGTACATGCAATTTTCCAATTTACTTCAATTGGGACTCTGCCAATTATCCAATCCTCCTTCATCCGGTGTAAACATAGTAACTGTCAGAGTGAGTTTGCAACATACTTATCTCAAAAAACAAACATGTAAAGTCATTTATAACTTACTTACTTTTAATGTCTGTCAGTCCAGGTATCGGGAACTGGACTGACTGGTACAAAGACAGAAGAACAAGTTGTGAATAATTGAAATTATGCTCCGAGTCGGATGCAGGGCTTATATCCATAACCGATAACTTCAACCCTCTCTGGGATCGGCTCAAACTCTGCTGTAGGTTCCGCCGTAGCTTCCTGCGATAAGTGTTCTGTGACAGATGATACAAGGACCAGACCCGTGGTTGTTATTGTGGCTGCTTTTTTTTTGTTTACCACTGTTCCTCCTGAGACTGCTGTTTAAGCCTGCGGAGCACAAAAGCAGTGTTTCTATGGAAGTTGATTTGTTTAGGGGCCTGTTCCCAGAGAGCTGCTGCGCCTGTGGCTCTCCCCATTAATTGGATCTTTTGAGAGTAGCTCCACGGTGAAATAATGGCAAGCCAGCACTTCTCCTGGGAAAGAGTGGATTATAAAGCTTAGGAATAAGGATTCGAAAACTAATGTAACGGCTGACATGTTATTGACCATTACTGAGCCGCAATGTTGTGTTTTTATTGTATTTTTTCCAGGTCCGGATATACCGAGTGTGGCTATTTATAAGACCAGTGACAAGCAGAGTGAGTGTCCACACCTTATGTGCGTTGTAATCACAATATTATAAATAAGATTAGAGCTACATTACACCAATTATTTTTTTTCTCACTGTCACTGAAGCATGCTACTAGAACCAGGAAACTACTTCTGGTATATAACTCCTGCAGTCATCCTCATACTGCACTGTTTGTAATATGTATACCAAATATCAATATAAGGTTGTGTGATCATGTTTGTAGTATTGATGCTTGTATTAGCTAAAGTGGATGGATACAATAATTCATGATTTGTACTGTGAATATTAAGTATGACAAAATGAAAGGTCAATATCTTTAGCTTAATAAGCAAATAAACAAACGGTATACTCTATCGCAAAGAATTATATACTTGTATTTATACATGTATAGATTTAGATGTGATTTGAGAAGACATGGCTTCTTCCTGCTTCTTTATTATGCTAAAGTTAGGGATTTTATTTCCACTAGAATATACATTTTATTTTATAACTGATTATTTATTATGCTAAAGTATTTTTTTTTCATTCATTTTTTTTATTTTCATTTGTTCATATTGTGGGCACAGATAAGTACATGGTAGACAATGCAAAAAGAGTCATATAGTGCAAAAAGATGAAGATAAAAGGTTAAGCTAAAATATTGTGTGCTCCTAATTCCTGTTCTGTATCTGGTGATGCAACACTGACATTTTTCTCTGTGGGACGAATAATAATCTCTGTATCGTTTTAACAGCAGAAATATTCTCTAAAAGAAGCCTATATGAACATTCAGACCTCCACTAACGCCATGTCCCATAAGACTGTCACATTAGTATTCGTGTTGTGTGTCTCCCTAACAGCGAACACAATCCTATCTATTAAACAAATATCAGATATCTAATTCCAATATTTATTCATTAAGTCCTTTGTTTACTGCTACTTCTTGCATTACCAGATAAAGTCACTCACTCCCATTGTCCTCCTCTTGGCCACAGAGCTGTTGTACATCGAGACCAACGACAAGCTGAACGTGACGTACCACAACATGCAGATGCCTCGTGTGGAGTACGACACCATCACTATTGACGACTACAGTAAGCTCTCTGATGACCAGGTGTGAAGACCTGCTGTTACTGCTGTTACTACTGTGTCTGTCTGTTTCAGCCCTGACCATGCAGATCCTGAAACCAGCAACATTTGTGGAGACGGCCCACTACCCCTTACTGCTGCTGGTGTGAGTATCAGGCCATATCTGCAAAAAGTGGAACAGAAAATAGGTTGTAATTGCTTAAATTCAATTGTTTTTTTTATCTTAATTTGTGTACATTCTGACTGTCTTAATACTTTATGCGCCAAAGTAGCTGAATTGATACACAAGATCCTAAATCCAGAACTCTCTATTCTTTGCTTCCCACAATCGTCTCCCCACATTTCTTTAAACATTTTTTTCAATGTATTTCCATGATTGTTTAAAGTAGTCCACACTCTCTGATTAAGTTACAGGGTGTCACCTTTTCTCAGCAATAACAAAAAAACGCTGGTGCCTAAAGTGTTAAAAGATTTGCCAACTAGAGAAAGCCATTTATTCTTATTTCAACAACTGTTGATTTATTTTCTCATTCCAAGAGAGACATTTATTGTATCTAAAATTATCTAAAAACAAGATAATTTTGCTCGTCCCATTGGTAAATCTTGTTTTTAAGCCAGTCAAAATGTGCTAGAATTTAGATTTTGATAAATTTTTGATCGGTCAGCCGTTAAAGGACATAAATAAATGAAATTACAAAGACAATAACAAAATAATAAACTCCAGTATCACAGAGAGAGTGCTAAAGTGTGACACAAACGGTTTTTACTTTCAGGAGCCAAAAGGAGCCAGAACCAGTTATCTTTGTCCATGAGTACTTCCCTATTGGACATTAGGCTAGGAGGTTAGCTTAGTCTATTCCTATATATACAGCACAAATATGAAAACATTGTAAACACTGTATTTGGATTGGCTAAAAAAAAGTATAGAATATTGTGTTAGTTATGAAATTTAGTTTTAATTTGGATTGATACGTTTTTTTTTTTTTAGATTTAGGATGGTTTATGTTTGGAATGGCCGGGATGATGCTTGAAAATGTTCCAGTTCAAGTCACACTTTTAAACAACTTTCAAGACCAAACTATATATCTCTACAATAAACAACAGAGATATATATGTTTTATACAATAATAGTATCAGCAAAATGAATTATAGTATGTGTTCTTATATCATTGATACAGAAGTTCAGCCTACACGTGTGAGTGCACATAGATATTATACATTTTGATAGATGTATGCAGTACTCACTGAAGTACTCACTATGTTGTGTAGATACTTTAATGATATGTGTTTTATTATGAATCTTGAGTTCAGATTTGGATCCCATCTGGATTTTCTAATCTTGTATGACTGTTTTTGTTACTAAGGTCAAATTAATCCAGCTCTTTTTGGTGTTGACCAACAAAGAGAAAAACTACAAAACAGATGAAAATAATGCGAAAGACCAAGAGATTGTTTATTCCAAAGTTTGAACAGAGCTCGGAGCTGTTTTTTTTCTGTCAGAATCAATTTGATGGTGTAATATTCTGCAATGGTTTCAATCGGCCTGCAATAGAGATCAATGCTCTTCTTTGCTTTGAGAAACGTCCTTGAGACTGAGGACAATTTGAAATGATTAAAAGATGTTGAATTGCAGAGATGGCACCCCTGGTGGTCAGATGGTCACAGAGCAGTTCCAGGTGGACTGGGCCACAGTTCTGGTGAGCACCTTCAGCACCATCGTGATCCGCTTCGATGGACACGGCAGCGGCTTCCAGGGAACCAACCTCCTGCATAAGGTCCGGCGCCGACTGGGAAAACTGGAGGAGCGGGACCAGCTGGAGGCTCTCAGGTTTAACAACAGCATTAATACTACTGTGAAACTATAACATTAAAATAACATGTTAATATGATTTTCATTTATTATTTTCTTATTATTAATTAAGTTCAGATGTGTTTGCTTGTGAAAGTTTGATTGATTTTTTCTATACAACTACCACAATATATAAAACAAGTCAACAACATGAAAGCCATCTGAAGCTGCTTCTTAACGGAAAATTCTCAATATAGAAATTTTAAAAATGTCATTCCACATGATGAATAGTCAAGTTATTAGCCAATAGCAGCTGTGTTCAAAATGTATGCATGAAATTAGGATCTACACTGGATTGACATAAACCATAGCAGTATTTCAGGTTCAGCAATTCCTTTTTACTTACAAGGATTCAAGCGTTTAGTCGCATGATAAAGAAAATGTTATCAAATAATCAAATCTACAGGTGTCACACTCTTTGTATGACCAGGGACTTTCCTGGTCCTGATCGAGGTCCATATAAGAAAGCAACCTTATGTTCTTGTCTCATGTAGAAAATAAGTCCCGTCAGAGCCTTGGCTTTTCGATTTACTTATTTGCCATGAATCTTTGAAGAGCGCCTGACATTGTGATTTATTTTTATCCTTTTATCTTTAATTTAATCAAAATATGTTTTTACATTATAAGGCAGAAGGAAATGCATTATAAAATGAAGATAACTTACTTATTGGTTATATGATTTGTTTTTTAGGTTCATATCTAAAGAGCCGTACATTGACAAGAGCCGGATGGGAGTTTACGGAAGAGTAAGAAAGGCTTTATGATCTATACGTATAATAATTATATGATTTATTCTTGTTTCTTCTTTGTATTCATTTTCAGGCTTATGGTGGATACTTGGCAACTCTTCTTCTAAGCTCAGCGGATTTCACCCAGCTCAAATGTGGAACAGCAGTCTCTCCCATTACAGACTTTGAACTCTATGGTATGATACAGATTGAAAATGCAATACCAATACTGGACCTGTCTGCACTGGGGCTAGTGCAGACAGGTCCGAGACCTCAAGACAGGTCCGAGACCTCAATGATCCAGAAAGTCACCTTATTGGGGGAAGGAGGCGGGCTGATGCTGGGGCTGGAGCGATTCACACAACAGACAATCTTTCTTTTAACCTCAATATCTCAAGGATCTAGTTCTAAGGGGGATGTGTGTGTGTGTGTGTGTGTGTGTGTGTGTGTGTGTGTGTGTGTGTGTGTGTGTGTGTGTGTGTATGCATGTATGTGTGTATATATATACATAGACAATATGTACTGTGTAGTTTGCTCATTCACCTCATTATTTTCTTTTACAGCTTCTGCATTTTCAGAAAGATATCTGGGCTCCAAGACAGATTCCAGGGTTTACACGGTAGAGTTATAGCCTTTTAATGCCTTTAAATCATTGTTAGGTATTCTTTGTGTGAATGGATGGTAATTGGGGCCGTTTAAAAAGTAATGTTGTATTTTGCCTTTTCTCGTCAGATGGCAAATTTAGCACACAGAGCGGGTCAGCTTGTGGAGAAGCAGTACCTGATTGTTCACCCCACTGCTGACGGTGAGATTTACAGCTCGACTGGCAGCACATTACTTCTTAATGAGAGCGCCAGTGAAACACTATCAGCCTAATGCGTCTGTCCACTCTCATCTTTCACAGAAAAGGTTCACTTTCAGCACACGGCAAAGTTTATCAACCATTTAATCAACGAGAACGCCAATTACACTCTACAGGTGGGTGACATGCCACCATCGCTCCTGCACTTTATACCCCATCAAGGATCATGAGTTGCTGCGATGACCTTAAAAGATATAGATGTTTATAGACCGTATTATTATCAATCCTCATCTGTTGTCTAAAGGTAGAGGTATCTAATTCTGACTTTGCCTCCTTTTCAGATCTACCCTGATGAGGGACATTTTTTGCACAACGATGGCACACAGCAGCACTTGAGCCAGTCACTGGTGAACTTCTTTGGGGAATGTTTCCGTGTGCCGGACGTCCCTTCAGAGGAACAGCAGGAGGAGGACAGCTAAGGTTCAAGGAGCGGCCAGATCCACAGCACAATCTGCTTCTGCAGAGTTGCATGTGCAGAGAGACCCTGGCTTTCAGCCTTTTCTCCCACCTTGTGCTGGCTGAATATGGGGCTAAAAAGACTACTACTGAAGTCCTGATTAGCTAAAGTAGCCTACAATTGGACATGTGGATATAATGTAGGAAGGAAGGAAGGCTCCCTCTTGTGGCCAGAGTGCAGAACAACATGTCTCCACTGTGGCACATTAATCAAGCGCTTTGCAGCACAATATATCCTCCTCATCATCATATTGTGAGAGGTTGCCAGTTTGTGATAACTTTGCCAATTTATTCATCTTGTGTTTATAACTATACCGTCCAATAGTTTTTATTTGAGTGAATGTCTGGTTGCACCACAACTGCTTTCAAAAACAAGGGCACAAGTTCAACTATTTAAAAAAAACACAATCTGTAGAAAATATAGTTTTTTCCATACTCTCAATCTGTCACTGTGCCTTAACTTCTGTGGGGGATTTTACTTTAAAAAACCCACCGACACTGACGAAACTGATCGGCCTAAATGTGAACCCTGTCAATGACTAGAAACACACTTCCTCTGACATTTGTTTTCCACTTTGACATAAAACACCTCCATCTTATCATAAAAGGGGTAATTTATCTACTACTAAGAACTATTTTGTTTGAGACTCTACTTCAAGAATAATGATTTGACCACGCTGAACATACTCTGTGGATTGATTTGTTTTAAGAGTGGACTTTCATTTCCCAGTGGTTTCTAGTCGTTTATGTACAAAGTGTATAAAACGTATATTGTTTAAGTCTTTGTTGTATGTGCAACTTGTATATAAAGCATTTTGAAACATACAATGTGCATTCAACAGATTATTGCACCCTCTAGTGTGCACTGAGGGAATAACAACTACGCTTCAATATGAATCAGATGCAAAGAAAAGTTTTAAATATTATTGTTGATTGTGTTTAAAGATATTACCAAAAACACACATTCATTTGCCATGGACAAAATTTATTTCCAGTGTTCTAGGAATTATGATCCCTCTCACAATCAGAGGAAAAATCACCCAGCTCATCAACAGTTTCCTGGAGCCTGGACTTCCTAAAGTACCAAACCGCTCATGACACCAGAAGGCCTCATGAGCATCTTACAATACTGTACTTTAAACCAGCAATCGTTTAGAAATAAAAACAAAAGCAACTAAAACATGAAGCTCATATACAGTTACTTTTGTCCACATGGAATATTTAAAATTCAAGTTCTATTAAAACCAAAAATGAAAATGGGAAAGTATAAAACATGTTAAGACCAGAATGGAATGCCTAAGGAATGGAAGATCGGCATCAATACAGAAATCTGTGAATGTTAACAATAAAAATGTAATTCACAGTTCAACCTTAAGTCTATCTCAACAAAGACAGTATGGCACCCATTACATTTCATTGTTAGGCACTTTCTGAAAAACATGATTCTGATTTACCCATTTCTTCTGTTCTCAACGCAGTCCAGACAGTTGCACAGAAGGATGTTGTTCATTGCGCTCAAACATCTCCCTGGTTTTATACAAGTAACCTGTTTGCATTTGCACCATGTTCCCATACAATAAATCTACTTTGTACCTTTGGAAAGGCCCTGTGAGTACAGGAAGCTTGCCTAGTCACAGGCAGTACCAAAACACAGTTCAAGTACACTGGAAAATATCATTTCTATTCTCTTGAATTAATACAAGCGTACAAGCTTTTAGTCACTTTTATACGGCAAGCAATCTGTACATTCTTCATTTGGTTACCGAGACTTTGAACACTAGAACTTTCTTTACACAAAAATAGTTCCTTTGCAAAACTAGAAAATCTGTCTTAAGTTTTATCCTACTCATTCTAAGTTCATTTTTAAAGCCATTAGACTAAACTTTCAAACACCTCCTTGTACAAGCTGCACAGGCTCTAGGTCCTCTCTGTGGATCATAATTCTGAATCAGAAGGAATCACTCCTGTCAAATATCCAAAATGTATGAAAAAAAAGTAATAATAAAAAAGGGGAGAAATATTCACAACTTGTTGATTCATGCCTGAACACATGAAAACTCCCTGTGTGCATTAATTCATACATTTGTACAGCAACATGCTCACTCACCAGCAGACTTCACATGTACAACACACATACACACAACTTTTGTCCTGCAAAGAAGATCCCGGTCACAGATACTGGTAAAACCGTGAGTGCACCACCTGGGAGCTGGTCAGTTTGTGGGGGTGAGCAGTGGCTGCGAGGCTGAGATTTTTATGGGGGGGAATTTCACCATTGACAGCCTCAGATCGGGACGCTCCTTCAGCGAAAGCAGAGGCAGTGTCCTGTCCTCCGAGTTCCTCCAGCTGCTCCCCCTGCTCCAGGCTGACCTCTGGGTTGCTTGAGCGATGCCGCTCACGGGCAATCCAGTCACCAATGGAGAAGTCCTGAGAGCTGCACTTGGGTTTGAGTCGGTCTACAGCTGACAGCTCTGATCGAGTACCAATGGAGACGGGCTGGGACCAGTCCAGCACGGACAGCTCCGCAAAGTCTCTCTGCCCACCCATTGTGTGGCGCCGACGAATGTTCTTCTTTTTGCTGCGGCCCTCTGGAGTGCGCTGACTGCCCACTCCAAACATGTCGTCCACAGACATGCGCAGGCGGACTTTGAGGCGATCGGTGATCTTCAGCCTCCATGCAGGCTCAGTCTTATCAAGCTCACTGCGAGACGAAGAACTGAGGCTGCCACTGGAGCGGCCTTTGGTGGAGCCCATGGCACGGGAAAGCCTGTTGGTGTCTTTCTCACTGCGACCGTCCAAAGAGGACTCACTAGTGGTCTTCTGGCTCCTCTTGCGAGACAGTGTGTCCCCCTCGATGAGCCTGTGGGATTGTAGTGGGCGCAGCACCACACTGTCCCGGCCAACAGTGAAGACGGAGAGGTCACTCTCGCTGTCCGTCTCCACAGGCTGGCCCTCACTGATGCGCTCACTGCGCTCGTCATCTGCATCGTCTCCACGGCTCTCGGACACAGACTGGACCTCAGGATTCAGGGCGCTGAGCTCACCGCCGGTCAGGAAAGTCATGGAGGACGTGGTGGAGTAGTCAGAGGTGATGGAGCAAACATCTGTGCTCGCACTGCCCATAGTACCCTCGTACCCCGTAGGCGGATATCGGCAGTGTCGAGCTCGGGGAACAGAGGCCTGGGAACTGGTGCTGTTCATGGTTCCCAAGTCTGACACTGTGTCGTCATAGTTACTAGGTGGATCACACAATGTGGACTGATGAGCCATGCGCTCACTCAGACTAGGCGAGTGAGGTGGGGAGGGCGTCTGCACTTCAGGAGACACGGGTGGTTTATCTGGGCCATCCAGCTGATCCTCTGAGCTCAGCCTGGTTCTCCCTCCCTCCTCTTCTTCCTCAGTCCGACTGTCAGGTGACCACATGGGCTGCGGCATACACTCCTCTTCCTCCAGGACACGGGTTCCAGAGTCCAGGTCATCGTCGGAGCTGCTGGGGTGGGCTTTGTCCTTGGGCTTCTTACGCTTACGGCTGACGAAGAAAGACGAGCGCAGCATCTCTTTACTGCAATGATCCTTCCCTGAGCCCCAAAGACCCTGCACACAGTGATGTGTTATACACAACCAGGAACAAGGACATTATACAGCAAAATGTGATCCTAGTTACCTTTGATTTTGAAGAATCACTACATGCTGAATCTGCATTACAGAAAACATACATTAGCGGCTGTCACCAGATACAGACAAAGTGCAAAGCAGTCAGTTTGCTGAAGAGTCAAAGAGACAACATGAGGAGAATGAGAGCAGCTGAATGAAGAGACTGACGACACAAGAGGACACTGAACATGAGGAGGCAGAGGGCGCCCCGCAGACACAAAGCAGCTCATGCTTGTGTTCGAATGGAAACAACGACGACGGCACATGACAGGACTGAGGGCCACACAAGACATCAAGCCGAGTTACTGTCGCAGTGTGCAAAAATGTACTACCAGCAAGAAGTTACTAAAGATATCATCAACTCTTAACAAGCAAGCATTTCCAAACATTTAGCCAAAATAAAAACAACCAACAACACAGCTGTTTGAGAACTATGACACACAAGCAATAAGCCTAAGTTTCTGAAATTCAAAATTTTAAGTTAACAAAAATAGTTTCCCGTAAAAAAGGTAACATCAATCCATAATCTAAAATTGTTGTCTACATCTAGTTCTGTAGCACACTGTAGTTCCAGAGTCCATAAGCGATGAAAGTATTCGAGTTGCATGAGTACAAATATAGATGTAAGAACGGAAGATACAGTGTCCTATAATGTTGAATGAAGACTTAAACACAGAAGCACAGAAAGACCAAAGACCGCAGGAAACTAAAGTGAGTTTCTTTTCCGCTGCCAGTCTGCCACTGCTGTGCATAGCCTGTGTGTAATCGCATGAGCGGGACGGGCCGCGGCGCTCGGACTCCGCCCTCAGACACCATGACAGACACAGGAGTAGACCGTACCATGCTACTTGTCCTTGCGGTCAGCTTTAGGGACAACAAGAGACAGCAGAAGGGCTTTCAGACAAAGTACAGCGGCATTGCTCTGTATCCCCTCTAATCAGGGTTTGAAATATGACACGTGCACACCACAGTAAAAAATGACAAACATCGACTTCTCTTTCTTTCGTTTTATCGTTTTTCTTCCTTTGGCCCAAATTTTAAAAGAGCTGCGGATGTCTGCAGACTAGGCAGCTACAGGGGCCACAACACTCGTCCTTCTTCCTACAGTCCCAGCTGTCCATGACTGACAGGACAGAGTCCATCAGCGACATCATCGAGTGATAGACGCCGCCCACTTGGCCTGTGTCAAGAGTGGGTCACGAGTGAATGAGGGAGAGAAACAGCACACTACACACAGAAGGTCAGAAGGTTACAACTTCCAGCTTTGCTCTAGTTCTTAGGTTGGTCTTTGGGGAAGAACATGCCGGGATTAAGTGAGACAAGGAGGAGGGGAAGAAAAGAACGGAAAGAAAAGGAGTCGTCGTCTCAACACAAGTAAAGCACAGGGAGAAAGAAAAATGACTTGAGCAAGTAGAAATTAAATGGAAGAACAATAAATGAATGCAAACAATCTTCAATTTTGGCCAAACAAAAATAAATCATAAAACCTTTTGATCAAATAAAACAGGTCTAACAATAAATGCTCATGTCAATCATTTCATTCAAACCGTCTTTGGAATTTTGGTGGAACCCAAGAGCCAGTAGATTGAACAATTTAAAACCTTGAACATGCATGCTTGTTATTTGGCATGTAATGGTTTTGCAGGTGAGAATTACGTGATCAAATTTGTACAAGTAGAAGACAAGAACCCCAAAAGTTTATACAAGATAATTAACTGCATTATCTCAAGTAACTTACCTGACACTTCACCCGGTGAAGCTGTAGTTCTTCCGATATTCGTGAGCAAATGGTCAATATTTGGCACAGGCTGTGACTGCACTGTGCTCTCCTGCTCAGCCGTGGTCTGCAGGAGCACACACATTAGAATACAACAAGGGGACAACACAACACCATGTACATGTGGCACAGCACTCACAACAGGGTCTTCATCCCCGTCCTCACAGAAGAACCAGTCGCACTGCTGAATAAGGTTTTCCACTATCTTACACTGGTCGGGCATATGGTTCACCATGTTTGTCATATTGTCTTCTGAAGTCCTGACCAGTGTCGGACCAAACACAATTGCCAAGTTACGAGGCTCCATCTAAGTGAAACACAACAAATGTTATTCACAGTAATAACAATAAGCCAAATCACAGGTTTTTTTCAGTCACTCTTACTGCTATTTTACACAGGAGGCGTTACAGCACGTACGCGTTATACGCGCAGCAGACGCACGAAAATGTTTTCCATGTTAACCAATGGTGATATTTCCACTACTAGTGTTATACGCGCGTTTGACGGACGTATGACGCGAGGCTGCTCCTAATTTAGGATGGATTTCTAATTTTGTGCACGCAGCAACGCGTCTCCCAGTGAAACACATGTGAAACATGATTTTTATAGTGACCCTTGGCTTTAGATTGCATCTATACACACACAGCACTTGTATCTAAACATTAGCAGGAGGACTGGCAGGTTTTACAGTGATTTTAGACATCAATTTTTTTCTTTCATAAAGTCTGGCGTCTGGCCAAACCAGCGCACAGAGACCATGAAGACAAGCACATGCATGTGATTTGTGTAGCTCTACATCAGTCCTCTGGCCCGTACTGTCCTCTACACTTCTCAATAGACTACACAGGGAGAACATCAGAAGCCGCGGACCAGCGCGCACAGCCAGTGTAGATACACCCAAATTATGTTATGCGCAGATGCGTGCAGACAACGTGCAGTCAACGTGCAGTCAACGCGTACGTGCTGTTAACGCCTACTGTGTAAATTCCCTGTTACACACAGAGCAACATCCTGTGTCCAAACTACTTGCCATTTAGCCTGCCTCACGAGTAGGGTTGTCAACTTGAGAACAAAAAAATAAGGGACACCATTTGGGTGGATTGGGTTGAGCACTTTTTAGTCCTAATTTCAATCTACACAGTAATCATGGAATTTCATAATCACAGTTTTTAGAATGTAATTTATTGACTATATATTAAAAAAACAAACAAATCCTTAGTCAAAAATGAAATTTAATAAATAGGTGGAACTCTGACTGGTTAAAGACTTAATGCATTCTTATTAGTAATAAAAAATATAAAAAAGACAAATGCTGTAACATACATTATTTATATATGTTACAGTAACGACCATTTACTGTAAAAGCAAATTCAAAAAATGCATGTAATCAAGCCTACGCCCCTTTGACACTGATTGGCCGAAAGGTAGACGCTTAAACTGTGATTACTGTGTGTGTGCATATGTGTGCGTGTGACATGCAGTGAGTGAGTGATGCATTTAAGGTGGCTCTGAAAATACGGGACAAAAGCTGTCCCGTATCGATTCAATACGGAACGCACATAGTTTGTCTATAATACGGGACAATTCGGTATTTCAAGGGACGGTTGGCAACGCTACTCACGCGGTAGTCCCCTTACCGACAAGTTCAGTGTGGACACTCTCTACGACCAAATATAGCGATAATTCAACAGATATCAAAGCATAAAGCTTTATAGGTCAGGTGAGGAGGTTTTAGATCACCCAGTGTCCTATGTCACTGCACAATTGCTTTAGAAGACTGATTTTGAAAATGAGAAGTTTGTTTTGACCCGTTTATTTTGATACATTCCTGTTTTTCTCGTAGTGAAACTCCAAAAACATCACCCTTTCCCATTTTTGTCCCGGATCAACACTCGGCTTTGCAGTGTGAAACCTCCTAGAGATAAATGTATAGTTTTTTGTTGTTGGCAAATCCTACCTTGTTCTTTTCACAGTTTTCAGAAACTTTTTTGAGATGAATACAAAGAAATTTTAAAGTTTCAAAATGATGATCTGGTAATTCTTGAATCTGCAACAAAGACAGAGCAGAAAATTCTCACAGATCTAGATTCTTAGCCCATGAATGTGTTATGTTGGAACTCACCAGCCTTTTCAATTCCTTTAGCCTTTCGACAGAGTCTTCAGTTCTGCTTGCTTCAATAAAATCACCATACTTCTCTGTTGGATGTAAAAAAGACACATAGTTGAACCAATATGCAGAAACTTTTGGTCATGACACACTTAAAGGCGTCTCACCATTTGTAAACAAAGGTTCGGGAAGTTTTCGGAAAAAGGACTTGAGAAGGCTGCTGATGACGTTCAGGTCCCGCCATTTCTGTGCAACAAAACGGAGTATGTGAAAAAGATTTCTGTGATAACTGCTACTGTATACACACAGTTGTGCACAGTGGCTCACGTCTTCCTGGATGTCGATGTCGGCCATGCCTTTGGTGTTGAGCTCCTCCTGCATGTTGGAAATGGCTGCGTTGTTTCCTGGTACTCTGTAGATGCCGGTGTACTCCAGTCCCCTCTCCTCCACCACGTTACAGCACACCTCCACAATCAGGGGAACAAACTGCCAACACACAGAGGCTGGACTTTAGGCAAGGCAAGTTTATGTATATATAGCACAGTTTATACACAAGGAAACTTAAAGGGCTGAACAAAACAGAGACGGTCACACAAGACATTAAATCATCATACTGTATATCATAAAATCTCAAACGCTGCCTCCCCCTGTTTATTTCTGACTCTGAACCCCAGCAGGAGGCCAGTCCCTGTGCTCCTCAAAGGCCGAGTTGGTTCATATGTCACTAACATATCACTTATGTATTTGTGCGAGGCCATGGAGAGTGCTGAACAAAACAGTCACACAAGGCATTAAAATAATAAATAATCAATGTAAATGTACATTAAAAAGAGTAAAGACAAAAAATCCCACAGTTTTATACACAGCTAAACAGAACTATTTTTAACATCTATTTGAACATTTTCAGGGAAGAAGCCTGTCTCACATTTTCAGGAAGACTGTTACAGATTTTAGCTGCATAAAAGGAGCTTTAGGAGCCTGGACATCATATCTACCATTCACTTCACAGCGTACAAACAGCTCACCCTGTTGCTCTGTGCGGGAGGACAGTCATCGAGTCTCACGCCAAACGTGATTCCTGCAGGGGTCTTCTTCTCAAAAGGCTTCCTCATTATCCCGGCTATACCAATCTTCCAGGCCGCCCTGTCCCGCGGTGGACTTGAGTCATCTATTAAACATATGATAAGAAACTTATGAATAATGGCAATAACATCAGAGCCATAGTGTCTCCATGAGCTTTGAATACATCAGTACCTTTCAAAGCACGTCGGTCCTCTCCAGTTCTAGGGGAATGCGGACTATGGCCTCTTTCTGTTTTTGCTCCAAGGAAGGCCTGTTTGATGCTGAGGGACTGTCGAGAGGGCTTTGGAGAAGGTTCTGACCTGCTGCTGGATGTACTAAGATCAAAAGTTAAAAAAATATATACAAATAAGCAACAATGGTGGAAAACAGGAATAGAAAGAATCCAATTCTTGTACCTCATCATGTTGTACTCTTTGATCTTTCGACTGATCAAGTCCTGGCTCGTTACATCAGCATTCTGGAAAACACAATTCGATCCGTTTTGATGGTTACAATATTTGACTTGGCTCCATAATGAGCCCACACAATGACTAACGTGTGTGTTAAATCATTTTAAATCATTCAATGTTGTGTGATTGATTGATCATTTTACCCATTTGAACAGACACTGATGCATGCTTTTATTGTCAGTCGAACAGACTACTGTAATGCCCTTCTCTCTGCTCTTCCCAGTGTTATGATCCAAATCTTGTGTGTTTAAGTGTATGTTCTCAGGATAGTTATTCTTCTATCTGCCATGTATTTATTCCTAGTCCTTGATATTTTCAGGGTCTGTACTGCTTCAGAGTAATTATATCCCTGCATTTTTATATGTTGTAATTTGTAATTGTAATTTTTAGTGTGGCAGGCTTGTATTCATACCTCTTCATCCAAGTTACTATTTTCCTGAATGACTTTTATCCAGGTGAGCATCTCCTCTCTTCCTTCAGCCTGGAACAAATACTCGCAGTTGGAGGTGGTGAGTCGCAGCACATTTTTGCGCCTTGTGTCGCTGTAGGAAATGTCGATGAGACAGGCCTTAATACTGATCTGCAGAGGCTCCTCTTCCGACTGGCCCGCTGCATGGGAGAGTGCCTCCTTCCTGTCCTTATACAGGGTCAGAGTGTGGCAGTGCAACACTGCGTACATCTGTTTCCAGGATCTCATGCCTCCTCCAACTCGCTACAACAAACAAGTGTGCACATCATTCATCACACAGCTCTCGCTTTTGCTCCATCCAATGTTTTACAACAAACCTTATTCTTTTCTGTACTAAGTTGCCTGAAGTTAAGAGGTCCTTCTTTGGAAGAATTTTCAAAGATGTCTGCTGAAGAATCCCTCCGGGACCCCGAGTCCCCAGAGGACTTATGACCATCCAAAGCCTGAAATGATATTGAAAAGAAACACATTATAATTACTGCCTTTACTCAAAATATGAACTTAAGGCTCATTGTGAGAATTATAAATGCACACAAGGAGAAAGCTGCCTCTTACCCTTTTAAAACCTCGAAGACTTGGCATATGCTTTGATGCAGATGATGATCGCCTGAGGGAAAATCAAGAAAATGTTTTATATATAGTGCTCTATAGAAACTAAAGTCATCACTCTCAAAACATACCCCCTGTGCTCTTCTTGGTAGGAATCCAAACCTTCATCGTAAGATTTAGAGCGTTCAGTTTTGTTAGAGTCCGACTCCAACAAAGCACTTCTCAAAGATTCTAAAGGATAAAGCAAGATGGTAAAAAGTTAAATACAATCCCACTTGAATACATGACATTTAGAAGTTATTTATTCATGTATTGAGAACTATGACACACAATGTATTTATTATTTTTGAAAGCTACTTATAGCAATCACATGGCGACTTAAGGTATGTTACTAAAGTGGTTTTAAAAATTCCATGTGAGGAAATGGACTTTATTAAAGCTGGGAGATTGTTCCAGTCCTCAGGGGCTCAATGACAAAAAGTGTCTCCCAATCTCTTTTTTTTGTCAGAGTCTGTTACCCTCCCAGTATCGTTATCCACTTACCTTGGTCATGAGAGAGTTGTCGGCGGATTGGGGGGCATGTGGAGGTGGGACTGGAGGGACCTGTGGTTATGGAAGGAGCCACAGATATGACGGCAGAAGGAGGAATGGGCGCCGCCTCACGGTCCACACTCGGGCTGACAGGCTCATCTATGACCAGACACACAAAAAGAAGTATGAAAAAACTGAAAACTGCTGTTTGAGGAGTATAAATGAGCTTTTGAGGTCATATAAAAAATAATATAAAAAATTCCCAGTTTTAGCTTGCACCATCCGGACAGTGTCACGCTTATCATTTTGTTATAATTCAACTATTGGTTTCTATTAATTTGTTAAAGGAACATCAAAACATTGCAACAATACCATTACCACAGTCACGTTTCTTTTACTCAGCTTTCAACTTCAGGGTGGATTTGATGCCAATAAATCTTGATCAAGTGGAAAACATCCCTTAGTGAATCAATATGGGATTGTTCTATATCTATGTAGGTTTGGTTTTTGATGAATGAGTTTATCAAAGAGCTCAATGAGTTTAAAAAAAACTAAATTAAACAATTATTTATGATTCAATAATAATATAAACATATATAATTAAAAAACTAGTTCCATTCTCAGAATATGTACACAAAATGTCAGTGTGGCAAGACTAGGGCTGGTATCTTTCAGAGGCTGCCGATACAATACACATTCTAGGGACATTGAAAATTAGCCTTGGCTACACATGTTTTAGTGTTCAAATATTGATTGTGTACACTTGCCCCCATCAAATAAATAAATCAATAGAAAAATAAAATATTGTGACAGAGGACTTTCAAAACTAATGCTCCGCCAGATTTCAACAAATATAAAACACTATTGATGCATCTCATTTATTGAAGATTAATTGTTATTTAGTAGTTAGTAAGTAGTAAGTAATCATTATTTATATACCGCCTTTTCACTGCACATTGGAGTCTCAAAGTGGTTTACAATTGTTATTTTTGGGAGTGGGGGTGCCAGTACAGGAGGCACATGCCAGACCTATTGTACATATTTTTAGTGGTAAGGGAAACCGGAGTACCCGGAGGAAACCTACGCAGACATGGGAAGAACATGCAAACTCCACTCAGAAAGGCCCTGGTCCAACCTGGATTCGAACCTAGGACCTTCTTGCTGAGAGGCGAGAGCGCTTATCCACTCAGCCACCATGCCGCATTTTTAAGTAAAAAAAAAAATAGATGTTATTAAAAATAGATTTTTTTCAGCCGACCCCTTGTCAAAACAGATGAAAATGACGACATACGGGACAGGGAAGAACTAATAACAACCTATGCATTTAAAAAAAAAGAGTTAAAGCAGTGAGTGAAAGTTCAATTTAAATCAAAAAAGTAAATAAGTATTCAAGAAGTAGCTTAGTTGAGAGAGATGGGTTAATTTCACACGAGCTCGTGGTGAGAAGGCGACAATTGAAGCCTTGTTCTTTCAGACCAAGGCACGGTGACGGGTCCAGACTGCATTACTGTCACTGGTGCCTTTGTCAGCACCTGGTCTGTCACTAAGGTTGAACTGTCGGAAATGCTAAAACCAGAAGAAATAACACTTGCATCTGGTTTATAAATCTATCATCTTCCATGTTCTTTTTTTTCTTTTCATATGTTTTCCAGATAAATAAATAAAACAAAAAGTCTAAAAAAAGTGGATTTCTACCTGATGCTTTACACAATGTCACCATAAACGTCATGACAACCGCCAAACCAAAGCCACGCCCACGTTTACATTTCAAGTGTAAACCGGGGAAACGATAGAATATATCGGGAGTCTAAGCGAGATGTACTTCTTTAGCAGCGTCAAATCATCAGCAACCCAAAAAGAGGCTTTTCTACTGACCCACTTTCTGTATAAAGCAAGCATCATATCCATTTTTTGTTATCATGGTATTTTAAAATACCGTAACATCTCCAACAATTACAGACAGAGCAGCCCTCACATTAATTATACATCTTATATTTGATCTATACACCACTCATACGTTTTGTAAAGGAATAATGCAAACAAACAATTTTATCACTCCCTTTTCTGTGCCCTCTGCGGCCTCCAGCATGTTACTATAGCAATGACCACAGCGGGGATATTTACAGGCTTATGACTGGCTGTAAATTATTAATAGCTTTCTGTTCTGATCTCACTCTGATCAATTACTTTCACTAGAACGGATTTACTAGAGTCCCACTTGTCTTTTCAACCTGTTACTATGAAGAGTCCAGATGAATGGCAGGCAGCGTCATAATATAAAGCAACCAAATAATAATAATAAACATTATTATTATTATTATTATTCATGTGATTCTCTTCAGCGTCACAATCCCTGCTCAGTGTGTTCTTAACCCTTTCACTGATTCACAGCACACGCTGTCCAGTACTTACTCACAACTTACTGCTGTTGCTATGGCAACAGCGGCCTTACCAATGAATGGGATGGAGTCGAGAGATTCATCCAGGTTGCTGGAGCAGGAGGTGTGGCGCTGTTCCCCTAGGCGTCTCATTTGCATTTCCCGCCGAGCATCATTGGGAAGCCAGCATGCCACTACATCGGCAGCAGGATCGTTTCCATCATCGTTTACAGCCAGAATGTAGGAGGGGTGACGCAGGGGGCTGGGATTTTTTCCAGAAGGGGGCTTTTCTCTTAATACCACTCCACCTTCTGTGGGGCTGCGTCCATTGACCTGTGTCTGTGGATCTGGGGGGAGGGGCTTGAGGTTGTTTGGTCTCTTGGGCAGTTGCTTTGGGGTAGAGCAGGAGGCAGACCTGTGGGAAAATAACATTGGGTCTTTTCTTGCCTCCACAGGCTGCATGGACTCGGCTCTGGTTCTGTTGTGACTATGTTGTGAGGGGTACCCTGCATGGGAAGCTCTGATGCCAGCTCTTTGTTCAGCAAGGGAAAGGGAATGTTCTGCACTTGTGCTCTTCCCGAAATGTGGAGGTCTATCTGAAAGCATCGGTGAGGAGCGGAACTGATGAGAATTGGTTCCTTTATTGTACACAGGGGGATTTGGAGCCCCCCTAATACCACCAACATATCCTGCTGAGGGCCTGTAGAGCACAGCTTGTCTGGGCATGGACTGTCTGCTGACCCTAGTACCTTGCTCTGCTCGGCTGTAGGCTGCAACCCTCTCCATTGGCCGAACAAGCTCTGAAGGATCAACATAGTCTGTGGAGTGTGCCCGGCCTTTGTTGAGAAGGCCTTCCTGGGACATGCTACGTGGGGGCCAGTTCCTTCCATGGGCAACCCTCTCAGAACTCATCCGATCCTGGGAGGCACTGCGGGGGGGCACCTGGAAGTGAGGTGGGGGTCCTGGAAAAGAGCGTTCATGTGAGGTGCTTCTGCGCCGCATGCCCTTGGAGCACCAGTCTCCTCGGGGAACGTGCTGAGGAACACTAAAGTTCTGGCTGGTTCGCAAACTGTCCAACCTCTCCTGGATAGTCCGGCTACCATGAGAATGGATTCCTTTGTTGTCAATATACTCTTTATACGTTTGGTAAGTGCGCCAATCTATATTCTGATGATTTGGCAGAAAATGTGGTGGAGGTCCTCCAAATGCAACCATTCCTGGTCCACCAGGATACATGTCCGCCTTGCGAGGATGAGGATATTGGGCTAAAGATCCAGGCCTTCCCCTAATTAGGCCCGGGTCTATATAATCCATACGATGTGCTGGTCCCATGCGCCCCAAATGGACCTCCGGAGGAACTACTACAGTCCTCACAGCATCATTACGCATGCACACTGCAGTTTGGCTTTTTGGATATGATGGAGGCACTGTAATTTCCTTCCGGTACCCATGGTCTACAGACGGCCCGCGGCAGACAGGGCCCGCCGAGTCAGTGGCCATGCCCGAAGGCTTACAGTCTACCCTCGGGTAACATACTGGGGGTGGTTCAGGAATGTGTAGAGCATTTCCACTGTAGTTACTGTGGCCTCGGAGGTAGGCATCCTGGGAGTAGGCCTGGGAACATAGAAAACAGACTGCTATTACAACACAGTAGACACAAATATGTTCATATTATATGCTCTGTAAAGCCATAGCATTACAAATGCTGTGAGAGTGGGCAGTACATGTTGCAGTTTGAGCGAGCGGAGGCGTTAGTTCAAGGGTGTCAGATTCATTTGGTAGTACTGGTAAATTTGTATGCTTGAGCTTTATTATTCATTACTCTTTAGGATTGAGGACAATTTTTAAAACAAAAAATATACATACCAATAATAAAGATCTCATACACAAGGACGACAAAGATTGAAACCGACAGTTGTTATACATGTTGATAACATTCAGTGCTTGAGTTTTACTCAAGTATCAGGGTGCAGTCAGTTCAGGGGTCACTGGCCTTTATCACCGTAATCAGACTAGGCATGGAGGGGCGAGGCTTCACTGAGCTGCCAGCTGATCTCACTCCAGCTTTCAATGTAACAGGTACTGCAGCTATCCACCGTCTACACAAGATAATCCCCCACTGTAACTGCTCATTACGGAGAATCTTAGTAGTAGTAGAGCCGTAGTAGAGCGTGTACATAATGACATGGCTGGCATGCATGACATATGGACAATGAGACAGCAAGCATAACATGTCAGCGTCAAGCGACCAAGACCTCTGTTTGCTTACCAGATAAACGATCTCCAGTGAAAAAGGCTGTCATTACAGCGTGTAGAAATGAGAGCATTAGAAAAAGGGAAGAGATATGATGCAGGAGAAAAACATGCCACCAGTGAAAAATAAACACAGGAGGAAAAAAAGAGAGAACATGAAAGAGCCACAGAGGAGCTTGGGCTTGACATGCTAAAAATACACTGGAGCTGCAGCGGCAGGCAGCGCACAGGGATGAGCAGTGATGTAGCAGGGGTTGCCACGTTACAACCTGCTCCTGTCAGCGTGTCCTGGCTGAGGTGGCACCAGCAGAAGCGTGCCTCTCATGTCGCCTGTAAGATCCACGCTTCCATTCATCTGTGGCCAGAATATTAGGCTAAAGGAACAAGGTGGCTCCAGTCTCTCCTCCCTTTCTCCGTCACTGCTCACATGACAGAAGCAGCAGCTGCTCATTATACATTTAGCTGTGGTGGTACAGCACTACTCCCACTCTTCCCTCCTCGCTCGTTTCTTTTATAACAACCTGTTAAGATCGCAGCTCTGCAATCGATTAGATCTTCCACTTTCATTTCCTTGCTGGAGCTCTTTCCTCTGCCTCAGTAGTGCCTCTTCCCTCCCTTTTCTGCACGCTCCGTCTTTGCTAAGCAACTGCTGCCGTCTCTGAGCTGTCCGCATGTGCTGCCTCCTACAGTGTAATGACACTGTGCACAGAGCCTCCTGTTCTCACCACCACCTCTCATGGACATTGCTTTCTATTGCTACGGCCAAGGACAAATGTCATTTTCAACTGACGATAGAAATATGAAAGAAAGATGCCAATAGAAGGGCAAACTTCTTCAATCTAATGTTGTCGCAGTGTGATGTCTGAAAAGCCAACAGTGTCCTGATTACAGAACCCAGATAGAGCTCCCCGATGGGACAGAGGGCTGCAGTCTCATACTTTGAACTGGGGCAGTTCTGGAAGTGTAAAAAAGGCACAACAGAAACAGGCTTTCTGCTGTGTGACGAAGGTTTGTTGAAATAAACTTACAAGTTGTAGTATGTCCTCATCTTTTGGCATCACGCAGAGTTCAAGGAATTCGCCACTTAGGAGGGGAAAAAACGATTTTTTATTAATAATACACTTGTAATAACAATCATTTCACAATTGTTTGCAATTCTATATAAAATCCTCACATACCTCTCCTGGATTAGGGCTATCACCTCCCCGTAGGCCTTGCCAATAATACTTGCTCCATTCACCTTGACAATGCGATCACCTAAGATTAGATAAAAGTGAGATTACAAAGCAAGATAAAATGTTTTCAGCATTACGTTCAATATTTTACCTGTACAAAGCCCTGCCCCATGAGCCGGACCACCTTCTTTGACCTGCTTCACAAAAATGGTGTCCATCGGTTCCAGCCTATTCTTCTGCCTCCCTGATAATGGGAAATATTTGTTATACAAACAAAGCATATTAATGACATGACAAAGAACGTTGGGAATTTTATTCAAAGTAACGGAAAATATGTATTGCTAAATTTGTGAACGAGCAATATATTGTGACATTCCTCTCCTAGTGATGCTGGCCACCTATGGTAGAAATGCCTACAGTCCAACACCCTCATTTAGGAGACGATGTGATCTACCTAGGATAACGACCCATATCCTGAGTGTTGCGTTTCCTAAAAAACTTAAAGACCTTATGACGGGTTTAAAAAAAAAAATAGTGGATATCAAAATTGCATGACAATGTCAATTTGAAAGAGATTCCGGCAAAAAAAAATCCTATATTTTATAAAAAGAACGTGTTTTTCATGAATTTAAGTTGTCTATGCTCTAACCTGTGTGTGACGTCATAGCGGGTTACGCCCATGCATTGAAAACCATGGATCTATGCCACAGGACTGCCTTTTCTCTCTTCTCTCCACTGGTGCCCAACACAATACTGCCCTCTACAGGTGACAATTGCTCACTACACATAAATTGCCGTTTTGAGTGTGAAAAAGTGTCCGAGGTGGGATTTGAACCCAAGTATCTGGATTAGAAGTCCATCGACAACCACTGGACTATCTCAGTGACAACAAAATGATACATTCTAGTAGTTATCTTAGACTCGCTGTACACGGCCTTGTCATCTTGAATATCCGCGAAAAAAGAACGAATACCAAATTGTAAACCACTTACAGCATTGAAACGTACCCACTCTGACGTCACCAAGGGCTGTGAAGTTTTTTCGTTTCTAAGGGCGTTGCTATGGGGTTATTTCGATTTGGGGGGGATCAGACAAAAAAAACAACAACTGATTTTGAAACGTTTAGTAGTTCTCTTCTAATATAAAATGGTATTAAAACTGTATTTCTAAATAAATCAACCCCGTCATAAGGTCTTTAAAAAAGGCGTCAATAAGTTTGAATGGGCTACACTGGTCATTGCTTTGCCATATTTTAATTGAAAGGCAATTAATGGCGAAACAAAGTGCAGTTTAAAAACAGAAAGGTTGAAACTGTGTGTTTGGTGGGGAGTCTCAGCGAAACCTGTTTGCTCATGCTACACTTGTCTCCTAGCAGCTGCGTGACTACAGAAAAGAAAAAGCTAAAAACTAAGCAAAGAGAAGCCGGAGTGACAGTGAGCTCAGCTGCAACTCCCACTCTTCCCTTATAAAGTGAGAAACAGCCCTGGGCGCTGCCAAAGAGCGGCTAAGAGCTGCCACCACGGTTAGCATTCTGCTGGTGAGTCAGATTTCCACACCACACTGAATAGAAGGCTTTTTCAGACTGATTATGTTTGACAGTAAAAGAATTATAAATGAATGTGGTCAAGAGTGATACTTTGATTTCCATACAGTGAATGTCGAATACAACAAGATTTTCTTTCAGATTCACACATATTTGCAAACAACTTATTATGTAATGTTCAAAACACTGGCATCAAGCCGGTGCTCCCTCTGATGGATTACTGTAGTACTGCAAGAGCCATCAGTTACAGCCTATCTGATGATAAGTAGTAATAGAGGCCTAATATCTAAAACAAGACTAAATAGACAAAAAACACCCATACATTTATACACTTCAGGACCATGGACTACAGTATTTAGTGTTGCAAAGGACTAACCGGCTTATTAATGTACATTCTTGATGAAGAAAATGACTTTCAAGAGAAACACATGTTCAAACATGAGCAACAACGTGAAAATGAGGCCATCCCTAACAGAGCGAAACAACAAGAGTAACAAAGTAAAACAATATAAGAGCTGGGTCAGTGCCGTTCTACAACAGGTGGTGCTCAAACCGCCTTTATGCATCCACAAAGGTCAGTGACATGAGGGAGCGACATTGTTCTCACAGCACAAGGAAGCAAAAGGCAGAGAGGATGGATTAAGAGTCATTACAAGTCAGCAGTGCTCTGTTCTGCTTACCACTGCGGCCATGATCTTCCTCCTGCAACACACACACAACATTATGTCACTATGTGCTCAAAGTGAAGTTTATTTTGTACACAGAGGAGATCTAACTTCGGTAATCTAACTTCAGTTCGGTGCCCAACTTGTTTCCTTTTTTAATAATACATTTTGTTTGTCCCAACAGAAAGGCATACAAGTTCTATGAACAAATCAGACCACACCTTGCGGTCTTTATCATCTTGCTAGAAAATAATCTATACTCTTTAGTTGGCCTGAAAATGTTTGCGGTCATGAAATAAGTAAACGGTCATTCATTACATCCCTAGAACTGAAGTACCCAGTTCTCAAAACACAAAAAAGAACCACGCAATAAAATCCAAAAACTTATTTGAATGTAGTTTAGAATTTGGTAGAATCTGTATGCTACCATGGCAAAACAAACACAGATTGTACAGATTAAATCGGAAATTGATAATATCATTCAAAGTTAATTTATTTCAGTTTACTTTAAAGTGTGAAAACATCATGAAATAGACTCATTACATGCAAAGTGGCCTCTTTGTTTGTTATCATTCTCATGATTATGGCTTACAGTCCATTTTCAAAAGTCTATAAGTTTTATTTTTTCAAGATGTGATCTATAATCATCAACAATGTATTGGTTTCATATTTTGAACAATATCCTAATTTTCCCATTTTCACCTGTATATTTGATTGAATTTGCATATGCATATTTGATAAGAACCGTCAAATAAATACCACTGAAAGTCTACATTTTCTGCACGACTTCTTCTTTGAAATTGCAATCGGTGCTGTGAAGTCCTTAACTGGCACGATACAAACTGTATAATTATTTAGTGCTGGTCTAAAAATGAATATGTTCATGGTAAAGTATAAATAAAACTAATAATCTACCAAACATAAAGCTGAAAGTGTGAGGCTACCCATGACCCGCAGAAGAAGAGACACGTACCGGGAATGGATAGTGCATGGAAGACTCTGGGGGGTAAACAATGAAGTGCCGCAGGGTAAAGCCAAAACCTTGCGTTGTGCGCCGTAAATGCACTGTTTTTGGTCTGGGCCACGAGAAAGCTTCTTCTTCTGTGGAGAATGGCCCACCCAGAGAATCAGCCAGCGTCCTCCAATCCATCGAGTCATTCTGAGAACACATGAAATGAGACAACTTCAGCAAATGAATAATATATGATCAGGTGCATTCCTACCATGATTTTCCCAATATGATTTCAGAATTACATATTCAAATCATCTTGCAAAACCACTGCATTATTTGAAAAAAAATCACACAAAAAAACCTTTGCAGTATATGTCAAATCCTAAATAAGGATTTGGAGCATATTGGGCCTTTTCCATTAAAACATGTGCTATGAAAGTGTAAAAAAGGAGGAAAAACTATAAAGATAATAAAAGCAAAATGTATGAATGAAAGTGAGTTAAATTAACCAACATTTGTGGTGATGTAGTGGATTCTCGTTTACATTGAGCTCATGGTCAAAGAGCAGGAGATAAAATATTTGTTGTCACACCTCTTCTCACATGCTCAACACAATATCTAGGTACATCTCAATAAGTTTGGGATTTCCCAAAGTTTGAGTATTTTCCCCTCTGCTTGACACACGGACCCTCTCCCTCACAAACAAGAAACAGACCACGAAATCAGGAATTTGATGAGCTTGCACTCTATACTATCTCTACCCCATTACACATATTGAGTAATATAAACTACCATGACAGTATGTATAACTAGTCCATTGAGTATCTTTAAATATATGCATGACATGTTTTTGACCACCTTCTCAAAGAAACAGCCATTTATGATGTCATTACTAAAGTTATCGAGGTTGCCTTGATATTTCAGTAGAAATGAGCTGATGCCTCAGGTACACACCAAGTAAAAGCCTGCTTCTGTTGTTTTTCAGCCAAAATATTTTGCCTTATAACCACATTGTGGCTGAACAGTGAGCCAAGTTATCTGCAGCAGCAGCTCCCGGGAGAACACTGATAGAGTTGAGACTCGACTGGGAACAGCGAAGCCGCCTGCAGGTGCAGCTGACACCCTTGGATTTTGATAAAACAAGCAAAACAGGTTTTACAGAAGCATTAGGAGGTGTTTGGTGATCATATTGCTTTGTAGTGGAACTGTGCGGCTGAACACCTAAACACATGTGAGTTAACAATAATAATGAAATGTGTGGAGCTTTTGAACTGGCTCTTGTGCATGATGGATGAACTTTTTTAAGTGCACCATAGGCACCTGCAGACACAACAGGAAAGATAACAGCAAATGATTAGTGCTGCGCTTCCAGAGAAAACAGAGCTGCTTCATTGCTGTAGCCTTTACGCCAGTGTTGACACAGCAGGCCCATGTGAAGGGCAGCAGGTCAGCTGAGGTGGAGGAGACCTCACCATTACTTTGTCTTCACTCACAACTCAACACATGAAAGTATAATTCAAAAGGCTGAAAAGAATTTTATGACTCTAATTATTATTATGGTAGCATTATTATTATTATAATAATGATGGATGATAATAATCATTATTATTATAATTATGTATACAAGGACCCCTTAAGAGTTCAAGATCCTTTAACTAGCTTCTGCATCTGAGCATGTACTTTTTAGGAAAAGGGCTACCATCGTTGAGATGTTCCTTTGGATGAATGGAGAATGAGATTCTTTTACCTATTGGTTTCCATGGAATTGTACAATTTATGATAGATTTATCCAATGCAAGCAATTAAAAATGTATTCGGAGTGGACACGTTGTCGTAATCAGAACATAGATGAGATAAGAACTAACGATGACAAATTCATAAGCTTTGCCGATCACTCAATACAGCCATTCCCAAAGTCACTAATATATAATGGTTTCCTAAGAAATGCAAACATGTACACTGTGTGTAATAATAGGGCTAGGAATAGCTTTTAAAAATACATCATGACGATAAAATGTGTTTCACAAAATAAAGTATAGGAACTGAAATATTAGCATTTATTTGCTAACATTAAGTTGTTTTTTTGCAAATAACCTAATAACAGAAAATATAATACCTCATTATTTTTAACTCTCCCAGTTTTGCTCAGCACAGCATGTTTTTAATTTATTTTATTTTATTTTTTTATAAATAGGCCCATTTGCCAACTTGATATCAGATGATCTTAAAAGCATTTATTTTTTCCTGTGCAGTATTTATTATAACTGTTTTTTCTGTGACATTTATTTAAAACAGGTAGGACAAGTGAATATATAGCAACAATAACAGTTGTGCTAGAATTAGCTCTTGAACAAACTGAATTAGAGAAAAGCCCAGATGCCTGTCCGCTACATGAAGACAGTGTGGAGTGAGATCATACGCCGTAGGACTGACAGAGTGCCGACGTCACCAATAGCTTCTTCTACAATAAGGCAAATACTAATATACATTTCTTTTAAACTTAAAACGCACCTATAATTTCATATTGTGACTGCCATACTGACAACATTCCTGTAGCAACCCAATACAATAATATATAATAACCATACATATCTAGTATTACAGTGCACCTTTATTTAATTATAGAAATAATAAAAAAACTAAACCTAGGGTGGATGTTTGAAATGCCAGCAAAACAAGAAAAGCCATCTTGTCCCCAGGCCAGAGTCCTGGATCTCATTTAGTGGCGGGTGCACTGGGCGACTTTAGGCCTCTGATCTGAACATGTGGAGGACAGAAGGACAGCTGGCCTCACCACAGACACAAGTCAGGAAGCACCATCAGCAGCCTTTTAATACTTGATTCTATAGTAACATTCCAGTTCAAAACTATTACCCTTTGTCCAAATGAGCCTTTGTTTATCATGGATATCTTTTATAATAGTGTAAACTTGACAAACCGGGTCAGTTGTTCTTTCCCACAAAGAAAAAAATATTAGATTAAATAGCGAAAGCAGTTGAGCGTTAGAAAAGGACAATAACATCAAAAACACACGCTACGGTTTCAAGCCTCTCACCCGCGTCTGAATCAGCGGAAAGCCAGATTGATATTTGCACTGGGTGAGGTTGCTGGGAAAGAAGGCACATAGTAGGCATTTGTTCCTCTGCTGAAAGTCCCCTGGGATAAGCACAGGCCAGACAGCCATTGCTCAGGGTGGCACTTCCGCACTCACTCACACGTGAATGGAAAGCGGGCAGAATTACCTTCTTAAGAATTAAGGAAAGATATTGAGATTTTGTTGTCGTTATTGATACCAGAAAAGTGTTTTTGCTCTTATTGGTGTGAAATGTTGCAACAGCTGCCTGTCTCTGATCCTGCATGTTAATTTATACAATGTACTCAACATGTCGATTGATGATCAATTTTGAAATTACTAAGAAATCTGACTCGACATTTCAGAGAAGGCCTTGTACAATGTGTACATGTTGGACCTGGTGTCTGAGGAAAACGTATGTAGATGTGAATTCTTTGCTGTCTGACATTTCTAGTTGGAAACCCAAATTTGGTACAAGTTGTTGCAGTGATTCGAAGGCTCTTGACATAAGCTAAGTTCCGCAGGTTTCAACATGAGTGCAGCAGTAGTTCACCTATAGGATTCGCTTTACACATCAGGAATAACAATATTAGACACATAACACATAACACACTGGCTTATGTGTGGAGGCTCCAAACTAAACTTTCCACTTTGCTCATTTTAAGCATGTAACAAGTATATGGCAAGTTTAAAAGTTAGTGGCAGTGACATCATCCAGTGACACATCGCAGTAGCCACATGACATCAGCTCTGAAAACATCTGACAAGTACACGGCCCAAAATGTAAAGGAACCTACTTCACTGTGGGCTGCTAAATTCTACACCACATCCCGGTCAAACCGAGCACTTAGCCGCGAGAAGCCAGAAGTAATGATGATGATGCTACGGCTGATGGTGGTGAACACAGGAAATTCCGGCGGCCTTGGAATACGTACAATATTACAATGTACTTATTGGGCCTCATTCACGAACGGTTCTTAGGAACAGATTTGTACGTAAATCCTACTTACGCGGTTTTTACGAAGAAAGTGGCATTCACGAATATTTCTCGTAACCAGAATTTCACTTGGGCAAGTACAAATCCTACGAGTCCTCAGGAGCACTCGTACGCATTCAGTGCCGACATGTTCACACGCCGGGGTTGTCCTCTTTGGTGAAGTTGAATAAAAATACAACATTCCAGTGATATGTCCGTCATATCGATGTATGTATTTATTTATTTGTAGTAATCTTTATTAGTAATCTTTATTTATATACCGCCTTTTTCACTGCAGATCTGGCCTACTTTTTAATTCATTTTGAAATGAAATGTGCCAACGCTTTATCAAATACATTGGAAATCTTGCCGTGTATTAGTGACCCCTTCCTATTTATAGGGGGCATTTCTTTATCCACGGGCCACAGAACAACGGCATATATACTGCTGCTGCAGGAGGTTACTGGGTCCGCGCTGAGTCTCTGCGCTGGTCTCTCCTATGGATCTATACGGGTCTGCACTGGTCTCTCCCATGGATCTATACGGGTCTGCGCTGTGTCTCCTCTATCGGTCTGCGCGTCTCCCATGGATCCATACGGGTCCGCGCTGGTTTCTCAAGTCTGGTCTATGCGGTCTCTCTTCGGTCCGCGCTGGTCTCTGCGCACCGGTCTCTCCAGTCAGGTGTCTCCAGTCTATGCGGTCTCTCCTGTCCGCGCTGGTTTCTGTGTGCTGGTCACTCCAGTCTCTCCTCGGGTCTGCATTGGTCTCAGCGCTGGTCCGCGCTGGATCTCCTCCCAGGGTCCAAAATATTTTGAGATTAATCTCAAAACATTTTGAGATTCATCTTTAAAATAATACATAATATATTTTTAAATTAAGCTCATAACATTTTGAGATTAATCGCATCATATTCTTAGATTAATCTCATAATTTTGCTAGTTCGACTTTATAATCATAATATTTCGACTTTTAAGTCAACATTTTATAACTTTATTCTCAGTCTGGCAAAAGCCTGCTTTAGGCCTGTTGCTGTTTCCTCTGGCGTCTGCACACGGCCCTGCAGTCCCTTATATGGGCATTAGTGGGCGGTTACTTATGCTAAGTACCTATGGTAATGAAGCACCGGGCACGCGCGCTGTACTTACGAGGAAATGGGATTCATCAATCTGAGAGAACAGCTGCGAACAATTCAGCGGCTTACGAGTGCGTTGATGAATCCCACGTGGGGACTTCTTAGAAATCTACTTAAGGACAACTTGAGAAGAAAGTTGAGTAGTTTCTTACGAAGTTATTCGTGAATGAGGCCCATTGTTTCTAAAAAATATATACAATAAATGTTGTATACATTTTAATTGTGCCAAAGAGAGCACCTTATGATTTTTCCATAATGGAAAAGATTTGTATGAAAAGCGAGATGGAATAATCAGAGAAATCAGAAATGGAGTTAGATTCTTGGCATCGTTAACCCAGTTATGGACAGATGAGAACAAACAAAAAGAATGAAATCACATTGTATGGCAACAATTCCCAGAAGACTGTGCAGACACAACTCTATAGTGAAAGGAAGCATCAGCCCCTTTCTATCCAATTGAGGGTTAATTTTCCTTCCGATTGCCATCAGTTAGACATGTGATGTCTGTGCGAGGCTTCTGTGAAAGGCAGCCAACCCAAATGAGATGAACAGTCAGCTTTAATGAGACCAAGAAGACTCTACAAACTGGAAGGTCTGTTTGTCAATACGCCTCTGCAAAGTAGAATATATATTTACTAAGAATGTAAATGTTCATTATATCTCTTCATGCTCCATATAAGGCCTTTAACCTCATATGCTTACCATGTCGTCCTGTCAGGCAAAATAAAAGCATAGACTATTATTGACCAGTCCACAAACAGCAGACCGTTGACACTCAAAAGAGTTGCCAAGGCAAACAGAGGAATTCCAGATGAGGAAATTGACTTGGTGCAATTTGACATTGAATTGATCTGTGCAATTGAAGTCCCATCCTTTACTGAGGCTTGATAAGTGCAATGAAAATGTACATGGAAATGCAATGTAACAATCATAAGAAGTTCCTTCTCAAAGCTATTATTGATTTGAGATCCCAACACTAACGTACCTAAAGCAGGTTTTCCCTTTCAGTAATATTTTACCTGCACTTATATCGCATATGGATCAGAGTAACGGCTCATCTTCCTGACCTTAAATGCATAGCAATGTAAGAAGATTTACTTCATAAGATCTGAGAATGTAGTTCCTTAGAGCTAAGTCTGAGGGGCCGGCATAGTGTCATCACAAGCAAACCAGAACCAGAGCTTTGGGGGTTGTCAGCTCTAAATTAACACATGAATTGAGAATTGGTTTGTTGGGTCACCACAAGATAAAGAAGAAGTTTCACTGGTTCTTTGCTTCTCTGCCTGCACCACACAACATTAAGCATTTCTCAGAGGTACTGCTTTGAAATAATCAAACAAAGACATAGCTTATTTTATCTATACTATTAGACTATGTAATTTGTATAATAATAATAATAATAATAATAGGTTCAGTTTCTCTATGTTGATGAAAGATAGATGAAAAACATCCTAATTTTGTTAAATAGTTAAGCATCTTCAGCATTAACACAAACTAGAAAATGTAAAGAGGACATTGAATTGAAACACTCAGGTGAGTGAAAAGATCTTAATTTGAACAATTGGAAAAGCAGATGGCGTCTGGTAAAGCAAGGGTCATGAATGACTTGAATCCAGAAGATTAAGTTTGAATTAACAACAATCCACTCAATCTTCCTCCCACTACAACCAGTAAAGCCTTTAAGGCAAAATCTTATTACATACTTATGCAACTGTGACTTGTCTATTCAAAATGTCGCCAACTAAACATAAAAACTCGGTCTACCCAAAGGACAAAAGTTCAGGAAACATTTAGTGTAAAAAAAAAAAAAAAACACAGCTTTGTGTGTGTGTGTGTGTGTGTGTGTGTGTCTTTTAATGAGGAGGACAGCTGGTAAAACTCACAGCTCCCTCCTAAAACCAAACTAAGAAAAAAGAAGTTTAAACTTATGGATGCAAGACCCAAAAGTAACCCTTTAAAAACCAACACAGACAGAACTCACCTCACAGAATGAAGATCTTGCTTGTGGTCTATCATCATCCTCAAACGAATGAGTCCAGCGTGATGCCATTATTTTACTTGACTTAGAATCCAGTTAACTGTGATTGGCCACATTGAAAGGGTAGTTCCAGTATGATGCAAAACGTATGGGTTCTTCTTTCATTTTTAGTTATATTCGCCATCTGCGACGTTAAAAAAGCACAAATACAAGTTATATGACTAAACAAAGATTATTGAAGTGATTTTAGTTTTAGTAGATCCCTTTGTTTACTACTACTGAGCAAAAATACGTAATACTAGACCATTCGTACCTGATTGTGTATATTATGCAACAGGTTTTAGCACAAAGTCTTAACTTTACTAGTTTCACACACTGCAGGTGTCAAACTGGCTACTTCATGAACGGATTAAGCAGCCATATGAAAATAATATATATATATATAGATATATTTTTAAACCTATAAAAAGAAAGCGGACTAGGCTCAGGGTCGACTGTGCCAAACAATAGGCACTGCATTATTCACAACACAACAATTTGAGCTTGTCATCAACAACCAGGGCCACAACAACGTGGACAGTCAACACTGCATAATGAATGGCATTGGGCAGCAACAAGTCAAGTAGTAAAGGCAATAACACGGGAAAACACATTCATAGCGAGAAAATTGAGAACAGAAGTTATGCCTGGATAAATAATACATATAATTCGAGGCTTTACGCTCAAAAATAGGGAAAATATCTTATCTCAAATCGATGGCGAGTACAAACACAATATCGCGCTGTTGTTCTCAAACGAGTGGGTTGACAAAAGTTGTTTTTTTTACTATAAACTACACATGGATCGAAATGCGGAAAGCTCTGGTCATAACATGTTTTGGCGATAAGGTCTAAAAAGTTTGTTAAAGTTGACACAGGTACGGAGTATGTTTAGGAAAAGTGTGGTTAGCATTGATGCTAGCCAATGGAGTTTAAACAAAGTTACCTGTGTAGTAGTGAAGGAGGCGTCATTACTCGGGGCTCGATCGGTGAAAATAATTATCCATGGAAACAGAAAAACGCGACACAACTTTGGTTCAATCCATGGAAAACGCGAGACTGATATCTTGTGAATTTTAAAATATCTTTTCGTACAAAGTTCCCGGTGATCGCTCCAAACCCTCTCAGGGGAGGCGCATGGTGTAGTTTTGGAAGCTGGATTCCTTTTTTTTTTTTGCTTCCAGCGATCCCTGCTCCCACCTTCAGTCAACAGCGCGCTCTAAGCCAATCACAAGCGGGTTTCTTTTCGAGTCGACCAATCACGTTCTAGTTTACACGCCAGCTCCATTCTGTTCAGAAGGTTGTGTGTTTATCGCTGTTTTGGTCCCGTTTCAAATCCTCTGCCCCAAAAGCGAATGTGTCGAGAGAATGGCAAATGAGAAAGGCTAATTAATGCATGAATAAATGAATAATTAGTATTTATCCCCGCGTTCGCTTCGAAAACACCAGAGCAGAGTCACATGTTTCAGTTCAAAGTGAGGTCGAGTTGGCAGTTCACATAACAGACCACCACAGCAAAGAATGGGAAAACACCATAGACCGTGGAAGGAAAGTTTATATAAAACTATTTTAATCTTAATTAATATTTCATGTATCTCATGTGGTCTTCTCTTTTTCACCTTTCTGTCTAAAAACGCGTATTTAAAGATCTGACATTGGCCAAAAATACATAATTGTGATTGTAGTCATAAAAGCAATCTATTTTAAGAGCGAGGATGATATCTTTTTTTTTTTCAGGGTAATAAACATAAACTAAGAGGTAAAGTTAAAATTCTAATATAAATCATTTTATAATTACTGAAGAATGGAGATCGCAAATGATTCTTTTTAAATGGAAATAATGCAGGCTTCATGATGAATCTAGTATTGATTCATCGATTAGTATTTTAGAACGGAACGGTAATACTGTCTCTATTTGAGTTAGTTTTGGAGTCTATAAATAAAGCAGTTGATGATTGACAAATTGCTAAAACAGTTGTTATTGAAAACACTAGTTATATTAGTTGTGATTATTCGCTACAGGCCTTAGTTTGTGCACTTTGTAAACACTTTGCCGCAGAAGAATGATGGGTCTAAATATTTTCCCAGGGCCCAAACAAATGTCTCCTTTTATTCCTCCCTGACATAAGGAGCCACCTGTTCCTGAGATTGGCAGCTTTTGTTACAGAGGTCAGTTTGAAATGACTTTCACAGCAGTTCTAACTCTTACAATCTGTTTCTCTAAAATAGGCAAATAATGACCACAAACAAGCCTATTGCCTATTTAATATATATTTTAATTACAAGTATCAAATTGCTTTACCTCAAAATAAATAAACTTGCCTCTTGGGATTACCAGAATCTTCAACAAAAAAATAAATAAATAAATAAATAAAATGGGACATATTGTATTATTTAAAATCCTTGAGTACTGAAACACTGCACCAGTAGACATACACTAGGCTTTTCTCATTCTTAGAATACGTATGCAGTCCTAATGCAATTACCCTTTGTATACGTACACCGCCAAATGAACAGTTTACCTCCAAATTTTGAGCCTTTACAAAGTTGTACTCAGCTCTTGATAATGGGGTCTTTGTATAGTAAATTTCAGTTAAAAGGTCATGTAGTCAAATTAACGTAATCTCGACTGCTCTCAGGAGAAAAGTGCTTTTGTTGTTATCGTACTCTCCGTTCCCTGCTTAAAGTCCGGGATCATGTGTCAGGTATACACAAAGAGCACTCCAGCTTTGAACAAGCGTCTATCCATTGTCTGTTTCACAAGTTCATTTTTCCGTTAACCTATTTTATAACTAAAGATTAGTAACATAAGTTTCAAATATTTTTGCCTGATGCCATTTTGGCTCTTTAACAATTGTGTTATTCTATCTGATAAGTGAAGAAATACAATACAGAGAAAGCCCTATAGACAAAGTTGAAACAGAACAACACGTTCCTATAACTGGAAGATTGCCACTTTGCATGACACATTCACACCGACCAATTTATTAAAGGTGAAAAAACACACATTTATTAAACAAAACGTAGAAGTAGCACAGTGGATATTACGTAAAACTAAAACCAACTGTTAAAAGACAGTATTTCCTGAGTTACGACTGTTTCTAAAATAGCCTCCTTTAAAAATATAAAACCTCTTGTGGAATTGGTTGGATTCCAGTTTAAGTCCTATGCCTATTGTTGAACCATAAGCCAAGAGGAATGTTAAATCAAAACAGAAATGCTTTGAGATCAAATGTCTCGATAGCAGCTGTAAGGCAATGGCATTTCATGAAGCGAGTCCAGGCCTGGCTGTGGCTGTTTGATGACATCTGTGTGGCAGTCCCATCAGCTCGCTTTTAAACCTTGTACTTCAACTTTCCACTCTCACTGATGATGCAAATGTGCTGAAAGGCAAAAGAATATAGTTCAATAGAAAAACCCACAATAACGTGAAATATTTTATTATGCCAAAGAAAAGATAGAGATTTTATACTTCTTTATTATGCTAAAGATAGAGATTTTATACTTGTTTCTTCTTCATGCTAGAGAGTTAGAGATTTGATGTAGTAAAGAGTTATTGTTCATTTATCTTGTGCTGTGTTCTCCTCATTCCTACTGTTCGGTAACTGGCGATGCAGCACTGAAATTTCCCCACTGTGGGACAAATAAAGGATCTCATAATAATCTTAATCCTACATACACATTGGTTGATTCCTTTTAACTGGACTAAGTCTGGTTCGCTTGGTAAAAAAATGTGTCACAGATCTGATTCAAAAGACTGTAAAAGTGACTAGTAGTGGACACATCACTTGTTTTATGGTTTCACATCGACAACGAAAAACATGTTTGCTCCAGAATTGAACCAGAATTGGCCCAGTTAAAGCCAAGAACATTTAAGGACAATTATGGACATTTATTAACATTTATGGACATAGGTCACCCCGCACTTTATGGGCCAATGGCTCCTATGTGTCTGTTATTCATGCATTTACTGTGGTTGAAGTGTTCGATTTTCTGATATGCCGTTGGTGAACAGAAAACTTTGTCAGGTCCGCCGAGACGACTGCTGTTGTGATTTCGGGCTACACCAAAGTAAACTGAATTGAGTTGAACCAGACCACCAAGAGTCATTCTTCTCAAAGTATGTCATGAAAACATCTTGGGACCTATTTCTTTATCATATCAGGTTTGGAAACAGTTGGGAACTTGTTTCAAAGTCCAAAGTAGTACTGCTTGTTCACTTGTTCTTGCTCAGAATCGACATTATTGATTTAGTTTGTATTCATCTTTCCATCCAAATGAGCTCCATTAGTCCTGGGTTTGTTATAGGGGGTGAGTGGCTCTGTGGACGATAACTCACATTAAGATCTCTAAAATACTCATTGTAGTCTAAGGCGTATCCAACCACAAATCGATTTGGAATTTGAAAACCAACATCTGAAAGATAAGAGAGATGAATCATGAGTTGTAAGCTAATGATTCATTATTATGGCTTGAATTGCAAGTGGCATTGAACAATAATCAATAGTTCCAAGAAGACGTACAGTCAGGAAGCCACGGGGAATTCTGTGCTACACGTTTGACCAGCAGTCTGGAAAAAAAGAAGCATTTAAAAAACAAAATCCACACCACGCGTCTAGACTAAATGGAGTGATTCACACAAAAAACAAGCTGGTTTTGTTTTAGATAACTTACCCCGCAACTTTGATCATGTTAGGCTTGAAAGCTTCTACGTGCTTCAATAGTGTTTTCATAGTCTTCCCAGTGCCTACTATGGCCTGGAAAGAGTGAGCAAGAAACAATGTAGACAAACAACCGTCTGATCGGCGATAAAAGGTTAGTCATGCAGTATAAAACTCAGTGATGTTAAAATCAGCGTGTCCAGAAGCCCTATCGTGCTTTCTGACAAATGGTGATTGGAATAGGGAAAGAAATACTTACCTCAACAATCAGAACATTCTTATGACCGCAAGTGAAAGGAGGAGGAGAGAGGGGGAGAAAAGACTTTGTTAGCATATATAATGTAAATACAAAAGCAACTATCAGTGATATGATAACGTCAGAGGGTACAATTTTGGGATAAAAGTTGATCCGTGGAATTTATTTAAGGTACATATGCAATTAGCCTGTTTTGTCTAGGCTATAATTGAATAGTCAAATGGATCTCTGTTAAAAATATATGCTGATAATTGTGATGTTATAGTTTTTTTTTAACACGCAACATTCTATCTGGCATTTACGTTGATACCAATAGCACGAGGAAGTAAGCAAGCCCGGCGATTAAGGCTGGACATCATAAATTCATCTCTATAAACGCCACAAAGAAATAGCTAAAATTCTGCAAATGCTTCTCTAATCAACAAGGGACAACTGTGAACTATTTATAATGAATAGTCGCCATCTATTTCCTCGCTAGGGAAATGCTTTCACTTGCTACTCTGACAAGCATTGCAAAATATAAACAGTAAGTACAACAATTTGGTATATTTATTAATGATTCTTTTTCCTACTATTCACACAATGACTGACTCTATATCTTGTATTGCATAGTCTCTTTTTGAGTCTGTCTGAAATACAGATTAATAGTATTCATATATCACTATCATATGAAATATTTGAACAAAATATGAAAGTGTTCACCCAGGAACATTAAAAGGCCTTCAAATAACTACCACTATTATCAAATTACACAGTGTTTTGTCTAAGCAAAGCATAGTAACAGGAGGAAGCAGGATTTGGCAAGTGCACTTAAAATACTTTTTGAGGCCTTAATTGAACATTTGGTCTTCTGATTTTCTTACGTCCTGATTAAGTCCAGGTTTAATTCAAGTTAAGCACGTTTACCAACCACTATTTTCTTTGCGACATCCACTCTAAAAAGGCGCTAGTTGAAATCAGCTGACTTTTAATGACCAGAAATATGTTCAACTGTAGATTCCTGTTCGCTTCGTTATGTAACAGCTGCCTGTGCATTAACCAGAAGAAAATCACTCTGTCATTTTAGATGATTTTAGGTTTGAGTAAGTTTGTCCCATTGTGCAAGAAACTTAAAGCTTGAGTACCTAACTTTGAAACCCTTCTAGATGGCAAAACTGTGGTTCCATCAATGCAGATGGAAATGAGCTGGTTTAGCTATAATCTGGTTCAGAACATATCTGTCTTTGAGCGTAATAATGCTGTGCGCTGTCCCTTTTAAATAAAGACTAAACTAAAAGCTTTGTCAGAGAAAAATAAGATAAAAACCACATGTTGTGGTCTGATTTCTTCACAAAGACAAACAAAATGTATTCATGAAACAACAACAAAAGTTAGGTACTGCAGTTCTAAACCATTTAATTTTGATTGTAAACTGTTGCTATAGCTGCTCTAAATTACAAAAACTAACATAAATTCAGCCCATTCCTCGACAGATCTGTCATGCTTGATTTTGTCTTATGAAGCAAAGGTACACTCTAATTTATTATGTTTTAGAAGTTGTGAACTACATGGGATGTTAAATTCATGTGGAATTATTTAAATGTCTCAGTTTATTGAGACCAATCTATTCAAACAGCTGCACAACACTCAAAGAGCCGATAAAGGTGGGCCATAATTTAACCTTATCAGGAAATTTTACTCTACTGTGCGATTAAATAGTGTGTAGTTTTGTAAAGGCAAATAAATTACAATGAGTGAGAACATTTTGGGTGCTGGTCATTTGTCATTCTGGATAATGAGATCAGCGTGTTTATCTCCCCACTCAATGTAATCTGTTGCAACTCTTTCCCCAGAGATAAGGAATAGATTCACCACATTTAGTGGATAAAGAAAGGTCGCCCTCTTCAGGCCAAACTGCATCACTACACTCAATAATACATCTGTCTGTGGAACATCTGTTTCATGTTGTTTGTTATGTAATATGTAATTTTACCTTTCCTGTTAGAAAAGACAGATCTTCTGCTCCAACTATGTGAAGATCTTCTGTGGCTTTGTCATTCTGAGGAGAATCAACAATAAGCTTAGAGTTATGTGACTGCAAAAACAGTGTTTTACGATACCATTTTATCTGCACTGGAATATTTACAATTTACTCAATCTTGTTATCAATCAGGACTGGTTTTAATGCCAAACATGCACATGAAATATAATAGTAAAAAAGAAATGTATAAAAAAGTTAGATTTGTCTCAGTTGTGCTTCTGTTGGGCGGCACGATGGCTGAGTGGATAGCACTCTCGCCTCTCAGGAAGAAGGTCCTGGGTTCGAATCCCGGTTGGAGTGGAGTTTGCATGTTCTCCCCGTGTCTGCGTAGGTTTCCTCCGGGTGCCCCGGTTTCCCCTACCACTAAAAATATGTACAATAGGTCTGGCATGTGCCTCATGTTCTGGCACCCCCACCCCAAAAATCACAATTGTAAACCACTTTGAGACTCTGATGTGTGGTATATAAATAAAGATTACTTACTTACTGTTAAAATAGTCTATTTCAGATACAATATATCTTGTGCCCTATTGTGCAGGGGCGTCAAAAGGCATGTGGTTATGTTCTGTCGATCGTATAAAAGTGAATTCATTAACAGGACAATCATTAAAGTATATTCTATTTATCTCCAAAGGGTAAATTGTCCTCTGCATATGATCCATCCTGTAATGCTCCTCAAGAAACCTTTCAGGAGCAGTTCACAGTGCCCGCCGGAAGTAACTTCTTTTTGAGGAATGACCTCAGTTTTGGACCATCCTGTATTCTCCTAATATGAAAAGATATTTGAACATTTGGGGATCGACAGCATGAAAAGAGTCCCAGAAGCAGAAGGCCCTGCGTAAAGCCGTCTTCACCACTTGGAGAAACATTCCTACTTGCCTGCTGGAAACACTTGCATGAATGATGCAGAAATGGCTTTTTGTGATAAACAACAGATCTGCTCAATAACTTTTTGTCTGGATTTTAGTTGAATTGCTGTATTTTATGAATTGCTAATAATAAATGTAGGACCTTATAATCAATAATTATTAATTTATTATAAGGTCTACATTTTCAAAATCCTTACCCTCAATCACATACTTAAAAGCATGGATAGACTGTCATTTCAAACAGAATCTAGGGACAACCTGCACTGCTGTTATCTGATGTCATATATGTGAGGAATATTTTATTGTTTCCCCCAATTATGTTTTGGACTACTCTTTGTAATACTAATGTAATACATGCAAAGTATTTATTTTTTATTTTTTTATCTTTATTTGAATTGGGACAGTGCACATTCATCAACATGTGTTTTTAACATGTAAATGTGCCAGAGTTAGCCATGTAGGCTAATTTTCATCCGTAGTCCCATGTGTCATTCTGGAACAGTGTAGCCTCTGTAACGACTAGAACCAACAGTGCATGTATTGTAGAGTCCCACAGAGCCCTCACCATGTAGCTTTTGAGCCGGATAAAGTGCACCCTCATGGGGATAGTGCGGTTGGAGTTGCAGCTCAGGACCTTAATCTTGTCCACTAGATCTGCACTGAACTGGTATCCTCCTTTCAGGACACACAGCACCACAATGTCTTTGTTCCCCAGGTCGTCCATGATGTCCCGGGCCAGGCGCTCCGTCCTGAGGCAACGCAAAACAAGACAAATGAACTTCGAGCCTCATGAAGATGGACATTATACACACTGGCATCACACAATCAAAAAATATTATGACATAGTAGGATATAATGTCAGTAGGCAAGTGTTGGTTCCAGTGATAAAGTCCTCATCTAAGAAAGTCAACTCCTCTTTCAACTTTTAACTTTTGTTTCCAAACCACTTGGTCTGATTTGGTCTTAATCACTGCTTTTCATGCTATAAAAATAGAGCGCTTCCCTCCGGACACAAGTGATTACATTTTGTTATAAGTTGGGCTATTCATTATGGATAGCATCTTCTATATTTTTACATTTTATTATCTTATTTTGAAGCAAATTTAGATGCAAACAAACACAGACACAGTATAATTCTTTCTTAAATTACAGACTCAAAGCAGCATCTGTTGTTTTGTTTTTCAGACTGAAATTATAACTTGAGTGGTAGACTTTGAAAACAGTGACATTCCCCATCCCTGTGTGAAGAGCATGGGGGGGCTTCAAAAGTACCTGTCCATGATCACTCCATGTGGGACGATGACACAGTCCAAGTCCCCAGCGTAGTGAGAGGGGTAACTGAACAGGTCTAAACTGTAGCCAGACCAGTTATCGTCAATCTGAGAGAAAGAGAAATGGGTTTGCAAGTGTCATCCGAGTGCACGCCATATTTGTCTGCGCTCAGAGCTGCAATTAAGTGGCTTCTACAGTTTGCACGATGCACTATTTTGAGATTACGCGCAGGCGGCAACTTTCATTTTGAACTTATGCACATTGTCGGACGTAATTACCACAATTCCGTCGCGTCTTTTTGGAGATGCATCGTTTGCCATGTTGTTTTCCGAAACGCACTCAGAAAGGTTCCTGTGGCCTAAACGTACTGGTGTGGCAGGTTTTTTGTAGACTTTGCGAGAGGGAAGTGTGAGGAGGAGGAGCATCGGGGTGAAGGAATTTCTATTTGACCGCCACCATTTGCACCCCATCATGTAGTGCAATGACGCCGTATTGACGGTAGGGGCGCTACAACACCATGAATGATTTGATGTAAGACATACATACCAAAAAGAGCAGTATTAAGAAAAGATGCTTTGTGTTTCATATAACTATTTGACACGTAATTGAATTAGTTCTGTCAACAAATGGTGCTGGTGGTAGGAGCCAATGGCGCGGATTGACTGCCTTGCTTCTACCAGTTTGCCCAAGGGCAGCTATGACAAGCAATAACACTGTGTAAACTGCGATTTAATTCAGATAGCATTATTATTATTAATTGTTATGCTCAAGTGTGAGAAAACAGAGCAGTGAAAGACCTTAATTATTGGTTGTGTAGATATAAGTTATACGTTTTTAGGTGGAACATGACCTGATTAAAATAAAATAGATTTTACAATTTGGGACATATAAATGAATTGTGCAAAAGTTGGATGCAAAATTTTGGAAGAACCAGGGGAATTACCAAATATGCAAATATGTACATCTTGATCGAGGTTAAAGGTGCATTGTGCAACTTTTCTGATGCCATCCACTGTCTGTTTGTTGCCATTGTTTATTTTAACATGTCTTCTTAGGGCTCAACACCATGATTCTTACAATAGAGCAGGCTCACCGTCCTATAAGAGCTGTAACTTATCCATCCCCATTGGACACACACACGTGACATCATGAAAGGCACGTGGAGGACCTTCACACTGTCTTCTACACTTATAAGATCATGGTATACTTTATTATACGTGTCCTCTGCATTTGACCCCACGAAGACAATCTGTCCGGATCAGTGGAGCGCTGGGGACCCATCTCCAGATGTTGATGCTCAGCTTGGTCAGGACTATTGGAGATGGAGTTTTTTTTGAACGGTGAATGTACGGGTCCACCATACACACAAACAATATTTGTGTGTTGTTGTTTTTTTGACTGTAGTAAATGACTTTATTGATAAACATTGTAAATAGTATTTTTGTTTTTTTTTTTGGCTTTGGAGACCTGCAACTGAGACTGAAATTTGTTTGTTTATACAGTGTTACAAATAATAGGATTATAAATCAATCTCGATCAAAAATGCTTGTTATGGAACTTTAAATAATACAACACAACAATACAACACTTATTTTGCGTTTGCTTTGGATGATGTAGAATTGTGTCTCTACTTTACATTATTATCAACATCAGTATTTTGTTTTGTTTTGTATCAGACATAGTTAAAATATGAAGTCATTGACATACCATAATGCCATTGAGATGCCTGATATTACAGCTATGCTTTTCTGTCACACCTCATTGTAATGCTTTCAGCAATTCTCTTGTCTTTGTTGTGTTCAGATAAGACTCAAGGTTAGTCGTACACAAACCTAGGTCTGCATGATGCTGTGCTCTTTCAAGACTGAATATGACCTCTGCTTTTTGCTATATTTATAAATATATGTTTTATTCTGATGGTGCAACTGGTCTAACTCAGCGTTACCATGACAACACTGTTGCCTGAGGGTAAACCACTCTCCCCGTGGTAAAATAACAATGGGCTATTGTTATGAATATATTTTATTATGGATGGCAAAATGCTTTTCCTTTTTTTTTTAACCAAATCAAAACTAGGCCATCACGCAAAGGCCTGTAAATATGATGCTAAAACTTCTTATTGTCTTATTATAACTCTACTACTACTGCAACATAATCATTTTATGACCAAAGGCTATGGAGTTAATGATAAATATTATGAATGGCTGAAATAGAAACGAGTCTTGTTCACTTGGGGCAAAAAGGATTTATTTGTGGGCGTGAAACCACCAGACAAGTGAGCATGTGTCTAATAGATTGTTAAAGAGCCATACTTGCATGCACAAGCCAGATCCCTTCAGTCCTCTGAAGCAAAGCAGGGCAGGGCCAGGTTAGCACTATGATGGGAGACCTGTGTGAACACCAGGTGCCACAGTGCGGCGGCTGCGGCTGTGAAGTGCCAAACTGTCATTGTGTCCTTAGGCACGATGCCTCACCCACATTGCTTTGAACAAGTCTGGCGTGTCAGCAAATGGTTGGTGGTGGTCTGAGGGGCTGATGGCACATACAGGTGGTCACGCTTCTTTCAGTGTGCCCCAGGGCAGTTGTGGCTACGGTAGTAGTACAGTAGTTTATCACCACTGTGTATGGAGTAAAAGGATAATGACATGTGTAACGTCTTTGAGTAGTGCTGAAAAGCGCTATATAAAACAAATGCATTGTTATTATTATTAAAGTAGTAAAGTATTCAGGGCGACAGTGGCTCAGTTGGTAGAGCATTGGCCTTTGAGCCTGAAGGTCGTGGATTCGAGTCCACCATAAGACCTTCTTCACGACTCCCACTGATGACTGTGTCCTTGGGCAAGACACTTAACCCAGGAGGATCAGTGAGGTGCTGGTGCTATGTGAACTGGGTGCAGCTCTGACTGCCACCCCCTGACCCAGAAATGGATTAAGGGGAAGAAGATAGATGGATGGATGGAAGTATTCACTTAAGTCAGTTTGCATCTTTTGAAGCAGATCTGTGGAGACTTTTTCCCCCAAATGAACCAGGCTTGGTCCAGTTAAAGTGTAAAAAAACCCACGTATAAACGTTTTATAATTTAAGACAAGAGAACCTTTGTTGAGTGTTTCAGAGCTCTCCAAACAAGAGGATAACTGCACAAAGCAGAAGTTTGAGATTAAAGCTACCAAACCAAACAGACAAATGAACTATATACAGCTATGTAAAAAAATGCATGTAAGTAGTTCCTCGCATTCAAAACAGGTTTTATCATCAGTTTGGTTCTATCACTTGTTTTCACATGTATTTTTAGCTGCAGTCACATATTTTACTGCATTATATTTGTTTGAATAGAAAGAGACAAAGAGAGGACCATACTCCCTCGGCTCTCAGTCCAAAGTTTCAAACAGTGACTCAAAGGACTCTTTCTTATGCAAAGGTTACAATGTTTTATATTAGGATGATGACAGCATGTTATGATCTGTTATCCCCTCACAAAACTTTACAGCCTCAGTTCTGGGTCTACAACCTTTCCGTCCCGTGGGAGCGCATCCCTCTCTCAATACGGGCCTCCCAGGGGGTTTTCCTTTTTCCCACTGGGTCTTTGAGTCATCCCTTGCAGATGCAAGACGGTCTAAGGACAGTTGTGATCCAGGACACCTTTGGACATTCTTGAACATTTAACAGACATTGGTCATCCGCTGCCCTATGGACTGATGACTCCATTGTGTTTTATGGCCTCTAATCTGGCAAATCGACAATGTTGTAAAGTCCTTTATGTGACTGCTGTTGTGAAAAAGAACTTTCAAAATATTATAATAATTGAATTGAATTCTGTTGGAGTAAAACATGTATTATTTATGAAAGAAAAGTTCTGCACCCCAGCTTTAATTAACAAAGAAATCCCATCAGACTATGTTTATTACATGTTCTGACTCTGGCCTCGTCTCCCAATGACTTGTGCATGTGTAATTTGCAGCCGCCACACCCAGGCCTTGCTGACAGTGTGTGAATGGGTAAATTTGGGACACTACATGAGGGGGGCTGCTGTGGTCAGCTGGTTGGGGGTCACAGCAGCAGGCTATGGTATGGCGTGTCAGTGCATATTAAGGCAGTGTGCGTTCGCCGGACCAGGACGAGGTGTCTGGGCCACCCACCCGTGCCTCTGCTCGGCGGCTGTAATTACAAGCAGCGCAGCGGTGACAGCTGGGGAGGCAGATGTCAACAGAAACATTAGATTTCAATCAGCCTGCACAGTGCCACACCTCGGAGGAGCACAGAGGTGTTAGGACTAAGATAAAAATGGCTATCTATATTGTGTTATGCCAATAGGTTGCCTCCATGTTCTAGAATTCTATTTCAGTTGAAGAGCGGGCGCCTATGATACAACTCTGAGAAAGAAGAAATTTCTGAAAAAACAGTTGAAAATGAAAATGTTCAAATGTTTCCCAAAATCATTATTTAGATTCACATAACCTCCATATTATTCTCATGTCTGAAAATCCTTCCTTCTGGCCAACATCATGCATATCTTTATTATAAAAAATATGTCAGCCCTTTTATGAGGAAAATAACTAAACAAAATGTGTGACAGACTTTTGACAGTTACCATAGTTACCAGGATGGATTGTCAAATGAACATGTGATTACACAGCTTGGATGCCAATAGAATAAATGGATATATAGATGTTAATGTTGTGCCCTTACTCTGCCCTCACTCAGCCAATCAGCTCTCAGTATGTAAAAGATAGCATGGTGTGGTCTAATTTTTTCAGTAATTGTAACAAGGTAGGACAAACACAATGTATTTACAATGAAAAAAAGAAATCATTACTTTATTACAAATGCCAGTACTTTCAGTTATTTACCACAGTAGATTTTCATAATATCTATACTTCTATTTCTACACCTTAAGACTACTACTTTTGCCATCATCGTTTTTAAAATGATCAAAACGACAAGACAAAAACCACATTGAGAAGAGCTGCACTCTCTTAATACTCCGGCCTGCCACAGTATTTTGTTGTCACATTGTTTTGATGGAGCAGTGAAGGCAGCAGCAGACCCACTTCTTATGCCCCCGGGGGTTCGGAGAGGAGCAGTCTAACGCTGGCATTTCGCACTCCGTCAGCAGTCACGGCCCTCACCCTCCATCCGAAACAAAAAAAAAAAACCTGCGTTGGCCAATTATGAATATTCACTTGCTCTGAAAGTAATTCTGTTGGACACGCCACTGTCCATCCAGATATAGTCATTGGTCTGGTTTTCACTGTTTGGATTGTACAAGGACACACATTATTCACCATTCCCAATCAGAATCCATTTGTGTACAATTTAAACTGTCCCAGAGTATTACAGAGGACATCGATTTTTGCAAACATTGAAAACCCATCTTGGATTTTAGCGTTCATTGACCTAAACATAATGGACAGACAATATCAACTGTATTGTCTATAACATTTTGCGCAAGCTCTGAAAGTAACCTTGTGAGCGACTTCTAAAAGTGAGATGGCGTGAAATAAAAACCAAATGTTATTTGAAGGTGTGGATGAGAATTTCTTTTGTAGTTTAAAAAAGAGATTCATTAACTGCATTTAATATACTTATTATGGCATCTGGGTTTACTGTGAGTACAAGTAAGACTCTATTAAGATAATTGGCTTCCTGTTTAAGTGGATTGCTGTAATGTATTAGAAAACAAAGTGGTTTACGGAGCTCGTTGATAAACTTTGCTTTCTGCACAAAGTGAAATATAGTGTCTTGTGATCATTATTATGGCGCACTGATGAGGCTGGGAAGAATGCATTACACCGTGTATATCAATGAAGGATTTTAATTCACTAGACTAGAGCTATAAGCTGGACTTCAGTGAAACCAGATATGTAACCACTCTGAAATACTTAAAGCTCAGGTACCTAATTTCATCCCCCTCTACTATTCAATACATATGGTTTGTAAAATATTGTGAACAAATCAGGATTCGAATCCCGGTCGGAAACGGTGTCTTTCTTAGTGGAGTTTACATGTTCTCCCTGTGTCTGCCTAGGTTTGCTCAGAGTTCTCCGGTATCCCCTACCACTAAAAACATGTACAATAGGTATGAATGTAACGAGTTTTTTTGATTGGGGGCTTTGGGGGACCTTGGTCTGTAAACATGCGCTATATAAATAAAGATTACTTTCTGTACAAACTTGTATAAAGAGGGTTCTGTCTGATTGTATGTGGCTCTCAAACAAATCTTAGCAGGCATTACTGGTAAGAATGTTTTAACTATTGGATATCTTCAGTATAGAAATGTTAATAAACAAAAGAATACGTTCTTGTTTTAAAAAATCACACATATTCAGTTTTAGAAAATAGTGTATAGCTCCCACATAAATAAGTATGAGAATTGTTTGGCTCCCTCAGCTGAAAAGGTTCCCGACATTTGTGTAAGAGTGGGCTTTGTGAGTCACTATTTGACGCTTCGAGCTGATTGGCCCAGTCAGGATGGCCCTCTCTTTTTCACATGTATCTGAAAACTAGTGATAGAGCTTGGTAGTTAATCGATGGATTGGATAATACATATGGTACAATGGTTCTTTGTGAGTGGTTTGAAAGTTAGGTACCCCAGCTTTATGTGGTTGAAGGGCATGCATTGGCAAATCTGATTGATTCTCTCCATGCGAACCCTGTTAAAAGAGAAAGTGATGCCAGGCTAAACACACATTGATCGCACACTACACTAAATCCATTACGAATATAATGCATAATTGTCTTCTCCTTCAGCCTGTAAACTGCAACAATGGCTTCTCAAACAATGATATACGTTTTCCACACCATGTAAACAGATTTGAGTTAAAAAAAAGGAGGTCAGGGCGGATGACAAGTATTTCTTTATTGTTTTACAGATAACATACTTCACAGGGTTACCTTAGACCTCCCGTCCCCTGACAGCAGGAGACAAGAGGGGGAGATGGACAGACTTTATCAAGCACACATTGTAAACAACTGAGCAATATTTAAGTCTAAATGGCGTACCATAGAATAAGTGAGAGACAACAAAATGTACGTAAGTAAGAAGATGTGCCTCTTGCTTGCAAAGACAAAAAAGTTTCATATTTTTTTACAAAACAAATAATGGTCACTGACATTTTTCTATGTTTTTTATGTGGCTGAGAGGTAGAATGGAGAATGGTTTCTTTATCATAACATTGTATCATGATGCGTGAAAACATTATGAGTGAGTAAGTAACCCCAGCCCTCTGAATAGAATGTGAAATCTGTACAAACATCTCCATCATCGACTACAATTTGAAACATTTTTGTATCCCAAGTGTCCGACTGTTGATAAGAAGAAGTGAATCGGAGTGGATTTCGCTGTACCTCTCCACACGGCGGGACGGAAAGCTCCTCTGTGTAATACTGTAGAAGGTCAGTCCATGTTTCTGGGATGGGGGCGAAGAGATGGACAAGATTCAGTTGGAAGTATCCGAATGGACGCTTCCGGGACCTTCTGTGGGCGATGTCACTGACGAAGGAGTTGGGGCATCCTGCCAGCCCCCGTTTGTCTGCGGGCACATGATCCACACCATTATCATGAGAGGAGCCAAACAATGTCATATGTGTAGAATAACAAAAACACGTGTGCAGTGGAACTAATGAAAATAAGGAGCGTGATAAGATAAGATTTAAAATGTTTTTGTTGTTTACATTTTATAGAAACATCATCACAAATCTGCATTCATGCCTTTAAATATATGTTTAACTATTGTATGACTTTTTATTGCACCATATGTCAAAGCAAAAACCTTGTTTGTGACTTCCTGGTACTTACAAAATAACTATAAACAATTCTTCTCTTGATTAAACCAACAACTAAATCCACTTACACTGAGGACAGGAAATATTACTAAAATAATAATAATACCAAAGTAATTTCATTCAAAAAAAAAAAAAAAGAAGAAAATATGTTTGCAAAATAAAATAATTTCAAGCTGGAAAACAAATCTGATTTCCAATATTTTTGTGGAAAAATAACCTCCAGTCTAATCTGAATACAACAAAGCAAACAGAATAATAAAATGGTAGGATAGGTCTGTGACAAGTTAATCCAAACTAATCGATTATTGAAATAGTTGTCAACCATAAATTAGACTTAAACATGCTGAGGAGTTTTATGACATGAATAAATGGAATTGTATTTTTAAAGCATTTTAAATCAAACAACAAGTGATCTCTATTAATATGTTCTCCAGGCGCATCACTTCCACTTTGTTATGGTCAAATGTATATAAATCATATTCACTGACCTTTAAAATCTAATCAACTAATTCATTATCAAAATAATTGTTGTTGTTTTTCTTAATCCAATAATGACAGTTATAAATGTTATGTACAGATTTCTGCATCAGTATAAACTTAAATCAGGTCTGGGAGAATTTGAGTTTTCTATTGTTGTGTTTATGAGGTTAAATCATAAATACAATAACAAAATATTAAAACTAAAATGTCAGAAAAAGACAGCGATAATGACTGTTGATATCATTAAGCTTCTATAATAATTAAAGTCATTCTTGTGCCTTGAGTCCCAAACAAAACACTTTTGAGCTGTCTCCAGTTTCACTAATGATCAACAATGTGCGCTTTCAAAATTGTACTTTGTTCTTCTGCACAAAAGTTGGGACACACATTCCCTCTATATTTCTGAGTCTACAACTGAGACAGCAGATAAAAGAATACATTATCACAATAAAAATAGGTCTTTAAAAGGAAAGCCTCCTAAAATTGCAGTAAAAGGTTGACTAAAGACCATTACGGACATTAATTGCAATTTCCGTGCTATTAGTGCGAGCAGCGAACGTGTCGTGGCAGCCTCTCATTTCCAAACCCTGTTATTTTGCGTAAAGACTGTCTGTCATCTTATTCAGAAGCACAAGTGAAGGAAAAAATGAAAGAAGTAGGAGAAAAAAAAACATTTCTTGGGAAACGGCAACACCCACTAGCAATTTCAGGGGTGTAATTGCCGTTCAAGGATAAAAAGAGACGAAGTGAACCGTGTGAGCTCAGTCAGTGGATCTCAGCAAAGAAAAAATACTAGTGGGTAAATAAATATAAAATAGGTGCTGTTGAGGTGCTGCACTTCATTCACAGTGGACTGGGAAAATGTGTTTTCATTATAAACAGTACAATGAAGCTGATGTTCATTCAGTCTTAGTAATTATGAGCGATATTTTTAATGTTGTGATTTACGAAACGTGTCGAGTAGATGGAAATTCAGAATGTAGATAGATAAATGCAATAGGCCATAACCTTTCAAACCCCTAAATTATTAATTGCAGGAGGGTTTAAGGACAGTGATGATTCTAAAACATTTATGGACCACTTTTGTGTTCTAATCATTTGTCTCTCAAATCTGTTTTTGGCGAATTGACAAATTTTTAGACGACTGCTGTTGTGATTTAGGGTCGTACACAAATTCATTGAATGAAAAATTAAATTAACAACTCAGAAACAACCAAAGTTCAATGTTGTGCCAAAACGTATTGTTATTACTAATAAGATTGATAGATTATGTGGCAGTAACAGCTAAACAGATGTATTCACTCATTTAGGATACATTTTGAGTCAGGGACAGCCGCCTTTCATAGAATTTCTGGTAAAACTTCCTAATTAACTAATTCAATGATATCCAAAATATTAGGTTTTGGTTTTGCTCTTTTCAGGGGGTCAGAGGTTAATTATGATAATCAAGCATTATTTCATTTTAATAGTGGAAAACTAGAGTTGTATTCCTGTGAGAAAAAAAAATCATGGGTTCTATCATATCGACAATCGAGCATACAGGAGCTAAATGTGGCTTTCAATGACTGCCTAAGAATTCTGTTGAAAAGGCCTCGGTGAGAGAGTACCAGACACTTATTTGTTTCTTCTGGGATCTTGACTTTTCGTGCTGTTTTAAGAAACTTGATGAACAGATTTATTTGTCGGCTGAATCAAAGTCAGAATGTGATTAGTGATCAGAGTCTGTCTGAACTGTGGCGTCATTGGTACAGTATTCTGCTGTAAATATGTACGTTTATTTTCTATTCTTGTTGTGATGTCTTTTTTATTTAATCCTCGAGTCTGTAATAAAGTTGAATGACAATATAATCACGCTGATGCTGATGTATGAGTTCAGTGTTCACTATTGGCCATGCTTTTCCAGTTGGAGGGTGTTGGCGGTGCGGCCTGTCAGTGCGACTGTCCCTGTGGATGGCTGATCTGACCAACGCGCTTGGACTGCGAGCCCCAAAGCCGCGCTCTTTCTGTCCTCGCGATGTCGTATCGATTCTGCTCAGCGCCGCGCCAACTGTCTGTGCGAATCTACATAGGAACCGCCTCCAGTGTCCCGCCATGACAGCTACACCTTAAGCCCCGCCCTCTCCCGCCAGCGCACTTCTTTATTAGTGATTAGCAACTTTATTCTATGCGGGCGGCGAGCGGGGGAAAGGTGTGATGGCAGGTTGCGTGGTGTCATTGCCGGGCGGGTTTTTTGGAAAGGCTGGATGACATCTGTGTCCTTGTTGCTGTCGGCTGCAGGTGTCTTGCTAACGCTAATGTCCCACGACAGCCTCGGAGCATGTCCAGATCCTGCCTCATCGCCTGCCACCCAGGGCACGACCGAAGCAGGGGGCGCAAGTGGCTGGACTGACGCCGAACAACAAATCTCTGCTAAGTGGCGTCAAAGAATCATAAGCACCTAAAGACCCACTGATGATTTAAAGTGTGCGGTTTAATAAGGCCTGTGTGTTGTGTGTGTGCTGTGTTTTGTTGTATGTGTGAGAGAGGAGCCAAAAAAAATCCTCTGACCAAACTGTGTATTTATGTTTATTTGTTTATTTGTTAACATTGTTCTCTTGTTGATTAATCTTAAAAGATAGTTTGAAATATATAATAATAGAGTTTTTTGGAGACATACAATTTAAAGAGATTGTAAATGTTTTTCTTCTCATGAGGAAACATTTTATATTTAAGTCTAGTAACGAAATACGACAAGTTTTATTAATTGAGGTGAGCACTATCACAATTTAGAAGAATGCTCAGTTGACAATTAACAACTGAAAAAGACAGAAAAAAAAGTTCTTGATGCCTTATCATTGGAAAGAAATTCTGATTATCAGACATATTTCGTTTTTGTGTGAATGTGAAAAATTCTTTGTTTGTCCCTTGTTTGTCCTTGCTTTGTGTTTTTATGCATTCATTTATGATTATATTCCTGTTGTTTGTCTTGATTTTTACAGTCCTTAAATAAAAAATAAAAAATACAAATTTGAGTAAAATGTTTGTGGAATTGATTTTGAGTAAACGTTTTAGCCATGTAGATGAGAGCCTCATACTTGACTAGTACAATCAATAAACATTTGCAAATTTACTTCATTATAATCAATAGGATACTAACTTAGATTAGAGGATCATTGGATCGTCTGTTAATGGAATGAGATAGTTTACAACATTGTGGCATTTTTTCTAATTATTATAATTCTTCATTCAAGTAAAAACACATGTTTTCTCTTGTTTAAAGTAAACAAAAATCTTGTTCAAGTGGAAAATTCTGCTCAAATCCACTTTGTAATTCCGCTCACTTGAGCTTCTCGAGACAATGCAGCGATAAAGCAGTGTAATAAAATATCCATGGTTAATTCGTCTTGTATGTTCTCTGGTGTCTTTTTGAGTTTTACTTCCTGTTCTGTGGATTGCCTCACATCAGGGCCGGCCTGATGTGTTACACCTGTATCTGCCAAATCAAATTCCCTGTGGTTTTCCCTCTTGTTGTCATTCCATCGTGTATTTGTTCCAAGTATTGTTCTTGGACTCCTGTTTATCAAACTATATATATTTGGGGTCCTCCTTCTTTTTGAAACGTGGCAGGATGGACTGACCACACCTGGACTCATCATAGAGAAAAAAATAACAATACACGAATCCAAGAAAACTAAAACATACTCAACTGAACGTAAAACAGAACCTAGGGACAAACACACAATGGACTGACAACGAGAGAAGGTGCACAGGGAACTCGGAGACACAGGTGTAACACATCAGGGCGGAGCAGGCAAACAACAGAACAGGAAGTAAAACTCAAAAACTATGACACACGTCCATATTTATTATGCCTGTTTTTTATGAAGCAGGTTTGGAAATTCAAATCATGATATTATTGGTACTTCATTGAACACACAAAACAAACACAATATCAATGGATCAATATCTCAGTCCAGCTGTGTAATGTCTCATTCTGGCCACATGAAGTTGAGTGCGTGTCTGTAGCATGTCTAAAGCGTGTTTACAGCTCTTACGTTGATGCCCTGTGGACTGTACATCTGGCTGGCTGCGAGGCTGTCACTGTATCCTCCGGTCTGGCTGATAACATGGCGAAGGGTATCCACCTGGAACAAGAGGGACGCGTAAACAAAGGGCCCGGTCACTCCAGCGCCGCGGCCAAACAAAGACCTCTACGCACACGGAAAGGTCAGCGTGATAGAGGAAAGGTGCCGCAAGCGGGAAAAGGTTACAAACACAATCCGAGATGATTTGGCTCCTTATACCGGGGGTGATAACGGCCAACGCAAAATAACACGATGAATATTATGAGGCAGATGTTTCTCCGTGTTCACAATGTGGATTAGATAAAAGGTTATCTTTATTATAAACACGACCACGGTGGGTTTGAATTAAATAGGGATGTGGTTTTTAACTCAGGGAAATGAGAAGTTGATTGCAGGTAAGTAATCTTTATTTATATAGTGGTTTTCACAGAGAGGAACACGGATGCTTTAGTAAATTATTTAGCACAGTTTTGGGGGACGAGAAAAAAAAAACCTGTTCTTGATTATTCCAAAGTGAATTTCACCAGCAACTGAACCACTTAAATATTGTCATCATGCCCATTGTGCTTTTTAAATCAGAAAATTAATTAGATGTACATTAAAGGAGACTCATCATGTAAATTGACCTGGAGTGGTTTTTAAATCCATCCACACTAATTTCAGGAACTTCTGGCTCCTGTCTCAGTCCTGTGATAGTATGATGTCATTGTACCACTGTGGCATCACACTCAGAGTCTTTTGTCATTTAAAACAAAAGTATTTCGGTACTTTGGTATGGTGGGGCGACAGTGGCTCAGTTAGAGCATTGGCCTTAGAGCCTGAAGGTCGTGGGTTCAAGCCCACCATAAGACCTACTTCACGACTCCCACTGATAACCGCTGTTGTTGGCTTCTGTGGACTCACCACCTGCAGGAGGATCAGTGGGGAGCTAGTGCTATGAGTACTGGGTGCAGCTGTGACTGTCACCCCCCCGACCCAGAAATGGATTAAGGGGAAGAGGATGGATGTATTTCGGAAATTTCTTGAGTGAAATTACATTCTTTACAATTGCATGGCTGGGTTTGCAGCTGGTATTTTTCGAATTAGGAAACAAATGATTCTAGTCATACCTCTGATGGTAGCATACAGAGTTGGAGCCGGACAGCGTTGCATACTACATTAAGTCACTTTAAGTCACTAATGCACTAGGACTGAAAAAAACTGCACTGCTATTGCCACTCTTTCACAAGGTCACCTCATTTGGAAAGTAACCCTTTTGAGAAAAGCACATGTTGAAACCCTGAGGACTGTTCTCCGTCCTATAAGCTTTGTCCCTGCTCCATATGTATGACGCATCCTAAAGCGTTTGCAAGGAGCTGATCTGAATAGAAAGATGGACGGTGGAATGGACTACGGTGCCAAAAGCAGAGGACATGACCACAGGAGATGTTTCTTAATGTTTAGTGTGAGTTTTAACACTCCGTATCGCAGCTATGGCCCTCGCTGTCCACTGAGGCAAGGTCACAGGAGTACGGCGCACCAGTGGCTATGTGAAATCCCGCTACGCTGCTGATAAGTGCTGTACCGGCTCCAAAAGTGTCCACCACGTCTACTCGGGGATTTGACAATGGGGTAATGGGAAGCTTAAGGCACTCTTTACCCTTTGTGTGACTACGGAGGTCAACTTATTCTGTTTATCGCGTTTCCCAGACTGACCGGAGCGCAGACGTTATTACATGCAGGGAACATTAGGCTAAGCTTTCAAACTGTGGAATGAAAAGTGAGCCCCCTGGTACGGAGTGACATTTTGGAAAAAAAAAATACCAAATAGACTTTTTATTGGTGGACAATAACTGTTATTTCTAAAACTTCAACCTGAAATTTTGGCAAATGGAAAATGATTTTGTGTAACCGGCAGGCTTTTTGTAACTATTACATACTGCATCTTTGATGATCCATTATTATGTGTCATTGGATTAGGAAGTTAAAGGGGACATAACCCGATACTGTTCTCTATAACATGTTGAGCTATGCCCCCTGTGGCATTGAATTGTCAGTGAAACGTCTGCACAACAACATAATGTTATTATATTTACTATACATATCATGGATTCAGATTTTTTTTTAACCAAAGAAAGTAAGTAAAACCTGAGTGAGGGCATAAGTGCCGGTAGTCAGAGGAGTGAGGGGAGAGCAATGGCGGCGTGCATATATGTGGATATACATAACTGAATCGCACAAAAAACAGCTTTGTGTGTTTAAATGACATGGGCCAAATAACATGGCCAAAGTCGGTCTTTAGGTTATATCCCCTTTAAGGATGTACTTCAAGAACAATTAGATTTTCAATTATCAACACCAGAAAAGTTTTTTTGTCCACGCACAATTCCTCCAGCTCATCAATATGTGACCAAACTAAATAAAACCCACACTTTCTAAATCATACTTGACATCACCACTTATTTTCATTTAACTTTTGGAGACTAGATGGAATTGAATCTTTTGTTAAACCATAACAGAGATCAAACACAGTAACTGAACAAGTAACAATTGATATGATAAAGAAGAAGAATAAATATGAGTTAGAAATGAGCAATGACAAAGTTAAAAAATATATAAATTAGTTTGGAGTTAGTTGAAATAAAAGCTGAAATGCAGCCTGGTTTGCACGACACACATGTACGTCACAGACCCGTCTTTCGTACCTGGGATTGAATGTTGGCCCCCACTTGCCCCCCTTGATACGAGTCCCCATTGAGGGACTGCACACTCATGAACAAGTCTCCAGAGTTTGACATGTTAAAAGACCCAGCGGAACCTGAAAAGACATGAAGGTTTGGAGCAGAAGAGGGAAAGACAAAAGGAAGAGTTAGAAAAGTCATGCAAAGCCAAGGCGGAGGGCAATAAAAGATGATAAAACTGCTGCGTTAAAAAGCGCTTATGGTTTGTTTGTTTGTTTGTTAAAGCAGCAAGGAAACAATAATTGATTTGCAGGAAGGCTCGAAGGATCGTCTTAGCCTTGTAATGTTCCACAGCTCCCCAGATGTAAAGAAACAGCATGGTTAACTTGATTTCAACACCCGCTTCCTAATCCAATACAGCCGAAGAAGTCACTATATGACAAAAGACTCGGCTTGGCCTCGGAGCTGCTAATGGAATGCACGAGGTCAACCGGACAAGAGGCAGGAAAAATTAGCGTCTACAAGAGCAAAAGGTCAATAACGCAGAGGGACAGGTGGAAACAATGAGAATGGAAAATATATGTAAGGAATCCAATAGAGATGCAAGCTACCGGAAGATTACCGGCCATACAGGGGCCCCCGAGACAGTTCTTGAGTTGAAGCCCAAAATACCATTTGGAAAATAAAGCAGGCGTACAGTGCACTCTGCTTAATTTGCTATTCTTGATTCTATGCTGCCAGAGGATTTTGAGATTTGAGTATTTATATAAGAAGACCATTTTCTTTTCTTGTATTTAGAAAAGTTTAGGTAATACTAAAGGGTCGCTCACAGCCCCCTTTCCAATAGCTGCCAAAAGGATTTATAAAAAGTTGGGGGTTTACATGTTATAATTATTGTAAATGCACAGTTGGGTGCGAATAGATAAATATTTATTGATTTCTGGGCATCTAACTGTACCCCAACAAAGGCAATCTCTCTATTGTATCGACTTTCTCTTTTGCCCGCTCTAAGTTCTCTACCATTTTACTGCCAAAAAAGTAGCTAAATGCAGTTGAAAGAAAAGCTTTGAAATAGTGTGTTAGTAAAGCAGGGGTACCTCACCTTTTTGTTTGATAAATACTTGTTTGTGTAAAAGTACAAATCAAACCTGTCCTCCTCTAATTAGAAAACATGTTATCTTTTGCATACATGTAAGTAATAGGCCTTTGAGACAATATTTGACTCTTTGGGCTGAGAGCTGAGTGAGGGTGGTCCTCTCTTTTGAACTTTTCAGTCAGAGAAAGCTGACAGAAAATCCATGAATATCAAAACTGGTGATATAACTGTTTTAGACGGATCTTAAAATAGTTGGAGATCGGTAAAAAATTTCCCCACTGGGGGACGAATAAAAGATCTCTTAATCTTAATCTATAAAATCTGTTGGATGGTCTGTTAGACTGTTAGAGGGTCTAACTCAGGGGTGCCCAAAGTGGGGCCCGCGGGCCAAAGTTGGCCCGCCAGACCATTTCAGTTGGCCCGCCAAACATTGCCCACCTCCGCTATAAGTTTCTATCTGCGTCCCTCAGCCTCGCTGAATTAACAGTGACATGTCTGAGGTCGAGCAGGCGCATAGTCACCCTCTTAATTCCAACTGTCCAGTACTTATGTGTTGTATCGAGATACACTCCTCACTCATGGTTCACATCAACTTGCACTAAAATGTTTTTTAAAATCAAACACATCTTTCAAAACAATTGGGTGCAAGGCCCCTTTATGTTCTTTTTTTCAGCCTACTATTATTATTTTTTGGAGCTATTTAATGTTTTATCAAATTGAGAGGATTGTGCTGCCGAACTGCTCACCGGAGGGAAATGGCGAGTGGAACTATTCACCTGCGCAATCCGCACCCACCCGGTGTGTTAAAAAGGACGGACACAAACACAGTGAGTTCAAGCAGGACAAGCAGGGATCGCAGCGCACGATCCACGCAAGTAGAAGCAACAAATACTGTCCAAAACAAACCCTTCTACAACCCCATGAAAGAAGCCGGTAAGCGCCGTCCTCACTCGCGATCATTGAATGTCAGACAGAACTTACGCGGAGTTTTATGATGCGTTCAAGAGCCCTTTGGAGGAGCGGAAACTCGGACTCTTTAACAGTTACTTTGTTTTGATTGTTTATAAATGTTGGACTGTGTTTAGGCAAAACAAAACAAAACTCCAGGAACAAATCATGGTTAACTAGTCTGATTTTGTTAGTTTAATATTCAGTTCACTACTAATTGAGAATACTTATCCTATGTTAAAACAGAGTTAAAACCTGATCATGTTTAGAAAATGCAGTTAGCAATTATGTTCCCAAATTCATTACTTAATGTTAAAATGTATTGTTTAAAAGTGTGCTAAAACCAGATCTATTGATCAGTGATGTCTCCCCTTTTTGATAAAAGCTAAGATAAAGTAATATGATTCAAATGTAGTTAAAAACTTTTGTTCAAAATAAATATATGAAAATAGACTTGGAAATTGCTTTGGCTCAGTGCAACAGAGATAATAAAAATAAAGAATAAAAAACACTTCTAAGGAATAAATTTAAATTTAAAATAGAGTTACAGTTACTACTTACAATATACAAGTGCACATGGTGTCACAAAATGTATGTTTCTGTTCTCTTTTTGAGGTTTTATTATATAATTTTAACCTTTAAATAAGCCATGACAGAAAATCTCCCTCCTCTGGACCCTGATTACCCGGCCGGAATCTTTCCGTACTGTAGTCTCCTCAAACCTGCATATTTCCCTGGAGTCTCCACTTCACTAAGACTGTGTTGATTTCATTCATTCAGCTGTGATTTGCACTGATAGACAATACTTAATGCATTTAAAAGAACTTGATCAAATCTACATTTATTTGTGTTTCATGCATAATATTGGTGTATTTGGCCCGCAGCCCACTGGCAAATTTTTACTTTGGCCCTTGGAAGCAAAAGGTTTGAGCACCCCTGGTCTAACTAAAAGGACAGTGGTGATGATCCAGGACACTAAACTCAACATTAGACAACATTTATGGACATTTATTATCATTTGTGGACATTGGTATTCTGCTCCTTATGAACCAATGGCTCTATGTGTTTTTTATTGTTGCATTTCTTGTGTTGAACTGTTGATTCACTGATCTGTGTTGGCAAATTCAACGGTTTTGTTAAGTGCTCCGAGATATCTACTGTTGTGATTTTAGGGCTATACAATAATAAATTGAATTGAATTGCTGTGGTTTGACAGCTTGATTCTACAACTTGGAAATGTGCCACTACAGTCCCATCAGGCCCAGGTTGAAGTTACCTGCTGAGTTGGGGGTGGACGGGGAGTTGGCCTGGCTGCCGTGGGCTGATACATTGGTTGCGCTAACTGCGGTCCTCGCTGCGTACATGTTGGCCTCCTCTTGGAACTTGCCGATATTTTTCTTGTACCGGATTCTCTTGTTCCCAAACCAGTTGGATACCTAGGCAAACACACGTCACCAAGAATAAGCAATTTAAGTCATTTGCACACAGCCATCCATCAAGTTTTATATTTACAGACTTATTGTGCATTTAATGTGTAGGCACTCGTTTGGCATTTTGAGTAGAGGAGTATAATGCCCTTATTGTTCTCTATTCTGACTTTATCTGCAGTTTGAAAGATGATTTTTCATGTGCAGATAACCTTTCTTATCATCTTATCATTGTGGCATTTATATTCATCTCTGCAAGACTTGAATACTTAATAGGTGCATGTGGAAATGGTTAGACACAACAAAAAGTCTTTATAGTTGCTCTTGATGAAGAATTATAGAATGTAATATGATGGAAGCTGTTTTGTTATTACCTGTGAGACGGTGATGCTGCACTTCTTTGCCAGCTCCTCCTTGGCCTCCTCGCTGGGGTAAGGGTTACTGAGGTGGGAGTAAAAGTACTCGTTTAGGATCTCTGTCGCTTGTTTGTTGAAATTCCGCCTTTTTCGTCTGGAGAAAGGAAAAGGACATACAAAGAACTGTCATTTATACAATTTCAATGGTGTGTGTCTATCTGGGCAGATTCAATTGGAGATCTTCAATCTGTACAAAAACTCTAAAATAGCATCAGAGCCTTTTTGTTGTAACACAATACAGAAATCTTCCAGCATTTGGTTAAGGCGTCTGAAATGGTGAGTAGATTTTTGCAATAAATCAAGAAGATGGAAAAAGCGTGTTTGTATGTCTTATAGCATCGCAACTTAAGTGAATGTACTGTAACTGTGGTAACTTCACAGAACTCATATTTTGCATTAATTGAGTACATCATTGTTCTTGAACATGACCTTGAAAATATTTACGTCTGACTTTTACTCCTATTTGATTTTTCAAGACTCATATCTAGCATTAAATTACATAGTGTCCAACCTAGCTGGAGACTGTGTGGTGAACGTGGTGTGGGAACGTGGTTTGTGGCACTGTAGCAAATTATCGGGTTTCTGGACTTGTATTGGTAAGAAATTGACAACATATTTGGATAAAAGCTGGCAAAGTGTTTTATTTGGGGTGTGTAGCAGGAAAAGACATTAAAAAAGAAGAATATTAGCCTAAAAAAAGCGACAACACGGAAATGATACAAAGAAGACCCCCCAACACTGAACAACTGGAAGGACTTTGGGAAGGAATCCATAGCATGGAGAGACTAACATTAAGCATTAAGTGACAACAAGCAACATGTGAAAACCACTGGAAAAATTGGGAAATAGATGTATATAATAGTAAATGACAACTAACCCCATGTTCTGTTGTATCTATTTTCTGTTTTGCTTTATTCAAGATTCAAGACTTGATATGCCATTTGCAGTAAAACCACATTGGAAAAACTGTGCAAGACCACTCCAGTGTGCAGAGAAGACAGCACAAATCTCAAAAATCTCACTAAAATGAAAGTAAAAAAAGCATTACATAGTGTCTATTCCTTTTCAATTCATGTACGGTTAAAATACAATTCACAAACCAACTGTAAAACAAAGTGTGTTTCAGTGCCCCACCCCCAACAGACAGACCTGGCGTCGAGGAAGCGTGAGCGCAGGATCATGACGGCCTCGCAGGTGCTCTGCTTCAGCTGCATCTGGATGGAGCTGAACTTGCGGTGGATGATGCCGACCATGCGCTCGATCTCTTTGGGCGAGATGGGCCGTGTTCGCGACTGCTCCCTCAGCAGGTTCATCACATGGGTGGTGAACTCATTGCACGCCTGGAAGCACACATAGACATGACTCACGCGCGGAATATAACTATCACGCAGCGCCTCGACAGCTCCGGAGAACAAAGGGGTGAAATTAGATTGTGGCGAGCGGTCGGCATGGTCTGGTACATGGTATATGCTCACAGTATTACAGAGTTTGAAGTAATAAGCAGTGGCCTGGACCGCAGAAGCTAAAAAACTAAGGTTGGAGTCATTTTTTTTTTTCTCCTTTTGAAAGTGAATTGTGAATCTGTGGAGAGCAAGAGCGCAACACATCGTCTATGCTGGAGGCTTTGGGCCAATCACATGCTCAGCCAACCCAATTAAATATCAACAATGGAGACCTTTAAGTGGGTTTCTATGAAGAAGAAGCAGCAACAATACACTCCTATACTTACAGCAGTCATTTCAAGGCAAAGATAACAGCTATGCAATCGCTAATGGTCAATAACACTGTATCTGACAGGCATCGTGTGCATTTTAAACTAATGAGACAATACAAAGATATTTCATGCTTACTATGTTTTGGTTGTTTTTTTGATGCTGGATATTGTTCATTGTTCTTGGGCTTGTATGCTTTATAAGACAGTAGAGAAAGCAGTCAGTAAAAAAATAAACCAGATGAACAATAGTACAGCATCAACTGGTATTTACAGAAGAAAGGATACATGTGATATCAATTTGGTGATAAGAAAAAAAAACAATTATCATATAATAGCCAAGACTGTATCTATTATGAGATTGAGGAAAATCATCATCATCAAAAAGAGCTTTAAACCCAGGTCCAGTCAAAAGCGCACCAGCCTGAGCAATATACGGCAATTGAAATGGCAGACAGCCGTGTGTCACTGCAAACAAATGGCGCTGGTGTCATACAGTGGAGGCAGCACGACTTGCGCTGCTCTGAATATTAAAGACTGCTCTTCAATAGAAACGAAAATGTGACAAGAGAAGAGAAATCTGAAATGACAGGCAGCTTTCAGCCCCATTCACGTTCAAGAGGTTTAAACTGTCTTTTCACTCCATCTCTCAGTCTACCTCATTCTCCCCGTGTCTGAATCAGTCACCAGATATGACTGCATTCAGAGTCAAGGTGTCTGTTGCTTGTCAACACCAGGGTTACGTCAGTCAAAGTGATGCAGCGCCGCCGCCGTTCTGCTTGTACACAGCGGCGGCAGACACTACTCACTCACGGACGAGGTGTGCCGCCGCAGTGACACGCCGACGCTCAGGTGTGTACTGATGATGACAGTTAGCTATGACTGGCCTTCTCGCGCCGAGGATGACAAACCCGGACGGCGGCGCAGAGTTTGGGAATGAGCCGAGGTGTGACTGAGATAATGGAGGATCAGAGGCGGGAGATAGGATCATGAAGAGGGCGTACGTGTGTGTCCGGTTAAACAGAGGATTTAGACTAAAGCGAGCAACAACAACGTTTAAACAATCAAATATTTTACACAAATACAACTAGTACATCAGACATCACAGAATTTTGTTCAGATTATAGAAAAAACATCTATAAACTGCATTGCCCTGTGATAGATTTAAACACAGCATGCAAATAATCCAAAATCATACTTAGATATATACAATTATGTCACTCATGTGTATAAGCATGCGGTTCTGATTATAAAGTGACCAAGACCAAATACACTGAATAAAGGGACTTGCAGTGCATGGGAGGCTGATACAAACTCAGATCTGGATCTTAATGATGGGAAGGGAATGAGATAAATACAAAAAAATCTTGACATTTATATTGCATGGATATACAGTATGTATGAATGTGTATGTGTATGTATGCATGTAGATATTATTTTTCCAGAATTATTTGCTTTTCTTAGTTACTTTTTTTCTTCACCCCTTATTTTTTCACTTGATGTGTTCCCCAAAATGTGTACTGTATTGTATGAATTATAAGGATGGCCCCATGACTTTTCTGTTTGTTTATTGTATTGGCATTGTGCGTTATGCCTTGTCTAAACTTATGTATGCAAACTGTATGTATATGTATAAGAAAAAATAAAATAAAAACAAAAACAACAACAAAGAGATGGACACTGTTTAAATATAATAAAGAATAGTGGAATGATCATGAAGATCCATGAATGTAGTTTACTGTTTCTAAAAGATAATAATACTAAATTTTACATGTGTGAAGACCTGCTCATATTTCTCCAGCTCTGTGTGGTAGATTTGTCGGATCTGCGACAGCTTGGCTCTGTAGTCTGAATGCTCCGCTGAGTTATCTGCTCCTACTGCTCCGGTCGCGGCTGCGGCTGCTGCTGCTGCTGCAGACCCGCCCCCTTTCTCCGGCCCGGCCACGCCCTCTGCAAGCAGCATGTTGTCCAGTCGCATCAGCTGAGGGTCCGGGGGCTCTTCCTCCTGGGCACCGCGAATACTGAGCACTGGAACAGACAGACAAAAATACTATAAATAATATCAACACTTCTCACAAGATAGATTAACCAGCCAATTAAACATTTAATCATGAGTATTCTTCAAGATTTCATCAGTGACCAAAGACAGTGCATAAATAAGCAACTAACTAAGTTTCATTAAGTACAAATTAAGTTCACTCCATGCCATGGGCCAAACTGAAACTCAAAACAAAATTGTGCAGCCCCAGAGTGCCCTGTACTTGTTACTGTTGGTTAAGAGCTTAACTTGTGTGAATAGGAAGCAATAAATAAGGAACTCTTGTTATAAACCATTTTTAAACATTCTGCAGGCGACAGCATGTTGTATTTGAGGTAAATCTCCTACTAATCCTACACCACAGACCAACGCAGCAAGCAGCAAAAGTGACTCTTACTGCAACTTACTTTAGACATTCTGACAAAAAAAATCCAAACTTCCAAATTTAGCTCGCTCTCGAAGTTTCTCCAAATCCACAGCATAGCCTACTACTCCCCGCAGAAATATTCACAATCCTGTCATCTTAATTTAGCGCGCCCCCGGATCCCTTTCTCCTGACAAAGAGCTGCTTCTGTAATGTTTAGAGGGTTTAAACGCACACAGCCTCGCACTCAGCCCACAGGCAACGCAATCCACACTCCACCACTCACTTCTCATCATGCCCAAAATGACGTCTAATCAGCACCAAGACAGGGAGATTTCAAGCCCACTGTATTTCATTGTCAACAAAAAGCCCCTTTATTAAAAGCGAGCTGTTTTTAAGTTTATTTTAAGGAACAATCTGTTTGAGTGGGCGGACTTATGGCTGAAGACTTGCAGCAGCATCACAGTTGTTCTTCCTTTTACAGCCACCAGAAGGCTCTCTTGGTGCAAAGGTGATGGAGAGCCAGGTAGAGGTCTGAGATACATTTGCAGTCTTCAAGGACAAATCCAAAGCTCTATCTTTTGAGGAACTAACAAAGCCCTAATACAATTGTACCATTGCATATTCAACTATGATGTATTAGATCATGGATTTCACTGATGGCCATGTAAGTTGGACCCAGCTCATGACCTTTCCACAGAGGTCTAGGTAGATTCTTGTACAGCAACCATTTTTTTGAAGCTTTCTATTCCACTCTGCCTTGTTCCTCTCCTCCAGCAATAACATCATCCATTCCCATCAGCCCCCCCTCCAACACGTGAGCAAGCGCAGCTCAAGAGAGGCAAATGTCAATGGCTATCAGACGGCTGCAAAAGGGCAGGAGTTCACATGGGGGGCTGCAGGGAGGTTGGATATTTCGAGGGCATGGGCTTCTACCACCAGAACCGTGGAAGAATCTGTTCTTCTCCAGTGAGAAATTATGCATGTTTTATACTGACAAAATAGAGCCACGTTCCACGTTCCAAGTCTAATGAGCCCAAGCTTGATTTATTCATCTGGCGGCGAGTCCCCGAGTGCACAACTAAAAGCATGAAATGGATTAAATAAATACAATTAATAAGGAAAATCTAACAATTCAGTTCACTGGTGGCATAATTACCCTGAACCGTGGCCATCAGCCTTTATTTATTTGCGTTCGGTAATAGCAATGAAATCGATTGGACCTTCAATGCCAGTCCAAGTGCGCATTGTGAAGTCTGCAACCAAAGACTATGCATTATCATAATCACCTGACAGACCAAAGTGCCTCTGATTACTATTCATCTCCCCACACTAGCATAACACCAGCTTTGATAAAAAAGCTGGTGTTACATGTATGCAGCTGTTGAAGCAACAGTCTAGTTCATTTTTTTGACTTCTCTTACAGGCGTTCACAGATAAGTATCTATAAAAGGAAGACGGCCATCATCTCATCTTGATCATTACTGACAGACTTAATTGAACAATGAGAGGACGCCTCTCCCCCTTTGCCGCTTCCTCCCCCTTCATCCTTCCTTCCTTCTTGTCTCTTTGTGCAAGTTCTTGGATAATTCCATAACCAATAGGCTGTTCAAAACAGCAGAAAATATTCTGGAGCTTTAATAATGAATGTGATTCGAGGAACATGCTTTTGTTTGTTTATTGGGGAGATTAATTTTGTGCAATACTTCCTTAAGGGCCTGCTGATGCCCATAGCCACCGCCTGCTGCTTGCAGACAACAGGAGTGTAAATAAACATGACGATTAAGCCACCCACTCAACGGAGAGGAATCAAAGTGTGCACACGCACATAGACACAATGAGAGTAGCCAGGCGTGTTCACAAAACACGCATTGGCAAGCTACCCTGAGCTCCCAGCCTGGTGCCCTGTGAGTGCTTTAAATGAAAACATGTTTAATTAATGATGTTGAAGTATTCTGTCACAATTAGGAAGATTTACGGACAAACAAGGCAGCGGTGATATCCCTGACAGCCATGATGAAAGTTTAGCCCTCCTGCCTCTGACTGGCAGCTAGCAGGCTGAGCTGGACTGGATCCATTTCCCATCAATACAGTAATGCAATCCACAGTGCAGCAGTCGCAGCAGCAGTCCTAGCACTCGCCCGGTGGTGTGTCCTTTCTGTCGCAAGCGTCCACATCACATGACCCCTGAGAGGGCCAGGCAGTGGCTGCACTCCCTATTGATTGTGTGGGCACTCGTCATCTAGGATTTCAGCAGTTAATAAATCAGGGCCGCTACGACAGCAGCGTGTGTGTCTATGTGTGTGTGTTTTTGGTGGGCCTGTCAGGGAGCAGTCAGCGCGAGTGAAAGCGACAGCCACATGATAATGTAACATCACCACCATTCATCCCTGCCACGCAGCATTCTCCCACAAAACAACAACAACCTAGAACCTGAAAAAAGCAGTGTGATTTACAGCAGACATGACAAGTATCACTAATACAACCGCCTCCCAGCGCCTTCACAAGACCCGCCATCCAGCTCTCATCTGCATGAGGGACCAGCCCCAGCAAGACCCAACTGCAAAGCTAAAGTCATAACCATTACAACAACTCTAAAGCATTATTATACGGTTAGATCTCATTTAATTTAGACGGCCATTTCTGCTGAATGGAGTTTGGACTGTAATGGCATCATTATGACATTCCCAATCACAGCTCACAATAAAAGCAGCAGTATAAAATATATTGGTATATATCCTCTGAAGCACTAAACAAGATAATAATACCCCAAAATGAAATGATAAATAAAGACGGTGACAGTTGAAAGGATAAATAATATAAAAAAATACCATAAAACATGATTAAACAATTTAAACAAGACTTTTAGAGTCTTGTTTAAATTGTTTAATCATGTTTATGCTTTTTATTAAAAAAACAATATGCCTTTGCATTGATGTATTCTTTTTTTTATCAGAATGCTATAATTATGCACAAATGATTTTTGTTAAGCTACTTTTGTGTTATTCAAACGAGCTATAGGAAGACCGAGCTGACAGCAGAAAACCTGATTTATTCCATGGATCTGAACTCGGGGGAAAGTTTGTGTGTCTCAAAACGTTTCCTTCCATCAGCGGATAATGGGCCACTGTACAGCCTGAGCTCACAAGGGCATAGCCATAAAGCAGCTTCAAAACAGCTTTATGTTTTATCAGCCAAATATCACGAGAGGAGGAGTGCACCTGTGTTGTATGTGAATCACACGGGAGGAGGCACGCCAAGGACAAGAAAACACAGCAAAGACAGAGGAGGGACCGCGACATGCGCATGGCTCAGGCACTAGAGTGATGGAGGCAGAATGAAAGGCGAAAAATAGAAATGGAATGGGAAAGCGAGGTGTCAATTAAAAAAATGAACCCGGGTGCATTTGGGCGGTGACAGCTGGTGGGAGACGAGCTGACAGCCTTCACATTAGGCGGATTTGGTGGCCGCTCCCCTCATCCCCTCCCTCTCCTTCTCTCTCCACTGGCGACTTCGCTCTTGCGGCAGCGGCAAAGAAAGCCCAGGCAAGAAGAACTCAGCTTGGTATTTTTCAGAACAAGTTCCCCCTGCAGCTACTCCTAATAACGATAATTATCGTCATCATTGGAGGCTTAAGCAGGCCAGTTTGCGGCCTGAGGGTCTGGCCTGATAATGAGGCAAAGCCTGCGCCAGAGGAGAAGACCATTCTGAACACCGCCTTGCCACCAACGCACTGCAATCCCCAGCTTCAAAAGCTTCATTAAAATAATTCATTAATCCAAATACGCAATACATTAGCCCCCGGCTGTCAGTCTTTCTTAAGGTGTCCTAAAAATATAGGCTATATCTTTGTGATTGAATGAAACTCCAGCCTTGACTGTACAATGTCCCTGGCTTCGGGCAGCAGCAGTGGGAGAGAGGAGAAGTCATGAGCCGGCAGCATAGAGAGACATTTAGTGCACATGTGAAAAGAACCAGCAAGCGTTCTATAATGAATTCACAAATGAGACCTAATTTCTATGTTACAATAACAACTGTAGAATTGAATGGCGATAGAGAACAATAGACGAAGCATTTTATATTGTCTAGATTCTTTTCAGATTCTTTTGCCTTTGAAAGAGAAGTGAGAAAAACATATATTCAGGTTCAGTCAGATTTACTTTATAAATTTACATTACCCTAAATTTGTAGCTAATAGTGGATAGCAGGATCAACGTTGTGCTTGTTCTATAATAGCAACCTCAACAGGACACCCATCCAAATGTGAGGAAACCACACAATCTCCACAGGTCATGCTCCATTGTCGAACACACACACAAGCATAACCGCTGCATAACCAAGTGTTCTCATCCCATTTCTGACACACGCCCTCCCTAATAGAGCCGCTGACAAATGACAGGAGTCGCGATGTTGTCTCGTGCAACAGTTGGTGAGGGGGTGATGCGTGGAGCTTTGGGGGTGAGGCGGTCGATGGTCCATGACAGTTAGCATGCCGCCTGGCCCTATAGGCGAGCCCCCATGCACCGGGGCGCGCCCATAAAACACGAGGTCTAGCCCTGCTCCTCTGCTGCTCCCAACGCGATTTGTGTGTTCCTGCGCGTGGCACGTTTCATAAGGCGCCACTCT